GATGACTTTTTGGGTCATCTTTCCTTTACGTATTTACTCTTGTTTTACGCAATTTTAACACAAAATAAGAAAACAAAAAAGGAAAAAAAAGATTGTTTATCTAAATTATATATTGACTGGATCTTTGGAATGTGCATAGAAAGAAATTTTTACAGTAGTTTATATTTATAATAGGTCACTTATGTGATTTTGATCTTTTTAAGTCTCTCGAATGCAATTTATGATACTTTAGGTCTTAATTCTACTAATTTCTAATAGTAAGTAAGCCATTTACAGATTTTTATCGATGCTTTCACTCAATATTTATTGTTTCTGCGCTTCTTTGATGATCAGACCAGATCAGACATAACAAAAGACAAGGAAGAAAATTGATTATCGAAAAAGTAATAAAATTTAATTAATTGCAATTAAAGTCAATTTTGTTCGACTGTTAGGAATGCGATAATGAATGTTTTATGATTTTCTTCCTTTCCACACACAACTTTACACTTTTCGTCAACAGCACTGCTGCAGACATCTTATCATAATTTATGGTGGGTTTTATGTCAATATCATCATCTTGTTATTGGACATTGAATTACACGAGTTGTCATGTTCCTCATTCGTATGTACAGTTAAGTAACATCACCCGTTAATGGCTATTACTCTTTCTCCTGTTTACATTCGAATGATGTTTAAAATACATATTTACTAAGGCACGAGCCGCTCATTAAGAAAAATCATCCTTTCATGCATCGCTGCTGACCCTTTTTTATTATTATTTTATTATTCCGAAAACGTCAGTGGCGATCGTATGAAGTGGAATATCCAAAAAAACTCATGTTCAGATCATCCTTAAAAATTTCTCTTTTAAAATTCATTTTGGAATTGATTTTTGGATATAATGAAATCAAATTAACGATATTCTCACGTTTCTATTGAGTTGGAGATAATTTTCAAATCCGTTTCGAATTGTATTGATTGAGAAACACTTGATGATGACTTATCAGATTTTATTTCTTCTTTGTGATACTTCTTCTTTGCATTTACGGATGTTTTTATTGTTATTAAATCAGATTAATTTGAGAAAAAGGGTAAATCTTAATTTAGTAATTGATAAAGTCATTAGTTTTCATGGGAAATGAGTCAATTCAAAATAACTTCATTACCGCATGCTTTTTCTGGAAATGAACAGTTAACTGTGCTTCATTAATGGGTTGACTTTTCTATTGTTCTAAGGGTGTTAATTATTTTTGTATTGCTTGGCATGTAATTTTATGTTGTGACAAGACAGAAATGAAGCCATTGAAGTCTTTTGTTTGAATTCAGGTTGATGAATCGAATGATTATATTTCTAGCGGTTTTTAAGGGTTTTAAAAACATCAAATTATTTTGCTTCATTTTTTGTCAAAATTCTGTTTCGCATCATTATTTTGCTAGCATTTTTAAACTTCGCATCATTTTTGCCTCTTTGCATCTCTTGAATTTTAAGTATTGTTGCAAGATATTTGCAATTTTTAAATAGAATTTAATTCTAACCCACAAAAGCATTTATCTATACAAAATGCTCATACTCAAAAATGAATCAACAATTGAGAACAACTTGAAAATCTTCAAAAATACCCCAACAGAAAAAAAAACAGACAAAGAAACAGCATAAGGTCCTGTATGGTCATCAGATGAAATTTTTATTGGATGATTGATGAATGTAAAAATCAATTTAATAATAATCAATAAAGACCTTTCTTTACGACTCGTGCCTTTATTGCTCGAATATCAACAATATAAGCATGGTCACCAACTGACGCTACATAAAAACTTCTCGTCCTTTTTATTTTTGATCGCATAATTCACCTTCTCAACCATAACGATCGCATCGCTATCTTCGGTCTGTTGATGGCATCAGGGGTGAATATATTTATTCTATTGAGGTATATGAACTTGCTAATTATTGTCGAGGGATGAGTTCCAGTTCAGGTATAATGAAATTCCACAACATAAAAAATTTTTCAATGTACAATACCAAAATGAAAAAAGAAAGATAAGTGAATAAGTTCACCCTAGAGTTAAAAATAATTCATCCATGACTCTTATAGCCCAACTGAACTCAATAAGGAACGGATAAAAAAATAATATTAATTAATCAGAACTGATCAAAACAAATGTAAGTTTAAGTCAATTAATCTCATTTTTTGATAATAACACCCTTAATATCCGAGATGAGATTCATTATAAGAGAACCTTACAGTTCCACATTTATTTATTAATGCCGCGATAATGTATAAGAAGCAGCACGGGAGGGAATAAAAGATTATTCACAGATTAAATTTCATTTCCGTTTCTTCTGTGTTGTGGAACTTCATTGAATTAATTCCCATAGATGCTTTCTTGTAATAATGATGAGAAATTTTTCATCTACACAAGGTCTGAAATTTAAATTCATATTAGCTTGAATTATAGTCCAACAAGTACACACATACGAAGATTCTCTCTATTCTCTTACTTTATAAGCTAATTGGGCGCCCAATGATGGTACATACTGAAAAAATTAGACGATAAACCACCACAGGCATCAGCATTAGCACACTCAATAATGTTTTCGGATGTAATTTGTTATAATTTTACGGCTACTTTTATTCTGTTAATGAATTGTGGAAATTGAATATCATAATAACAATTTTCTTTCTCGTTATTTCTGATTCCGTTTTTCTCGTTCTTCCCTACGATGCTGAGAGTGCCTCTGAAAACAATTTGAGAATTTCATTCAGAGCTTAACAAGTTTAAACCCGGGAATCTTTATTTAATTAAATTTCAATTTTCTCAAACGTGTTTATTTAAATTAGTAGCATTTTTCTTCAAAATGCGGTACGCATTGTTCTTTGTTGAGCATCATGAGTTTATGAATAAGTCATTAAATCAATTTTCATATTTCATTTATTTAAATTGAACCTTTCTGTGGATACTATTAACGTATTTTTAAAATTTTAATTTTTACCGAACTTTTTATATTTGAATTTTTTGCATCTTTTTCAACCAAATTAAATTTGGTATTATGGGCCGTTCTTTTATTACGTTCGCATTTTAGGGGGGGAGGGGGGGTTTGAAAAATTGTAACAAAATGTAACATAAGGGGGGGGGGTCAAGAAGTATGTAACGTTCGAACTGTCGTCTGTCTTAAAAAAAACACACGAATTTATTTTTACAAATTCACATCAAATTCCTTTTTTTTTTAAAATTTTTCACCTTTTTAATGATAAAATAAATTATGAACGTTCAGGGGGGGGGGGGGTTGTGAGTTGTAACATATTGTAACAAGGGGGGGAGGGGGGACCACAAAATGGCACATGGTCCAGACGATAGTAAAAACTTGACATGTAAATGAATTTATCAAGCAAAGATTTGATTCATTTGAAAAATCTAAAGCCAAAAATTAAGCTAAATTTGCTGTATCATTTTCTTAGCTATAATTACTTCCGTTTCATTTCATAATTACTATTTTTATTGAAAAACTTTTCACTATCTCCCAGTAATCATCCAACACACAAAAAATAAACTCAAGAGATGTGCCTAATTTCACACAATTTCTTTACATCTTCAAATGCTAAAAAAATACATGCAAAAGTAACGTCAGTTGCATGATTTTTTTGTCGGAAAGATGTTTATTTCTTTTGTTACAGATACAAATATCTTGACACAAAAGATGAACATAATTCGATGTTTATTCTTCTTTAAAAGGAACTAATTCCTTTTCGACCACAAATGTTTGCTTTTTCACATCATAAACATCAAGTTTCGGTGGTCAAAACATATGATATGTGATGTCTAATTATGCATTTGTGTAGAGTTAATTATGTCCTATATACATCCGGGATTTATGTTGTAGGTCTGCTAATTTATTGCAATTATTTTAGAGAAAAAACATCATTTCATCCATCCACTTGAGTCCCTTCATCTGGTGATAGTTTCCGCCTATCCAATTTAAAGCCATTTATGCTACACAAACAAAAAATTACAAAAATAAATCCTTTTAACAACAAAAAAGGTTCTTTGATGAACTACCTCAAAATCCGAAAGACTTTCTTAGCTGCTCTTCTAATGTAACTTTAATGATGATATCTCTCCGGTGAGCATCAAAGAAGTTATTGCGGGTGGTTTTTTGTTATTATTGAATGAAAAATTGAAAGTCATTGAGTTTTTTTAATACTTTAATCCAATCTAATATATATAAAAGAGGATTGTTGTTATTGAAGAATTTCACTTTTGAGGAATGAATTAAAACTCAATTAGTGCTGTTGAAAGACTTGAAATTGTGAATTTTCTATGCTCTTATTGAAAATTGTCGTTTAAATTAATTTAAAGTAGTTGTTAATGATCAATAATCAATAAGCGTGTAGGCAATTTTACTGACTCATGAAGCATAACTATTTTTTGTGTTCCCTTACTTTTTAATTTTCTCTCCATATGACGTTGTTATTTTTTTATTGGTAGAAATAATAAAGTTAAGTTTACTGAATGTTATCTTCAGATTTTGTTGTTACAAAGGATTTGACAAATGCTATTGAATCTATTGACGGTTCTTTATCGATTGAAGAATTGCTGATCTGGTAGTCATTCAGAGCACAATGTGTTGATGAAATTTGCTATAAAAAATTCCAACCGTTGAATATTTGCCATAAAATTTGAAAAAATAGATATAAAAATTCAAATTTCCTTCAACCGTTAATTTTTCAAACTCAAACAATCCGTTATAATTTTTGAAAAACACGTTTTGATCATACTTCCGAAATCCAATTTTTAAAAAGCATTTCATGCATTTTAAGGACTTAAAATATTCCTTTTTATCCACTTGAAAAATCTCTCGCAAGAAAGTCGAAGGAGTCACAAAGCGTAACATTAAAATATACATCTGTGAATTCAGCCTTCTGTCCTTTTGACATGTTTCGGTGCTTTGTGGGCACCTTAAAGAAGTAAAAACGAAAAACAAAAGAAATACGAATTTAATAAATTTTAAGCGAACGAGTGTTCAGTGCGTGCCACATAAATTTACAAAGGAGCACTACACACATAACTTTTTGCTCCCTTTACATTCGTTCTTTTTTTTCGCCTGATGTCTTTAGCCAGATGATACCAATTTAATTATGAGGTGAATATATTTTATAAAAATGTAGGGATCCTCCGTCGTCAGTCATTATCCCTTCCCAAAACAGAATGAAAATTTTTATGGAAATAAGAGCAGGATAGCACAAAAGCTCACTTTGAAGATAGAATGACGATCAGTTGAACTTGAACTGTCTGCAATGTTATATCGCGTTCTTTAAGGGAACCGAAAAAATAAAATAAATAAAATAAGAACTAGAAATTGGATTAATTCAAGCATTTTTGTGGATCACGAAAAGAAAGAAAATCAATTTAGAAGCAATGGAAATTGAGGCTTATGGCTATATTCCCAATTATCCAATTACATTAAGCTCATCATCAGATCATGGAAATCTTTATAGCCTCCAGTCGAATTACAATTATCAATATTCGAGTGATAATTTAGTATGGAGCAATTCTGAAAGCTTCATAAATCAACAAAGTGATTTATCCAGCATTTCATCGCCAACATCGTACTACTTTCAAACTCAAACGCTTAATTCAACACATTCCGATGAGCAGCAACAACCAATTGTGATCGATAATTATACGAAAGGTAAACGAGGAAGGAAAAGAGGTTGCGGTAAAAAAGCAGAAAAATCAGCCTCAAGAAGAAATGCTAAAAAATCTGAATCATCTCCGGCTAGTCCAACAGTAATGAAGAAACGTAGACAAGCAGCAAATGCACGCGAACGAAGAAGAATGAGTGGCCTTAATACAGCTTTTGATAGGTAAATGATAGCTCAATTAAATATATTTTCAGCAATGCTCAATTAATCTTTTATCTTTCAACAGATTAAGAGAAGTCGTTCCTAAATTGGATGCCGATTATAAACTATCAAAATTCGAGACTCTACAAATGGCACTAAATTATATTGGAGCAATGTGTGAATTACTTGATAAAGGAACTGTTGAAAGTTCCTTCGAATTTTTCGGCGCTAGTGAGAACAATAATTGCTCGAAAATTCTTAACAAAAATTAATTAATGAGCACAAGGTGATTATTAATGAAATTGATACCAAAAAAAAAACATTGAAGCCAAAGAGAAAGAGTAAATTTATTATTTATGACTTCTGTATAAAGTGCAAATGAATTCATCTTTAATTGAGGATTAGACACTTACTACTTTTATATTTTTAAATGATTCTTTAAAATTTAATGGTTTTTTGAAAATTTGAAATTTTAACGGTTTTGTAAAATTTGAAATTATAAGATCTACAAAGGTAGATCTTAACTATTCAAAAATGAAAAATACGCTAAATTTGATTTTTTTTTTGAGTTTTCTCGAGTGTCTAAGCCTTGTTAAACCTGATAGTAACTTTAATGAAATGTGTGCACCTGCTTTTACACAGCAATTTATAATAAGAAAATGTAGACAATTTTAAAGACTAGTCTGTAAATAAATAATACAATAAATTAATGAATAAATTCAATGAGTTTCATCTTTTATTCTTTCCTTAAAAATACTGTACATTATAGCTTAACTTAACGTCTATCATTAGATCGAAAAATAATAATCAGTCAAGTTTTGTAAAAAAATTTACATATCTACACGATAAATACACAAATATGATGCTTTTATGTTTACGAAACGTTTGTACTCGAAGGATTGAGGTAATGAAAAATTGTATATGAGTGTGACTTCACAAACGGAACTAAGATTAACTTAAAAAAAACTCTTCGTTCTTAAAATAAAAATTAAAACAGCCGTTTGGAAACGAAAGGAAATTCTAGATGCCTTATAAGAATAATATATTAAAAAAATTGTCACAGCCAAAAAAAGTCATGCATCTAGTCGAACGTAAGAGAGAATGTGTCTAAAAAGATACTTTAAGTAGTCATTGAGCAAGAAAATGCGTAGATGAAAATTAACTTTATTTTCATACTCTTAAATTCCATTGAGATAATTTAATTTATCATTTTTTTTATATCCAACATTACGTCCTTAATTGACGTAATCTTTATGAATGACAATAAAAAATGCTTTTAGAGTAAAACAAGTCATCGAAATTTACTTAAATTCTAAGAAATGAAGTGCCTTTCTTCTATCCTTAACAGCAACAATGTTCTCAACATATGAGGAACTGTTAATTGCGGCTAAGGAACTACACATTATTAGTTAATGAAAACACTCATAAACAACTTTATCATTACATCTTATTAAGTGATTCTTAAAGACTAAATACAGTTATAATAGTTATAGTAATTCATAAAAACTATAGCTAGCTGTCGACTTCCATTACCACTGACTGCCTCGAAAATTATTTCCACCACGAAATCCTCCTCTTCCACGTCCTCGATTCTTAAAGTTATTATTTAAATTGTATGGTGAATTGTTGCCATTTCCATTATTGCTGTTCATTCCACCTCGCATCATTTTCCCACCACGATTCTGTCCACGGAAATTATTTGGATTTCTTGGTCTAAATCCTGGATTAAAGTTTGAATTTGGTGTAGGAATTCCAATTGGTGTTTGCTGTGGATCTGGCAAGTCAATATCATCAAGTGGCGGTAAGTCAGAATTACCAGCATTATTATGAATCCATGACTTTCTCTGTTGATTCATTGGATCATTATCCAAAGGCAAAGATGGTGGAGGTCTATTAAGACTTATTGGATGAGGTTGATAGCGCGGTGGATGACTGTGCATGTTCTGATTGATGTTGTAGAAATCTAGACAGGAATTTGATTAATTAAAATTATTTCGTTTGATACACATTAAATGTTTTTCTTTGCTTACCATTGGACATGTTTCCATCAATTCCTGACAGATCATCGTCAGATAATTCCATGTCCATTTCAGATGATTCCAGTTCATCAGGACCTTTAGATGAGTCACTATTTATGCTCATATTTCGAGAATATCTCATTGGAGGCATATTTGGAGTAGGAAGTAAAGGAGGTCGTTGATTTCGGTGCTGTGTAGGGAAATTAGACATGCCAGGATGTGGCTTTATAGACAATAAAATTAATTCCTTTATTCTACGCTTTTTAATGAGAATACTTACCGGATAGTTCATTTGTGAATGGTCCAACATTGGTGGTATAAAATCATTATTTCCATTTGTTGGATGCATGGGAATATTCTAGACAAAAAATGACCAATTAAGTAGGAGTTAATATTTGCAAAATTAGTAATAATTACATTCTGCATCTGACTCGGTGATCCTGTGAGAGAAATTAAATTTCTATGATCCACATCTACAAAAATAAAAATTTTGATTTAACGGACTTCCATAATTTAAATTTTAACGGTTTTCAAAAATTTGAACTTTGACACAAATTTTCAAAATTCAAAAACTCGTTTAAATATAAACCGTTGTAAATTATACCTTTTGTCTCAATATCAGCACGAAACAATTGTCGATGATCAATGTCGTTCAATGAACTATCGATATCTCGTAAGCTTTCATCCACATACTCTACAATGCTACTTTCATCGTGTCCTTTACGCTCATAATTTGCTGGTGATACTGGCGTATCAATGTGATGCATATTCCAATCATTCCATGAATAATCATCATTATTACTTGAATTAAGTGACTGATTATTGTTTTGTGAAGTTGGTGGTGGAGGAGGAGGTGCTGTACATAATGCAAAATTCATTGGTGGTGCTGCTGATGGTAAAGGAGGTTGTTGAGGCTGTCTATAAGAATCATTATAACCTAATGCTGGATTATAAGCTTCCAATTTTTGAGGCATAATATTATTATAGAAATCATTTAATGGTGCAGTTGCTAGCTGCTGATCTTGTGATTGTATGACTTGAATTGATTGATTATGTTCGACGGGAGGAGGCGATTCCCTATAAAATTCATTTACATCGAATGGCAATGGACCATCACTCATGAAAGAACCGAATGTTCCATTCATGTTTGCATTATAGAAATTGACATCAGCTGGAAGATCAAAATCATCATTGTCTGGTTCAGGTGACGGTGCATTTATGTCTGGAGATGGTATTGGACTCGGTAAATGGCTCATTTTCTTATTCAATTCCGATTGAATCGTTTTTATCCTATCGCCAAAGTTCTTATAAGCCTGCAATTAGGATTAACATTATTAGTATTATTATATATTAAAGTAGAATTATGCACAACTCACATAAACGACTTTCTTGACATCTCTTCTTTGGTTGCGATAAAACCTTTCTGCTTGTTCGAGAGCAGTTAACAAGGTTTTTCGTGCTTTAATTTCAGAATTTATACTATTGATGAATAACTCATGTTTGGTCGAGGCATTTTCAACTTCTTTTTCTACTTCTTCGACTTGTGTTCGATCTATGATTAAATGAATATTTATAGACAAAAGCTTATCACTGAGTCATTAAATGAATTTCCTTACCTTTAAGACTGTTTCGTACTTTCTCAATGTCTGGAACACTAGCTTTGATGACGTGCTTTAAATTCTTATCAGTTTCAGTTTCAAGGGACACACAACTTTTAATATTAGATATAAGTGATTGGAGCTGAAACTCATCCTCATTGTCATCTGAACGATGTGTTGGTGATGAAACTGGAGAAGCTGTGTAGCTAGTTGTAGCTGACGGAGTAAATAATGGCTTTTTCACTTGATTTATTAAAAGCAATCCATTGAGATCAGTAATAAAGTCTTCAGCATAAACTTCACGCTGTTGCCAAATATTAAAGATCCTTGAAACTTTATCCTTAACTCGTGCATCATCTCGAACAAGTGTAGATGCTCTTTGCAATGTTGTAGCCCAGCTGTCTACAAATTCATAGTTCTTTCTCTTGCTGTGTTGAATGACATCATTCGCGAGATAAAACAGCGTGAGCCGTTGCTCAATTTTAACTAAAATATCAATTGAAAGCCACATTTTTGATGAAAGATCCAGAAAGGATGTTTATTTTTATTTTTTGTTTATCTTACCTTCTTTTAGAACTTTTAACCAGCATTTGACAATTGACTTGTGTGCCACTCGTTTGTTTAAACACCATTTGGAAAGGCCTGTGATGGAATCTTGTGTATCCTTTAAGTTTTTCAATCTATTCTCAAATTTTTCACAATCGAAATCTTCCATTTTTATTAAATTACACTATTTCAATAATTTTACATAATTCACGTCTTTCAATGAATCATGAATGATCCAACAGCACTTTGACAACTTCCAGTCCAACTATTATTAATTTAATATGCGTATTTTGTTCTTTGAAAATTATCGTCCTTATTTACAAATCAAATATTCCGTTTAATTGCTATTCTTTGTATAATATAACAATTTACTCGGAATTTTGACACCAAATTACACTTTTTCACAACTTCTACACTCTTCTTTTTTGCTTAATTAGCGTAGAATTTCGATAAATGTCAAATTGAAATTTGTTTTCCGATTTTTTATGATTCTTTTTCGACAATCCCCTTATTATGTGTCGAAAATTTCAAATTTCTGCAGACCGTTGAACAATAAAGTAATAAATCACTACGATTTAATAAACAACAACTTAATACTCTATTTACTATTGCAAATTAATAAACATTCTAATGACATCTTGATTGTCTAGAGTTGTCTGAATGTTGAAACAGATTTTAAGAATAGGGGATTGTCGACAGTTTAACAATTCAAATTCAAACAGAAATTTACACACACTTCTATAAAAATTCAAATTTAAACAGAAAGTTTTGCGATTTAATTAATTAAAAATGAGCTTGATATCGATAAGCTCGAAAACAAGGGTGCATTTATCACCAGAGCATCTATCGACAGTAACCAGTGAAAGTACGCATACTGATTGCATATCAGATGCATCAATTCTTCCATTGTCTAGAAGTTTCATTCAAATAATCAAGTCTTCAAAAGATTCGTGGATTAATATCTGCAAAATCAAGAAAGATAATGATAAAGGTAACTTATAAAACACTTATTTATAGAAGAGATCCTGGATTTAAATAAATTGTTTACACTTTAGAATCGATCCAGTTATGTGTTAAGAACAAATTGGATAATCTTACAGCGGTTGGAGCATGCAAGAAAAAAGGCTCGGGATTATGTTACGCTAATGGTTATTCCAATGGTCAGATTAAGGTTAGAGATTTAAAGAATAGTAGTGTAATTAAGGAATTCTCAGCACCACCAAATGCATCAAATGTCTTCTTTCTGGATTTCAATTCAAGTGATGAATTTTTAGCTAGTGTCTATGAAGATGGGCTAATTAATGTGTTTGGAATGCAAACATCAATCAAATTACATTCATTCACATTAGATAATCAAAGTACATTAGCTAGATTTCATCCACAAAAACGATCACATTTAGGAGTTGCTTCATACAGCGGCAAAGTTTATTTACTGGATGTTCATGCCAAGAAAGCAATATTCAAAAATGATGGACATTCTGCTCCTTGCTCAGATATTGCTATGTCTGAGGACTTCATATTGTCATCAGGCTACGATGGTATTGTTAAAATCTTTGATTTGCGTAAGAAATCTCCAGGTCTTGAAATTCATGCTAATTATGGATGGACAAGTATCTCACTCTCAAAATGTGGAGCTTATTTTGTCGGTGGAAATATGAAAGGGGAACTAATGAGTTATGATTTAAGAAATATTAAGAAACCACTTGCTAGTGCTCGAATTGAGGATTCAAATAATAAAATTTCTCGAGTTGCCTTTCTTTCTGATGATGACAGTACATTATTAGATTTTTCAAAGACTGTACGTCAATCACTTTTAAGGATTGAAGAGGAAATTGATGGAAATGAGGTTGGTGAATCAAATGATAGCTTTATAGAGGACATAGTCGGTTTCCAACGTGGAAGAATTTCAGACTTTTCTTCAAGTGCAATGCATGGCACAAGAGTAAGTACAGCATCACGTAGAGCAAGTACAGAATCTCGTATTTCTGATGTTTATGGAAGAAACATGCAAGAAGCATTAAATGATTTCGCTAGTCCATCACAATCACCAATTAATAGCCTTGATGATAGTCGTGTAAATAAAACTAGACGTCGAACAGGTGGAAAATCATTAGAAGTGATTCGAATGGAAGAGATTAATGAAGAACAAACGAACGATAAAGAAAACGATGCAAAAAGTATGAATCTTTATGTCCAAAAATCTCCATCTACATCCAGCAATGCCCCAAGATTTTCTAGCACACCAACAATTATATTGCCAGACACTCCACTTGCTAAGGCTGCAGTCAAAAAGGTTGAAGTTATAGAAATTGATGGCAATGAATCATACAAAAGTGCTGTTCAAACTCCAGAAATACTTTCAAAAACTGAGGAACTGAAAACTTCAAACGGATTTGATTTTCGAAAAGAATTTGATGCTTTAGCTGAGAAGATTCGTATTGAAGTCGGAATATTGAATATGGACCAAAACATGCGACACATAGAAATGATGTGGCATGTTGGCGAGCAGAGAAGAAATCTACAAACTCGTATTGATATGATTGAGCAGTCTATGGCCATTTTATTAAACGATGATTTTAAAATTAATTTAGTCAACGAATTACAAGCTGAAAATCAGGAACTTCGTCGGCAAGTCCATGATTTAACCCGTCGTTTAAGCCATTAAGCTCTTCTTTTTATTTTTAAATAATTGCAGTTTGCAAAAGTTTTATTTCACTTTTAAATGTTTTACGCATAAAAAAAGCTATAAGGAAATCAATAAATGCCCTTCGTGATATTTCATATTCCATGTTAAATTGCTAGTTTCAAGTACTTTATGCTGTTTTAGATTCTTGTTGCTCAAATTTAGGATACTTTGCTTCAACTTCGGACCATTCAGTTTTACTGAATGCCAAATTTCTAACAACGTCCGCAACTTCTTCTAGCGGAATTCTCACTTGATTCATTGAGTCACGTTCACGTAAAGTTACAGAGTACGGTTCCTTGATTGTATCAAAATCAATTGTTATTCCATAAGGAATTGCGATTTCATCAGTACGTGCGTATCGACGTCCAATAGATCCACTAGAGTCGTCAACCTTGTGTGAAACATCAACTTTTGTCAATGCAGTAGCTGAAAATAGAATTAAAGATTTAGTCATTTTTAGCGTTTTTCTAGAAATAAAATTTTATAGCAAAGTTTGAACTTAGTAAAGCCGTTCGAAAATTTAAAAATAAAAAAAGTCGTTAAATACTTACAAATTTTCTTGATAAATGGAGCAAACTCGGCGTTATTGCTTAATGGAAGAACTGAACATTTTAGTGGAGCAACAATTGGTGGTAATGAGAAGAAGCACCGCTGTTCATCACCATCTCTCATTTGGAAACGATGTTCAAGCAGCGAGTACATAATTCTTCCGATTCCAAAAGAAGGTTCAATTACTGATGGAATTATTTCCTCAACATGCACGGTCTTGGAACTTGTTTTAATGCTAACCATCTCGCGATTCAATGTAAAATTGCTTAAATTGTATGTATTATTAGCTGTTAATTCTTCGTCCATTTTCTTTAATCCATCAAGTGACATTTTAGCGAGTAATTCTGTAATTTCTTTTGCATCCTTCTTGAATGCCTTTCCAATAATTTGCTTGTTAGGAACTGCTTCAGTTACTTCAACCGTTTTTGGTTCCGGTAATTTCTTTTCAGCTGCAAGTCTGACGCCAGTAGCATTAGTGTGTTGAGTTAAATCATAAGCAGAACGATCAGCGCATCCAACACATTCAATCCAGCCATATGATGTTAAACACTCTGCGTCCCAGCAATCGCAAGCATAATGAGCCATTTCTTGTGACATATGCTGCCTGAATCTCAAGCGTGATGGAACAATACCGACTTTAATCATAAACATTGCAATTCTAGCCATAAAGTAACCGAGCGTTTCATTAGCAACAAGTCCAGTTTTAACAGCATCTCCAATTTTAATTCTTGATGCACTCTTTCCATCCATTTGATTACATGCTGAATATAATGTCATTTCATAATCAGCAATATCAACGAACTTAGGATGATCTTTCTGGTTTGGATCACAAAAATGCTCAATTTCAGCCATTGTGAATTCACGGACTCTAATTAATCCAGAACGTGGTGAAATTTCATTTCTAAACGAATTTCCGATTTGTGCGGCTGCAAATGGCAATTTTCCTTGATTAAATTCCAGTAGTCTCTTGAAATTCACGAAAATTCCCTGTGCTGTTTCTGGTCGTAAAAATCCTTTTACCAATCCTGTTGGTCCAATGCTAGTTCCAAACATTAAATTAAATTCAATTGGCTCTGTAAGATCGTTTTGTGTAATTGGTGACTTCATATTGTATTTCACGAGAATTGCAGCCATTTCAGCCTTATTCATTCCATCAAGTTTTACGGCAATATCAGCACATTCATCCTTAAACTCTTTCGTAGCCTTCTTATCGGAAGCTTGTTTCTCTAAATGAGCTTTAATTAAATGATCCAGTCTAAAACATTCTCCAGTTTTTACGTCTTTTACCATCAAATCAGCGAATCTATCGACATGTCCACTAGCTGAAGAGGATATAAGCATTAATTACAGCACTAAGTGTCACGAAAATGCACAATTACCTTTAAGAACAGGCTCTGGTGTGAGTATTGAGCAATCAACTTCCAACATTTGCTCCTCGAGTACGAAAAATTGTCTCCAGGCATTTAGCATATTAGCTTTAAGCATAGTTCCCATTGGTCCAAAATCGTATTGTCCAGTAATACCTCCATAAATTGCAAAACTTTGATCATAGAAGAATCTTCTTTTTAATAAATCTTCCATTTTTGCACGATCAAAGCTGGAGACTTGAGGTGCCAAACTTAGTTCCTTATCTTCAAGGATCTTCTTGCGAATTTTAAGCTCAGCAATTGCCTTTTTGACATCAATTTCTGGTGCGCCTTCATCTTTAAGTTTACGTACCAAATCTCCCTGTAAAGATACAGAATAGATGAGTCATATAGAAAGTTACTCAATTACGCAGATAGTTTGCGTCATCTATTTTTTTATGGATGATTGTAACCTTAAAGAATTATACTTACTTGTTCTTTAACGACTGCTCTTAATGGAGCTAAAATCTCTTCGGTTTTTGGATCAGCCATTTCTTGCAATAACAATTGTTGGATTTTTATACTTCGATGTGATTTCTTTGACCCCCAATTGTTTGAATTTTTATTAAAATATTGGAAATTGATTGACAAATGTCGTGTGTTTTGTTTCAATTGATTTTCACTCGATTTTAATATGATTCCACTACAATTCACTAAATTATTAAAGAGTCTTGAAAGTACTCTCATTAAATTATTTAAAATATCTTCTTAATCTGTGATTTTTAATAGATATAATTGATTATTATTTATTTCTCAAATAAGACGAAAAACAACAATCCACGACTAATGGGACATTCACAAATGACGTTTATTAAGTTGTGAAATTGTTAAACCCCCACTTCTCAAAAACAAGCTTGACATCATTTATAAATGACCCTAGAATTGAAATTCAAATATATTTTGACTGTTTAACAATTCAAATATTTCAAAACCGTTGGAAAATGACTGAAACTATATTTAATAAAATAAAATAAGCAGGAACAAGAAGGCAAGCAGAATTTTGTTTACAAAGATTTTATTTGAGTACATAAACAGTTTACAATAAGAATTTAAAATATTATGATACTTTTTGTTACCTTTTCAATTAATTGTTGATATTTTTGAAATTTATATTAATTAAACTGACGGACGGATCGTCCTTTGTTTAAGCACAAGTACATTGAATAAGAATTACATATTATTAATGTCCAATTACTTAATACATCTAAGGGGCCATTCACTTATTACGTAACGCTTTTAAGGGGAGGGGGGGGTCTAAGATTTTGTTACGGTTCAAACAAGGAAATTTTTTTTTCATACAAACTTTGTTACGAGGGGGGTCTAAGAAGTCATTTTTTCGCGTTACGTAATAAGTGAACAGCCCCTAACCAGATCTACAAGAATTAATTAAATTTAATTACAATACAAAAGTATGTATGCACAAATCGTTAGACTAAACAATTAAATACATTAATTAGAACGTCTTTTCATTAGCATTTCCCTTTAACTTTAAAAATTAGATGGAGCTTATGTTTGAGGCACATATTTTTGGTAGTTCTGATGCGTCGATGAGACATTCTGAATGGAAGTTGGAGACGATAACACATTCGATTCTTCCTTAACTAGCTGCTGAAGAGACACTGTAATATAAAACGTGAGCATAAAGGCATTTTAAGAGCATTTAAACTTATGAATGGACATACTTGTAGACTCCCAATTGTACAAACTCTGTGTGGGTTCAAAACGACGCTGTGGATTTGAGCATGACAGCGACGGAGATGTTGTACTTTGTGGAACTGGTGGGAAATAGTAATCTAAGATGAATATTTTCAAGGCACAAAATTCACAGAGCTTAATTAACATCTACTCACCACTAATACTATTAGAAAAACCACTATAAGAATTATTAATTAATGAAACTGTCTGTGCAGGTTGTTGAAGTGGTGCAGAATACGAATAACTCGACCGAGATGCACATGTGTTGTATGCTAAATGTTGAGAGCCTGGAATCCAATGGCTATCAAGTGAATTAAATGGGAAAGTTATTGATAAGATGCATGACTTTATTATTGCATTTCATGATCATTATGATCACTTTTAATTGCCTATTCTGATCGCTGATAAAGTTCTAATGAAGTTGGGGAAGTAAGATGCATGAATCATTTGCATGATGCACGTGATCAATTTGTTTGCCTCTTTAACGATTATTAAAAATTCAAATTTTGTTTTACCGAAACTTTTAACGAACAATATTTGAATTTAAAAAAGTCGTTATGAGATAAATCGAATAAAATTAATTAATTAGAAAAATCAAGTGAATCGACATGCTCATTATCAGCATATAATAAGAAACTAGATGAACTTGACTCAGTAAAGAGTAAGAAAGATAATTAAACGGTTGGCATCAAAAGGAAATTTTTAATCATTAGACTAGCCGATCAACCTTTGTGGCATCAATTGATGTAATAACTCTAGATCTAGAAAACTTACGCTGTTTCATAACGAGGAGGATATGCTTGATAAGGTTGTGGAAAGACTCCTCGATGACCAAAGTTTCCATACGTCTCACTAAACATCTTCTGGAAATGTGATCCTGTTCTGTAAGGACGCTTCATTCGTCTACGCCGTCGGTAATTTCCATTTTCAAACATGTCATCATACTGTGGATCTAAATAAGAGAATATAAATAAAATCCGTAATTTTTATGGGTCTTTATGATAGAAATAAGTTTAAACATCTTTTGGATTTAATTTCAGTCCTATGATTAATTATTGGATTTAATTTTAAATCTTCAGATTTAAATCACTAACCTAGAGTCCAGTAATTTCCCTTTCGTTCACCGCCACCTTCTCTAGGAATTTTTATGAAGCACTCATTTAAACTCAAATTATGTCGTATCGAGTTCTGCCAGCCTTTCTTATTTTTCTCAAAATAAGGAAATCGTTGAGTAATGTAATTGTAGATCTCACTTAGTGTCGCACGCTTGCTCGGTGAGTTCTATACATACATACATGAATGAATGTCGATGAAACGAAGAAAAATTGTTAAGTTTAAAGGAATGTCATTTAGAATCAAATAGCAATTTATAACAGCTTCTTTCATGTTTCATGCTTCCGTGCGATCATTTCTATGGATTTTTTCATGCTGTAATTAAGCAAAATGATCACATAGAAGTCAATCGTTCCTCATAATTCCTTGAAATGGTATATAAATCATAACGATGTTAATCCCCATGTCGTATCCATTTATCAGCTAGCTTTAACATACATCCGATCTTAATTGAAGTAATATATCCATTCTGATTTGAAGGCAAATCTAGGAATTTCCCGAAAATCTTAAAAGATTTCTCATGTTACGGAGGTACAGAGGAACGGAAAAAATTATTTTTCATTAATTTCGTCGCTTTTCTTTCTCGTTTTTCAAAATGAATCGAGTGTGACAAAAGACAACGAAGAAAGAAAAAAATATCACATTTTTCCCGAGTCCCGTACACAGTCAGTCGAATAGCACAAAATTAAACGTCTCTAATAAATTTTCGTTTTTTAATTTCTTACGACAGATGGATTAAGCAACATGTTGCTAATTAATAGGTGTATATTTGAGAATAAGAGATGAAATCTTCTACTTTTGATAACTAATCCATTTAAAATGTCTCTATTCCCTGAATTACTTTCTATTTCAATTCTCTTTTTTTGTCTATTTTCTGCTCTTAAGGTGATTAGATTACTTTTAATTTACTAGGATTTTTTTTTCAAAAAATTAACGGTTTTCAAAAATTCAAACTCATAACGGTTTTCAAAAATTCAAAATTTAGTGAAAAAATCTTTAAAATTTTTTGAAAACCCGAATTCAAATTTTAAAAAAACCGTCAAAATCAAAAGTAAAGCAAAACTCAAATAAATGCGTTTAAATCACCAAAATGGAAAATTATTCAACATAATAAATGAGAGCTTTTCTTTTTCGAAGGTATCAGTGTCAACAACAATGAGGAACAATTGAGTGAAACGGAAAAGAAAAAGATTTTTACAACTCATAAAAAGTCAATTTTTGTTATTACTTACAGCGATCGCCATAGCTGTAAAGTGGCAAAGAGAGGAATAAAAGATGAAAATTGTTAATTAAATTGAATTAATAAGTCTTTATAATTAGATGAATGTGAGGTTAATAGTACCTATCAAGGCGACATAGCTGTAAGGAGGTTTACTATTCCCACTTCTCTCAGAATTTGTCGTTGATGCAGCGGATGAGCTTGAATTGAGAAGATTTCTTTCGAATCTCATACATAATAAATCAGATCTCATTACTCTTCACTAACCTGGTACTTGCAGCAACTGTTGACGTCGTATTTGTCGTTGAATTCTGACGATCTTCAATCATTAAATTACTTGTTTCATTTGATACCTCCTCAATTTTTAATGCTGTATTTGTGGATGTATTGTTGCCAATTGATAGATTACTGATACTATTGTTGTTGTTGTTGTTATTATTCTGATTGTACTTGTCGACATCCCTCTCTAGGACTGATGTTGGAATGATAATGGATGCTGATGACGATGGCTTGAGCGTCTCTTCATATGATGTAGGAACTGTGTGCACAAAACAACATTTGATAAGAATAAAAATAGAAAAAAAATTGTCTCGTCAATGGAAATTAATTCAACCATGAGAGAATCGAGTAATGATTCGCGTATTGGCTGCCGCCTATGACCTCTCCAATATGATAAGAACCCGTCTTATCACATTCATATGAATGTTTTGGAACCGTTTATGAGACCTTAATTGTAAATATTTATATAAATGCTTCATCAATGAATCTTCTTTTGTTTTTAAAATTATATGCTCTCTAATTAATTTTATTTATAAACACACACTTAAGGTGGATCAAGTATGTGTCCCGAAATATCGAACGCACGTGCGACATGCGCGCGTCAGCTACAAAAATTTTGTAATAACATTTCAATTGAATTTCATTATTGCAAAAATTGTGGATTTTAAATAAAAGTAGAATAATTAATGGGGTCGCACTCGATCAAACTGAAATATGATGTCAGCATTACTTCATTTTATGTTGCAAAAAAAAGTTTAAATTTTGCATTTAAATTTACATTTTGTTGCATGAGTTAAAATAAACAATAAATCCATGAATTTTTATTATCTTAAATTGTTGATAAAAAGGATCAGATTTGTGTAAGCTTCACAGTAGCAATGTTGATTTTTTATCTCATTCAGGATGTAACTTGATCGACTTTTAGTTTGGGTTTGGATTTTTTTTTGCATTTAAATAACATGACCGTGAATTTTTATCGCAGTTTATTGGCCAATCATTAAGTTTGTTTTGTTAATCTTTATGGATTTTATGAAATTTGAGGATGTCGAATTTGATGCTGTTCATAATTCGTTATTTTATGCAAATTTTTTAAAGTAGAACTTGGTAGAACTGAAATTTGAATTCATAAAATTCGTTAAATTTTGAATTCTGAAAGTTCGTTGAATTTTATGGGAAATCTTGAGCGATAGCAACAATTTGAATTTGGAAACTCCTTTAGAATTTAATTTCACAAATGTTATAGCTTTATAAATTTAAAAAGCATTCATTAAGCCTACCTAATACAGTCGATGGAAAATTTTCATGTTTCAGCTTTGACATGTTGAGGAAATTCTGTAAAAAAGGCAAAGGAAGGTGAGCAAAAAACTTAAAAAAATACAATATTGAAAAACAAAGTCTCAGTCAAAAGGAGCGAGAGATTTTTTTATGATATTAGACTTTATGATGACATGAATGACACGAAAAATATTTCATTAGATGAAAATTGTCAGAATTAAAATGAAAATCTCTTTATAAATCATTGCTATTAAAGTATTTTTATGTGTGTGACGATATAAAAATCAGTAATGGATATTAAAAATTAGCATTAACCGTCATAAATATCCATAACCACTTGCTATTAATGTTTATTAAAATGTGTCTTAATGCTCTCTCCATCATTCGTCGCCTCCATCCAAATGTGTGAACAGAACACAATTTTTTTTCTACTAATTTTCATCGTAATCGTAAACGAATTTATAGCTACAAATTGAATGATTTTTTTATTTGAGTTCTCACTCATGCTTTACATTGAAATTGATGAGATTTTGTGTATTTACAAACAAAAAAAAAAAACCATCTCAAACTTTGTGTTGAAATGTACAGCATTGAGCGGGAGCGATTAACACCTCGAAAAAGAAAAGGAAGTAAAAAATCACACACAGAGTGTTTGGTCTGCATGCTTCCTTGTTTCGAATTTTGACACAAGTGCAATCCGAGTACGTCTTCTCAGTCTAACCTTATTTTTATAATGTTGCGAGATTCGCGGACTGTCGAGTAATTAGAGATATCTGGAATGTTAATATTGAGGGTGATGAATCACTCGTTACTATATAAACGTCTTAATGGAAATTAATTTCTATAGCTAAGATCGACGAATAATTAAACTATTAAATGTCGCTATTTGAGCATTTCGAACTGAATTATGATTATGTTTTCTATTATTGATTGTTTTTGCAATTATTTTAATAACAGCTGCATTTGTTTTGCATTTTTATTCAATATAGTTTTTATGAATGATTGAACTTGAATACTTTTTTGAATTTTTAACCGACTTTTATATTTCAAATTTTAAAGATTTGGATTGTTCACAGTTCAAAATAGCAGTTTTGCTACTCCAGAACATACTTCATAGAGCTTTTCAATTATTAGAGTAAATCCAGCTAAGAAATTCTCAGTCTAAAGTTAAAAATTCACAAAATTCAATTAGCTTTAAAAAATCTAGTGAAAAAAATTCAAAAAAAAAATTTAACCGTTATTAAGTCAATATTTGCTACGCAAAAGGCATTAGATTAGTACAAAAAATGAACTGATGATGTTATGCCTAGCGCTTTTATGACTGCAATTAATTCGCCTTTGTTTACAGGAATATAACTCGACTTATGAACGAAATTAAGATTGAATTCGACTTGACCTTTTTAATAACTGCATTTCCGTGTTTGATAAGTCGGAAAATCTATTTGCGAATTTAAGATTTTTATCAGTTTCTCCGACTATAAACCCTAATTTTAATTATGTTTTACAAAAAAAAAAATAAAAATAAATAACGAAAACAAAATGTTTTTCATAATCTGTGCCTTATAATTTCTTAAATTTTTAAGCGACGCGACACTTTAATTCAAATAAAATCGTCAATGTTCCTAAAAATAGTCACTCGCATGAGATAAAATTCCTTTAGATTTATTTTTAAGGTGAATGAATCACATCAAATTTGATATCTTTTGTTTCTTACATGTCTCATATTCGCGCTTATACTCAAGCCATGAAAAATGGAAGTTAATTAAAAAGAAGAAAATGCGTGAGAAAAGTTATTGCAAAATATTTTCATTCCATTGTAATAAAGAAATTCAAAATAGAGGCTATGCATGTTCTTCTGTCATATTATTTGACAATTATTTGAGTGCGAACAAGTTAAGACCAATTTTTTATTAATTCACTTGTCTGTGGTTTTTATTGTGAAGCAAGACATTAATTAAATTTTATTCTACTCTCCAATTCTCCATTGTAAAGGTTTAAAGCATAATTAATGGAAATTTGAAAGTGAAAAGTTGTTGAATTTTAACAAAAAATTCAAATTTGAAATTTCAACGAAGATTTTGTGGTGAATTTGGTTGAATATATTCAAATTTTAACGGATAATTTTGAACTTTAACATATTTTTTGGTAAGTTCAGACTGTTTGCAACTGAAATTATTTATAAATTTGATGAAAATTGCTTTAAAAATCAAAAATAAATAAAAAACGTGACGATTTGATCAAATTATCTTCATTAAAACCTTTCGAATTGCTCTTAATCCTTCCGTAAAATTCCACATAATAAAGCACTTCACTTTTAATTCCCCATTTTCAGGAAGATCACGATAATAAAGTATAAAAAAAACGCTCTGAGAATGAAAATCTGTATCAGCTGTGGTTTTCATATATGATTAATGTTATTTATTGTCATCACGACAAATAATCATAATTAATGTTAATGTGATCTTTATATGAGAGATAAATTTATCAACAAATAAATTAACGGCAATAAAGGGATAAATAATTTCTCATAGAATTTTCATCTTTCCACTCAAATCCTCCAGTGGCCCATAATGTTGATTCCATTTAGCGCACATAACGATAGTCATATATTTAATGGTGCAATCTATTTTTAAGATAACTAAGAGAATTCTTGTAACTTGACATCAGTTCAGCTGTTTAAAATATTTTTTAAGAAAGAAAAAAAGTGAAAATTTTTGTGATCACATTTTTAATTTGAGCGTATCGGAGGGGAAAATTTTCTCGATCTTTGGGAAATTGACGATGAAATTTCATCTCTTAATCTTTTTATATAAATACTCTTTTTTTGTCATACTTAATCAAAATAGGAAATTAATCAATTTTGAGGTGCGAAATTCATTCATTTTAAATTTTATAAAACATATTTTTGAGATCTTTCAAGGATAATTAAGCCTTTTGATTATAAATTTCAGAAATTAAGATAAAGATGTTTACAAAAGTATTGAATTGAATAGAGATTAAACTTGGGTAATGGAGCCTGATAATAAGGATTAAAAGCTTTTTATTGACGTAAATTCGATCCTAAACTGCAAAGTTTTCTGATTTTTTTCGTATGATTTGTAAGAAATATCGATCAATTCATAGAAAGTTGGTCTTTCCGATTGTGACTTCATTCAAATTAATCTTTTAAAGTATCATAAAAATAATGCTGATCAACAATTTAAATAGTTTTAGGAATAAATTGATAAAAAATCCTTACTTTAAGCTTCATTTAAGTTTTTATGATTTTAAAATAAGATTTCTCATTTAAAATTTTACATTGAATTTCAATTTTTTAATTTTATAAAACTTCGTTCAAATATTTGACAAGGATGTTTTTAAGAGTTTATGATTCAATTATGACAGTAAAAACCAAATCTAGATACAAATTTAAGTTTAAAGATCTTTTTCTTAGTAAATCTTAAATTTTATAGAAAAAAGACAGATCTCATATTAGTTTTTCATTAAATTAATATTTTAAAAGTTTTTAAAATACAGACAAGGTTTAAAGCAGACTTTTAATTGAACTTTTGCTAAAGTTGTATCCTTTTAGTGGATCTCAGCATAATCTGAATTTAAATCTTCTTTAAGTCATTTTTCAGAATTCATAATAATATCTTGAAATAAGGTTTAAGGAGAGAAATTTCGAATAATTAACAATTTTTGAAGACAAAGCCTCACTTTTAAGTATTTCTTCTAGAAATTCAAACCCTAATTGTAATTATAAAGTTTCTCAATAATCTTCAAATTTCTTCAGAAACCTTTCATCATGTCACATTTCACACCATAAAGTCAATAAAAGTGTAAAATAACAACAAAACTTGGATTGTCAAACTCACCAAATGCCATTTTGGATCAGAATATGTAACTTGACTTTCAGGCAGTGTCATAGCATCAACAATTCACTACTTATTTTTATTAGAAATGACCAATAATTTACAATTTCTTGTGAAATACCGGCGGTATAATTAAAAATTCACTCCTATACAGTATTAAATTATGCTGATTGTGCTCCTTTTAATTGTGTCAATCAGCAAACGTTGTACTCGGACGGAAATTGAAAAATATGCTTGTGGATATCTTCTTACAACGACCACAAGTCACACTCCAAATAAATGATCAAATTTACACACAAGAACAACATAAATTTACAAATAGATCCACTTCATAGATATATCCACATATATGTTGTGAAATGTCGATGTCACAATAATAAGTTAAAGTTAATTCCTTTCCGACACAAAAACTCTTTTCCTTTCTTTCAATCCAATTCACGAATTTTTCTTTTCTTTTCGGCGTTTACTGAGCAGAATGTTTACAAATATTCTAACATGTTTTCAAAATAATTAATTTTATTACTTTTAAAATTATTATTCAACTTTTTCTTATATTTATACTTTTTGCTTAAATGAGGAACAAGATCTACTCGGGCATCTCCCAAACAATTAAAAATTGATAAGTCTGAATCACTGAATTTAATATATTATTTTAATTTTATTAAAGAACATATTTTTTTGGGAAGCGTGTTTACTATTTGTTGTTCAAGCGATAACTGACTGCGAGTGAAATACAAAAATATAAATAACGAAAATCATACATACGGATTTCGATTCATCCACAGCACACAATTCTCCTCTCTTACTTTCTCATATAAACATTAGCGTAAGTAAGTAGGCAAGAAGAACATTTTCATGTATTGTGCTTGCTTACTTTACTTACTGTAAAGAATTGCAGAAGAAAGAAAATATTTGAATTTTCCATGTGTATTTACTTTTATACATTCGCAAATTGCTTCCATTCGCTGTTTTTTTTTCTTTCTTAATTGCATTCTTACTCCGTGAATGACTCTTTTTTTTCACTGTAGGAAATTTTTTTTATTCTGTGTGTGTGAGTTTGTACTTGAATGGCATTACATGAGAATTGAGTGAGTTTTTGGAAGAGATTATTTTAATTATGGAGTACTTTGATGGACGATTTTGAGTTTTTATGAATTTATGGACAATATCCATGATGTAGAGTTGGTCTGAAGATTGATTTTGTAACTTTTTAACTGATTTTTGATGATCACGTGTCAAAATTTCCTATAAAATTAAGTAACGGAAATTTTCATTTTGAAAATTGCTTTTATATGACGCAATTTTTTGCCATAAAATTTAAATATTGAAAAACCGGTAAAAGATTTTAAATTGCTGCTTGTCAATTCAATTCTTAATATCAATGATAAGATTTAAATTGAGCAAATTTTCCTCTGAAATTAGAGTTGAGGTTTTTCCTGGCAATACAATGATTATAAGGAACAAAATGTTTACTGCACCTAATTCATATTATCACCAATTAATGAAGCAGTTAGCTAATCTAAAAACCCTATTATTCATCGGATTTGTGCAACCTTATCAAAATTGCAAAAAAACACGAGGATTTTCCTATTAAAATTACGGCAAGCAAATGTGCATTTATAAGATTTTTATTGGCATTATAAATCAAAACAGAATTAATTTTAATTAATTTAATTCCCTATTTAAATTCAGATTACTTGAGCATGATTATAATCTCTTTCTGACAACTGACCTATACATTCCCAAAATAACACAGGTACAGTTATTAAAATTCCTTAAAAGAATTAAAAATAGAATGTTATGAAAATAAATTAAGAACAGGCTTAATTGTCGATGTTCAAGTCAGGGATGTAGTCAGACACCCACCTAGCTCCTGATTAAGCGCCATTTTTGAATTAAAAGCCATAAAGTTAACAAAATATTTAACATTTTTTAAATCTGCGGTAATGAAAAAAAGAATAATAAAATTAAGGCATTTCAAAATGTGACATTGCATAATTTATAGTTAAATATATAATTTTTTTATCACGGAAAAATTTTATAAATGTTAATAGCAGCACAAGACATGTTTAAAAATATTTACTTTGCGATGAAAAAATATTTTGAAAAACATTTTTAAATATTTTGATTTTTTTCCTCAGAAAATTTGAAAAATTAATGTCACTGTGCGGTGTTGGAGGCAATTATATCGCGTGAGCTCATTACTGCAATTAACTTACAGCTGATGCATGCAGATCTACAAAAAAAAAAATGCATCGACAGCACATGATTCCGTGAAATATTTGCAATTTGTAACTTTAAAAATGTGTGCAACAGATTTTGCGTTTCGATTTTCAATTCTTTTCGATTCCTTTCCTTTGTCCAAATATGCAAATCGATTATGATCACGTACGAGCGATAGAATTACAGTAAATATTACTCTCGTCTTAGGTTTTTTATGCATTGATTGATGAAGTATTTGAAGATCTTAGAAATACGAAAATTATTAGCTAAATATACATTAAATGCACATTTAGTTATTAAGTTTTGAGGAAATCATTCAATCATTTTACATTCTTTCTTTTTACTGTGCTGTGCACTGCCTGCTTTGTGTAGGAAAGGAAATTCAAAAGAATTCTTTTTCTTTCTGTTGTTATGATTCATTTTCCGCATGCTTTTTAGCTCCGCCTTTATTTTATATTCACACGTTGTGATGTTCATGCTGAATGACTAGATTGAGACTGTGTGAGATTGTTGCTGCTTGATTATTTTGTTGTGCTTATTGCTTTTTTTTTGTGGACTTTGAAGGTAGTATTTTTTGTTGAATTTTAAAATTCATTGGCACGAGGTTTTTGATTTTTTAAGGAATAATGAATCGATGCTAATTTCATGGTCAAGTGACTTTGTTTAATAATAATATTTATGCTGTAGATTAGAAATTTCTCCACCATCCCTTACACAAATCTTTGTATAGAAGAACATCCCTAGTTGCCTTAAGCTAATCAAGAACTTATATAGAATGTATCTTACAATTCACAATCATACAATCTATAAAATTATATTGGACATCAGACTATCTTCATCCAACAATAAATAATAGGTAAGTAAATATCATCAGTTTTTGGAAAATGATCCATCAACAACAAGGCGGAGCCAAAGAAAAATTCAGATGCTTAATTAGGTAATTGATACATTTTTGAATTATGAGCGAATGGAAATTTTATCTAGTTTTTTGAGACTTATTTTTTTCGGGCCTCAAGCTATCATTTCAGATGTTGTATTGTTGATGATACTTATCAAAATATTTTGATGTAATAAATTAAAATTGAATACACGCGCAAAAGCACATGGAAATGACATCAATTGGATTGTTCATAAATGAAGTGTAAAACATAAAATTTGAGGATCCCGTTCTTTAAATTTTTCTAGTTTGTAAGTTTTCGTCACTTAAGAACGAGATCCTGGCGTTTGTTTCATTAAATCAAAATATCTTAAAGTAGGCAGAAGCTTAAAAACAATTAAACAACAGTAAAAGTCGATAATTTACTGCCAACTCGTTGCATGTTGTCATCTTAACTTTTTAACTCGATTCATTGTCATCAATCAAGTGCCGAGAAAGCAAGAACAAGGAATAAAATGTGTCATAAAATTTGAGTATAGTGAGAAAATATATTTTTTATGGTTCCTCTATGTAACATCAATGTTAATTTGTTGTATGAATTCAAGCTATAAATCATGGCAATAATTAAATTCTCACACCTCATGTTACACATAAATATTTGCATGCTATTCATGTAAATATTTTATTTTGATGAAATGAAATACATCTACTGAATTCACAGTGGCATCGATGCAGCAGCAAAAAAAAAAGGCTTAAAATGTAATAAAATTTTTTACAGAGCATAAAAGATGCCGTGAGATAAAATACATTTCCTATTTGACTAGTTGATAGAATTTCTTCCTCTAAAAATACAAAGTTTCTCAATTTTTTTTTCTCTGTTACTCGATTTAATAGGGTCATAAAGATGTCTAAAAACTAGAGCACAAAATAACATCTTCTCGATTACTTCTTCTTTTACTGATTTTTCTGTACCTTTCAGTTGTTAACAGGTGGCTCATTAGTATTTTTGGGGATTTAATTGAAGTTTTGTAGAGATTTAAAAGGTGCTTACCATTTATGGATGCTTTAATTTGGAAAATTAACATAAAAAAAATAAAAATTTAAAATTAACGGCCAAAAATAATCAAAAATTGACAGGAACAGTACAAATTCTTAAATAAAACCATACAACAGCTTAAAATTTTAATTAAAACAATAGGGTAAATACTTAGGGGCCGGGCCGTTCACTTATTACGTTACGCAAAAAAGGCTTTTTTTTCACCCCCCCCCCCCCCTCCCCCCTTGTTACAATATGTCACAACTCACAACCCCATTTTTTTCTTAAACATCAAAATACTCATTTTAGCTAAATAAGTCAAGTTTTGATTGATACTATTAGTATTCTCATGAATTATTGGATTGTGATATAAAGCAAAAAATTGTTTTTTTTTGAAGAAAATTCAAAAATGTCATGAATTTTGGAAAATTCAATCAACTTTGAATGTAAATATCAAAATTATGGGATCATATTAATCATCATATGAATGACAGATTTAGAGAGATTTACTTTTAAACTTATGATTGATTTAATTTTGATTTGTTCATTTATATAACAAAAACTATGTATTGCTTAGCTATCAAAAGTGATCTGGGCATTCATAAATCATTAAAAAAATGAAAAATTTAAAAAAATGTTTTTGGTGAACTTTTTTTTAAAAGACAGACGACAGTTAGAACGTTACATACTTATAGACACCCCCCCCCCCCCCCTCCTATGTTACATTTTGTTACAATTTTTTAAACCCCCCCCTCCCCCCTAAAATGCGAACGTAATAAGTGAACGGCCAAACTCAATTCAACCGGTAAAACTTTAAAAAATTCTATGCTGAATTTTGAGCATTTTAGCTATGATAGCTACTGTTAACTCACTTAAAATCAAAGCTTGTTATTTTTTATGAACATTGATAAGCTTTAAAATCATGAATATCAGGAAACAAAAGAGATTTTTGCAGAAATATTTTCAAGAAATGTTTACACTAATACACTTACATTTTTTTGTTGACATTTTTCAATTTCAACTGAATTTTCTTAATTTTGGAATTTTCTTACTTGAAACTGCTTGAAACAATGATTAACAACTTACTGATCACATAATTAGTGATACTGATCGAAAAGCTTCATAATCTGTAGCTTAATTAAAGCAAAATTTTGTTTTATGCTTTAACGGAAAATAAATTTTGAATTTTTCAAAATTTTACATAACTGCCAACATACGAAATGACGCAAGTCTGTTTTAAACTATTGAAAATAGTGTAAATTTTCATTTCCAACCTCTTTTTTTAGAGCTACGATGCTTATCAGCAGTGATATTCGCATTTTATTTTCAACTTTTGAAATTTGCATGGAAATTTTTTATAACATCGTCAGAAGCATCGTCGTTGAATATCAACAGAAAAATTGAACAATCATATCCATTATATGGATTATCTACAAAATCAAATTGCAAATATTTATTTTAATATGCTTTATACTGCTTTATACAATTATTCTTTGTAAGAATTAATACTTGCTGTATCGAAAGTTTAGATGCATAGCACATTTCTTGATTTTCCAGATTAAATTCTTCATAACCGACATGTCCAAAATATATCCTCAGATATCCTCTAATTTTTTAAAATCACCATTCTCTTTTATCTTTATTTTAGGCATAAAACATTAATGTTTTGAATCAGAAAAATTAATGTTTACATCAAATTTCGCAATGTCTCCTAAGCTTAAAAGTGTGCAAATTTCAAAAGTGAAAAACAAGCTTTTTTAAAAGTGATTTTTTGGGCACTTCCGCTTATTCTTTCACAAAAGAAATACTTCCAAAATTTTAAACAGCTTAAGAACTACATTTTTGGATATCACAATATTTGATAAAGCCACTGCTTTTGTCCCAAAACTTTATATTTTGCAAAGTTTCGTTTTGTATGAAAAATTGATTGCTGAAGGAATTCATCTTCCTGATGCCTTTAAACAACTCAAAGTGGTACAACAGCATTTTTACAATAATTATACAAAGATTTTGTGAAGAAGTGGATATTCTGGGAGAAATTTGTATTTTTTATTTTCATATGAGTGCGCAAATTTCAAAAGTGTGCAATTTTCAAAAGTATTTACCATACAACAACTTCATTAATCTTGTGAAGTCACCTTAATTAATATTCAAAAAATCAATGTTAAAATATGCCTTAAGTCAACTGTGAGTTTTCAAAATATTATTCTTTAATTAAAATAAACATCAGCAGAAGGTACTTGATGAATATTATGATCAAAGTTCGCCCACAACTTATAGAAAACATCAACATTTAATTTATGAAGAAAATAAATTTGTCATTAATTACATATTTGTATCAATTTAATATGAAATTAATGTCCAATAAATACTTAATTACATGAAAAATAAAACAAATTAGGTAGGGAGGAATTCATTGTGACATGGAGAAGAATTTATCTGCTCAATATTTACAAAATATATCTCAAAAACATTTAAATTGCATTATTTATTCGTGTGAAATGCTCAAATCCAAATGAATCAATTGGCCTTTCTAGCATAAAATGTGTTTAATGCTTTAAATGGAACTAAGGCAAGAAGAAATGTAGAGAGAAAAATGTTCTATTCATATTTTATTTTAAGATCATCATCATAGATAGCCTCAGCTGTTTGAAATATATTTTCAGAAACAGCAAGTGACGTACAGCTATCAAAAATTTGATGCTTGTACAATATGAAGAAAAATCTTTTTATTATCAAAAAATATTTAAAATCCAATAAAAATAGATTGCATATTTATATAATGTAGATGAAGAATTGAGCATAGAAGTGTGTTGAGTATGTAAATGTCAAGTTGAATGAAACAAAAGACTTCCTTTAATGCTCACTTTAATCATCATTATTCTCTTCCTAGAATGCATTTTCAATATACAGAAGAAAATTGAGTTTTAAGCATAAATCATGCTTGGGATGTGTTCGTCTTGGATTTTATAGGCATAACTTGATTGCTACTTAGAACAGCATGGATAGAACTTTTAAATTTCTGATGCCTTGGTTCTTTAGATGGTGGAAGTAAAGTATGGCCTAGACCCATATCGACACAGTTCAAAAAGTAACCCTAATTTATGTCATAATTATGTCAGCTGCAAAAACACTTAGTTTGAATTTTGTCACTCTCGGGAACACTATGAACCATTATAGCTGATTTTGGTCCAAATCTCGGCCATACTTCACACTTATTTGAACCACATTTTCTCGTAAATGTTAAAATATTATTAAATAGTAATTAATTCTGAATTATGTCGCTATTTTGTCAAGTGTTTTAAGATAAAGAATTTGATTTTTGGTTTCCACAGTGAAGAGTATGAACAAAATTCAGATGGGATAGTCGAAATTTTAGATTTCGATTTTTTTTAAGCTATGCATTACAAAAAGTAATATTGGTATGTGATTTATGTCAGAATTATGTCAATTCAAATAAAACATCCAAAAAATTTTTTTGTCCAAAGTACACCATAGAAAATCAATTTTCAATTTTGGACTAGGGGCGACCCTAGTTAAAATCTAGTTTTTCATTTTTTTCTTCGAAGGTTTATCCAAATGGATTGAAACTTTGCATAAATATTCAAGTGCTTAAAACAAATACAAATAAAACATCCTAAAATTTTTTTGAGCAAAGAACCAAGAAGAAAATACATTTTATGCAAAGTTTCAATCCATTTGGAAAAACCCTCGAAGAAAAAAGTGACAAAATTGATTTTGACTAGGGTCGCCCCTAGTCCAAAATTGAAAATTGATTCCTACTTGGCTCTTTGGTCAAAAAAATTTTTTGGATGTTTTATTTGAATTGACATGATTCTGACATAAATCACATTCCAATATTACTTTTTGTAATGCATAGCTTAAAAAAAATCGAAAGCTAAAATTTCGACTACCCCATCTGAATTTTGTTCATACTCTTCACTGTGGAAACCAAAATACAAATTCTTTATCTTAAAACACTTGACAAAATAGCGACATAATTCAGGATTAATTACTATTTAATAATATTTTAACATTTACGAGAAAATGTGGTTCAAATAAGTGTGAAGTATGGCCGAGATTTGGACCAAAATCAGCTATAATGGTTCATAGTGTTCCCGAGGGTGACAAAATTCAAACTAAGTGTTTTTGTAGCTGACATAATTATGACATAAATTAGGTATATCTTTTGAACTGTGTCGATATGGGTCTCGGCCATACTTCACGCCTACCTTTAGATGAAATTTACCTGAATATTACCTTAATTTCTATTTCAGAGGTCAAACTCGCTTTAAACCTAATGTAAAGTTTGACACGTGATCTTACTTGATGAACAATATTCTAACCCTCAACATCAGTTTCACTTCATTTATACATCCTAATAACTTCATTATTAATATTAAATATAAACAATTTTCCCTCAAACAGCACAGATAGTAAAAATGAGCATCGCTCCTATTAGGGTCTGACATTTATGACAATAAAACAACTGTTCATCATAGGTAGTGTGTATAGCACACGCCAAAAGGATGTATTACCTTGTTAAAATTAATTGAGCAGTTCGTTTCGCTTTCAGCAGTGATTATATCAGTTTACTGTGGATGTAAATTGTCAGTTAATGAAGATTACGCACATCCTATCATTTTACATTTCCTCATTTACATCCAAAATTGTTTTTTCTGTTGCTGTATTTAGTTTCTTGACTTTCTTTTTCTGGAAATTCCAAGTTCAAACTTCAAGCAACTTTGAAGGTTCTATAGAACTTTAATATCAATTTCTTCTTTTACGTGCTTTGCATCTTTAATTTATGTAAAAAGTAAAAACTTTGTACAGCTTTGATGTCACACCAAAAAATACTAGATCAAGCCGTCGACCAGAATATCTAATTCAATGGCAATAAAAGTAAAATAATCAATTCTCTTTTGCTTCACATTCTATACCGCATTTATGTGACGTAAAGTCTAATACAAGCCATACATCGTACACATTTTATTTTCACTTTCTTGATCGGCGTTTAATTGCTTTCTGTTTGTGCAGTAAGACAGTCGTGTTTTTATTTTTGTTCTACTGTTTGGAAATATGTACAAGTTAATACTATTCTTACAAGTCATCATTTTGATTGGGTCATCTATCAGGTATTTCTTATAGTTTATACTTTATATTTAGATCAATTTTTTTTGAGATGATCAAATAAAGTTTCAAGTATATCCAGAAACTTTAACGAATTTATTGTTGAGTGCTGAGATTGGTGCTTGCAATGCATTGCAAGAAAGTGTAGCCCAAACTTAGTGGCGCATAGGAAGTGACCTGTGATATTAGGAATTAGTTGATCAATCTTACAGCGCATCATTTTTGTAGACAGGCCTACGACTATGGTAGTTTATGAATACAAGCTCAATGTAGCTATTCAACTCCATATGATGCTGATTATTACAGTTTAGTGTTCCCAAATAGCTATTTAAGGGGATATGAATACGATTCTCACCCAATCAGATCCATAACATAAGACTGGCTATCAATTTCAACTCAAAATCCGATCCTAGCTAGATAAAAGCCTTTTAGTTCCAACAAAAATTATTCTTCTTCCTATTTTCAGTTATCAATCAGACAACGTTTGGTACTGTCGTGATGATCTTTACTGCCTACCTCTGAGAAATAATAATGAGCAGTCAACAGTACAGACATTTGAGAACCAAAACATTTGTAGATTAATGTGCGGCAAGTTTGGTGGTTTGTGGCCAAAGCCGACATTAAAATGCAACTTAGAAAAGTCAACAGTCGGCGTTAATGCAGAATTAATTAGATTTGAATATCCACAAAGTGATGATGTGATGCGAGAATATCTTAATGAAGTGTCATTTTTGTTCCTTAAAAATATTAATGATGAGTGCGGAAATATTTGCAATAGTCCATCAGACACTGAAATGTTTATACACTTATCAATAAATGAATTGAGTAGCTTTAAGCTTACTCATGATACTGATGAATCTTATCAGTTGAATATTAGCACATCAGATAATAAAATTAATGCTCATATTTCGTCAAATACTGTTTTTGGTACTCGACATGGTTTAGAAACTTTAGCCCAATTGATGGTCAAGATTGTGGATGATAAGCAAAGGAATGGCCTTGTGACAGTTTCTAGTGCTGAAATATCTGATAAGCCATATTATAAGCATCGTGGATTATTATTAGACACAGCACGTCACTTTATTCCAATTGAGACAATTTTGAAGGTTCTTGACGGGATGTCAGTCAATAAAATGAATGTTTTCCATTGGCACATAACTGACTCGCAGAGCTTCCCGATGGAAATAACAAGAGTTCCACAAATGCATTTAAATGGCGCTTTCTCTTCCGATAAAGTCTACAGTCAACGTCAAATTAATGACATTGTAAAATATGCAAAGTACAGAGGCATTCGTGTTATATTTGAATTGGATGCACCGGCACATGCAGGTTTGTAGCTCATGTTTTATTTAGGTCTGGTCTCAATGGACTGATAACGATGCAATTCGTGCGACAGTAATATTGATCGTGAAATGCTTCCCATTCCTTAAATAAAATAAAATTCAGTTCTAATGCAACGTAATTGCATATCTTTTTAGGTCATGGCTGGGAATGGGGCAAAAAAGAAGGCTTAGGAAACTTGGCAGTTTGTGTTGATAATCAACCTTGGAGAAAGTCATGTATACAGCCCAACTGTGGACAGCTGAATCCAGCAAATGATAATTTATATTCAGTATTGCGTGATATTTATCAAGATATCCGAGACTATAAAGAGAAAGGCGAGTTTTTTCATATGGGAGGTGATGAGGTATTTATGAATTGCTGGAATAATACTAAAGAGATTACAGACTATATGCAGTCAAATGGATATGCATTGACTACAGAAGGATTTTTAGATTTATGGTCAGAATTTCAGAGGAAGGCACTTGATGCATTTGACTCAATTAGTGATGAGAAGATACCAATGGTTTTATGGTCAAGTGAATTGACATTGCCTAATAATATTGACAAATATCTGCCCAAGAATCGTTACATTATTCAAACTTGGCTACCTGATACATCTGACGTTCCTGAAAAGTTGCTTAAAAAAGGATATCGTCTCATTATGTCCACAAAAAATGCTTGGTATTTCGATCATGGATTTTGGGGAATAACTCAATATTATAGCTGGAAAAAAGTTTATGCCAATACTCTACCTAGACATCCATTAGTGCTCGGTGGAGAAGTCTGCATGTGGTCTGAATATTGTGATGAACATTCTGTGGAATTTAAGATATTTCCTCGTCTTAATGCTGCTGCTGAACGACTGTGGACCAATCCAGCTACTGACTTGAAATCTGCTGAACCTCGATTTAATAGACAAAGGGAGAGGATCATTGCTAGAGGTATTAAAACAGATGCGACGATTCCTGAATATTGCGCACTCTTCGAAGGTGAATGCAATTAAGACTTAATATCATGTAATTTTAAAAAACATTTATTTTAACCCGATAAGTTTAGCTCGGGCATTAGCTTTTAAATCATCACACAAATAAATGAATAGGAATTAAAAATTCTTTGGTAATTTATCTACTCTTTTGGCTTTCTGCTGGATTCCAATATACTTCTGGTAATGTACTTTCAGCAAATGGCCAGAAAATGCTCCATAACCATCGATCTCCAAACACAATCTTTAAGTTCTGTGCTCTGCCTAAGTCATAAGCACCTTTGTTCTTTTCATGTGTTGTGGCATTTTTAACTATAAGTTTCATATGGTAAACAAGTAATACGCCGGTAAAAATAGATCCAATCATGATAAGCATGTATAGAAACAAGTGCCAATCATTATTAGATCTAAAGAACATCATAAACATTGGGAAAAACATCTTAAATGGTGTAAACCATGCAATAAATGAAGTTCCACGATATATCCAGATGTAGTATGAATTATAAAAGAACGAATAAGTAGCTCCAATAAAGAAGTGAAGGAGAAAAATCATGAAATATCGATTATTATTAAGACCGACACAATTTCCAGCGAACATACAATGATGATCCCTTTTCAGTATACAGACATTACATACATCACAATGCCATGAACGAGGTGGAACAATCAGTTCACATTTGTCACACAAATTCCAGTCTTTTGCTGTTGGATCTGTCTTGAATCTCGATGTAGTCATAAGCTCATTCGTTGAGAACACACTTGTGTCTATTAAAATGATGTGCATTAAATTCACAACTATATTAAACACTAAATAGCAACCGAGGATTATATGTGTGTACAAAATATAATTATATCCATGAATCTCAGCCAGAACGTGCTTGAAAAAAATTATAATCATTTTCATTGAAAATTCAATTTTTTTCTTTAAACTTACCTGGATTTCATAATAAAATACTGTTGGAATGATAAAGAACAAGAATAATGAGCAGGCAATATCCTGCTTTGAATTAGAAATGATTGATTTGCGAAACTTCATCTTTGGTATTATCACTGACTCAGTACTTTTTACTTAACTTAATACATAATTTAAAAGAAGAAAATTTTATGTTGAATTGCCGATAAGGAAAATAAATCATATGACATACCCTTCAGGATTGAATTTCATGCGGACGTTATTTTTCTGTGTCTATACTATAGACTCTATAGGATGAATAATGTTTATGCGGTAGTCAATGAAGGGGTGTTTAATGTAATATAAAGTTTGAGGCTGTTTTTTACTAACGCCATTGATCAAAATATCAATCTTCTATGCATACTTTACAGCACCTATTGCTGATAATTCTAGATATAACTTGGAACTTGTTGATGTCTGCTTGCTGCGTTAACCTTATTGACATTTTATTTTATCTAATCTAGATCATTGTTTTGCGAATGACGCATTAATGCTAGCTATTTACGCTGATTCAAGCATTATGCGACATAGGCTTAGTAAGACAAATCTATTATTACTAAAAAATATTTATTTCACTTTTGGTAATTCAATCAAAATTTAAAAACTTTAATTCTTAGTGATACAAAAGTCAACAATTTCATCTAACTTCATATTTTTCAATTCAATCTCAATATTCAAATCAGCTTCCTTCTTTTTGGCAATATGTTCCTTAATCTTCTTCTCACTTTCCTCATAAGCCTTTCTTTTCGCTGCTGTCTCATCAATTTCAGTTACTTCCATTTCTTCGTCACTAAATTCAATAGCAGTTGTGTCCAAAAATTGAATTGCTTCAGATTTCTCAACAGTTTTGCGTTGGGATGTCAGGAGTGATGCAACAAATTCGTTGCAAAGTTTCGACATTGGAGGCATTCCATGATTTGACAGGTTGATTAACTGCAAGAAAATAAGAGAATAAATGACATAAATAGACAATTGCAATATTTTTTCATATCAAATGCATCTTTATCGAATGTATGTGACAATTCTATTATAAAGTTGTGCATAGTGCATTTACGTAAAATAATGGAATCTGCAATTCTGAGATCGAAATTGTTTTTTCCTTGAGTTATTGTCAAGTGGATGATTTATTATGCAATTTCACCTTGACTTACATTAGCTGAATTATAATTTGGGATTTATGCACTTTATTTATGTTAATATGATTTGAATGAAAGTGAAAATACACTACTTCAAAGGAGTTGTAGGAAGCTATATAGAGATTTTAGTTGCAACGCAATTTTTTGTTGATAAATGTTGACTTTTAACGGATATTTTAAATTTGAATTCAGTAAAAAATGAACTCAAATAAAATGAACTTAGATAAACTGAACTCAAATGAAATTGGATTACTGAACGGTTTTTTTTCAAAATTTTAGCGGTTTTTAAAGAAAATAAAGCTGTTCCACGAATTATGCTGTTAAGAATTTTAAGTAAAGATCTTGGACAATGTGATTCTAAAAGCTTCACTTGCCTTACTTAGTTGCATAGAAAAGGGCATGTTTTAATAATTTAGTGAAATAATCTTTTTATCCGTCTATTATGCATTCATTTATAGGTCGTTCATTCACACTAGCCAGTTACGTGCGCGTAAAAGTGTTCTATTAAATAAATGAATTGATTTTTATGGTTCTATTTCAGGAAGATATACGGCTGTATGCAAAACTACGTAAGTCCACTATTGTTATATTTTTTAACTTATGAATAAATTCATTGACTACGGACAAGAAAGCTCTTAAAATTATTCTGACGTAAATATGCTGATGCCTTTGAACTTAAAATAACTCCAAAAAAATTGTAATTCATAATTAATATTTATTTTCGTGTACCAGATATCTGCCCTATAACCATTAAATCCCCCTTAAAAGTGTTTCTGACTGACATCGTTTGGGAACAATGGAAACATTTTGATGAAATTAATTTTTTCATGTATATCCTTTGGGTACATTTCCACATCTTGTTATTATTTCAGAACCAAAGACGATGTTGTTTTTCAGTGAAACAAGCTTTCGACAAAATTTGATGATCGCGAAAAAGTTCTTTATGAATGAAATGTCTAATATTATTGCATACCTTCTTCCTAAATGTCTCTTAGACATTATCTCAATTTTAAAAACATATTTAATGTCATGAGCAGAGTGTTAGCGCACAAATGAACATATTTATGTCCTTCTAGCAACATGTAATTCATGAATGGGTCTAAACATACGTCATAAAAATGTTCATTATTATTGTTCTGCCTTTTTATTAAGTTTTTAAATGAAAATAGAGGAATAATGTTAGAAATTATAGAATGGACTCAATTACAGATTGCTTAAGCGCATGCATGTCAATACGAAATGTGGAATTTGATAAATTTCAAGAATTCTAACGATTCAATAAAATTCAAAAATCAACGAAAATTTAACGAGGAAAATTCAAAACAATTTTGTCCGTTGGAATTTATTTACAGCACAAAAAGGAAGCTACAGTAAATCAAGTGAGACAAAATGAAAACATTCCATCGGAAAGTTCCTCACACACAAAAAGTATGAAGGAGGAAAGAAAGAAAGCATAAACAGCCAGTACACGAGCTGTGTGAGTAACGTTTAAGGCAGAGAGAGAAAATTATATAAATGCGGTGAACAACATGAGATTGCTATTCAGTCCAATATTGCCTTCGCATGTAAGTGGAGCTAATCTCTCAGAGTTGATTCAAAAGTTTAGTTAATTTATTAAAGGATATATCATGAAGTGTTTAAGTGTTTTACTTTGTGTGCTGTTCACAATTTTATATTTTACTGAAACTGATGCCTATCCAGCATCAAATCCTGAAATGATAGCTGTAAGTGACAAGTATGAGTCTATTTAATTGACTATAAAAAATATTAATTTACAGGGTCGAGATATATCGTCAATTCCTCAATTTCATTGCCTGCGTTACTTTAAGCATGACGTGAATTTATTGAGGCGCTGTCGATACACAAGATTCTTAAGACGACCTGATGTTGATGAAGGAGATGAATTTGACGGTGGAAATTAAAATCGGCTCTGGAATTATTACAATTACCAAACTAATGCTCAAAAACCTCAGTTGCAAAGAGACTTAAACTAATTTACTACCTATAATTAATTGGATATAAATATTCTTCCCCATTTTGTATTTTCTTAATAATTGTTCAGAATAATTGTGTGCATAAAGTTATAAAATATATTATTAATGGAATAAATCTACAGATTGCTAAATTTTGACTCACCTCCTTAACATTTCCAGATCCATTCGTGATAATATGTTGAATTGAAATGTCTCTAGCTTGATTTCTAGTGTCTTTTCTCGTCAGCATTGTTGCAAGTGGCGTGGTTGTCGAATATTCATTAATGTCACTCATAAATGGAGTCAAGTCAATAATTTCCTCATCATTTGGTGAAGATAAGCAACAAATCTCTTGATCTTCAGTTAAGAACAGTAATTGTGAAGCTGCTTGCCAATTAACACTCAACGATTGACGTCTTGGATTCTCTTGTGGTACCCAAATAGCACTACAGATTTTAGGTATATTTTTCTGATGGAATATAGTCATTGGCGGTGATGGATGAATAACAAACAATTCATTGAATTTTGTGAAAATTGCTACAAGATTTGTGAGTGGATCGAGCGCAATATGCTTGCATTGGATTTTAAATGAGCCTTGGATCTTTAATGTCAAAAGATTCCAAACCAAAATTCTGTTTGATGTGCTAATTATAACAAGATGCGATAACTCGTCTGTACAAAAGTGAATGCTGTTTATATGGTTGGTGTTTTTGACAGGTAAAAATGTGTTTTCAGGCTGTGAGCTTTTATGCTTAATTGCATCTTCCTTAATCGGACTTTTCAGTAATTTCCTCACTGTTATAATTTTACGATTCCTTTTCACGTCCAAATTTTTCCATGTATTGTATCTCCATAAAAGTTTGAATTTTGAATAAGTTTTGACTTCATTTATGCTGCTTCTCAGTGATTTGTAAAGATGCTGATCTTCAGCGATGTTTTTTGATATGAAATCAATTACATCATTTTCTAATCGACTGCTAATGTTGTAATAAATGTTCAACTTATGTAAAACTTGAAGTTTTTCATTAAAATTAAGGTTTGCTGTGGACATGACTGTCTGGAAAATTAATTTCTTTTCATTATGCTTCAAATTTTTAGGCTTGACACCTTCCAATGACTTTCTTTTGAAAATTCGACTTTTCTCTTCTGTCATGTTCTTAACGAGCGATTGATTTGATGCTGGATCATTAATAATTGCATTCATCATCTGTAAAGTCTTTTGTCTTTTCTCAGCAAGACTTGACAATGTATTTTTCGTCTTACTTCCTTTACTTTTGCTGGATAATGAAATTAAAACACGATTTGTTGATCCATCCAGAATAGACGGTGCACTTAGTGCACACTTTAATTTGAAATCAATTGCGTCCCAAACGCATAAAACATTTCCGAAACCAGCAGAAAGTAATGAAGAATCTTGTGAGAATGTTAGACATCTAATTGGTAAGTTTTTGTAGCTCAATTGCTCTATTAGCATCCAAATCATTTTCGGATTTTTGATTTCTTCTGAAGCTTCAAGTGACCAGATTTTTATGGCACGATCTAATCCAGCTGTTGCACAAATGTATGAGTCATCAATATTTGAAAATGACACGCTGATTATGTTCTTGTCGTGTGGCTGTTCGATCTGTGTGTGCAAGGCATATCTATTGGAGGAAAAATAAAGTAAGTTTTAAAATAAATCCGAGGATTTAAATTAGGAGATTAAAGAAACGTACGTTTGCTTTTGTTCCATAAACGACCAAAATTTAAGACGTGACTCTATTGAAGACATTCGATCATTCCAGCACTCAATTGTAGCCATCCACTTTCCACATGACGAAAATGCAACGTGAGTTACTTCCGTTGAAAAATGATTGCAGTTTTTCTGTCTTGGAATTGCATTTTGCATGGTAATATCGATGTTAAATAAGAGTCTCATAGTTTTTGTTGAGAAGAACTGTAAGTGACCAATTCGTCCGTTCAAGACTAAATGCTGATTTTTTGGATTAACAGTAATTTTTGCAGGAAATTGTTGATTCAATCCCAAATCATATGCTGAAATTTGTGTAAAATCCTGAATTGTCTTAAGTTGATTAAGATTTGAGTTAATGATCTGAATAGCATTATCATCTAACGATATTGTAAGCTTATCATGTGCTGGATCTACACTAATTTGTTTAATGCTTCCTGATACACGAGGTAAAAAGTTTTTTTCTTGTGATTTCTCCTTAATTTGCCATTTTACAAGAACACACTCAGTTCCTCCAGAATATAAGACAGTTCCAGATTGTGAGAACGCAATACTTAAGACAATTTGATGATGCCAATGAAGTTCATTCTTTACTGCATTCTTGCTAAAGATATTACTCCAAAGAATAATTTTTCCTTTAATATCTCCAGTTGCAATTATATCATCTGTTGGATGACATTCAACAACATTAATTGGGAAGAATGAATTCTTGTGATGTTTAAATTCAAAAGATTTCTTATCAATCACAAAAAGATCCAGTTTATGAGTTATAGCTATGAATCCATTTCCAGCAGCAAATTTCACTTTTGCTTCTGAATTTTTATCTAATCCTGGTAAATTAAATTGATGCACGACTTCATTTTTTGTCATATCCATTAGCACTATACTGGATGTTTTGTCAGTATCAATATAGTGGACTACAGCATGTAAAATGTCATCAACTAGTGTGACTAAGAATCTTTTTACTATTGCCAACATCTTAATATCGAGTTTCTAACAATGAGAAATATTATTAAGTTCATGAATATTAAGGAATTAAATATTGACTACCTTTCTTAGTGTTATTAAATTGGAATCAAGTTTCCAAAATGAAATTTCTCCATGAACCGTACAAGAAATCAATGACTTCTTTGTGTTAGGATCTAAAAATAATCCAACGATGGTTCCATTCTTGTTGTCAGCTAGTTCTGTAATCAATTCTCCTGTTTCTACGCTGTATGCCCGAATTTTGTCGTTTCGGATCACATAAATGATTCTAGGTTAAATGAGTCAAACTTTAAAACAGCAGCATGGAAGCATTAATTTATGTTACTTACTCTCCATTAGCATCAAAGATTGGTTTATCATCGATTAAACTTCCTCCGCATAAGCTCTTGATGTTTAATTTAAGTTCTGAAGCTGGACTGTCTGTTTCCATCATTGTAAAATTTCCCGTATAATTTTGATTCACTATTATTTTCTGATTATTATAGTGGTGATCTATATCTAAGCACATGTTCCTTCACTCCAAAACTTGTTGAATTAACTATTTTCTTTCTTTTCAAGCTATTAATCCTTTAAATTTAATTTTTTCTTCAGATTTTATTAGACAATGTTTTCAAATTGAATTTTACGTAAACTTTTACGTAAACAATTACGTAGATCAACAAAAAATTTGAATTTTTCAGATACGTTATTGATATGTTTAAATTTGAATTTTTTCATAACGGAAAACTTCTAACATTTTACTGCATTTCACGAAATTTCCAGCAGCAATTAACATTTTAATTAGCATAATTGATATTCACATAACATTTTGTATAAGCAGCATCAACTTATTTTAAAAGTACTTAAAGCGCTCAAAATAAATGCTAGAGAAGCAATGTTTTTATTTATGCTGAACATGTGACTTACTGACTAGGAAATAAATCCTCTCTTCACTTCTCTCTAACTGGTTTTGAAAATAATATTTTTGTATCCACATTTTCCTTCTACTTACCAACTCAGTTCATGTATATTTTAAAGCCAAGTCAAGCCAGCATGTTCAGTATTTTTTTATCAGTCAGTTGGTCGCGCGACTTCATGCGATGCAAAGCAAAATAAAAAGCTTAAACCAGTGAAATAAAGTAGTAATTTTGTGAATTGCTTAATCTCTTATTTTTTGGATTAACTGAAACAATTATATTGCATAATATTGTGAACACACGACAAGATTATTTCCCTAATAATTGGAGAATTGACACAAGTTTTACCATTTTATTTAAGCTGTGCTTACAACAATGGTAAATTTATCAAAAATGTGAGTAATTGAAATGATATGTTGTGTAGTTGTTAAAAGAAATGAGCAGGTTCAAGTTTATAGCCAAAGTGCGTTTCTATGAAAATGATGCGAAAACTTTGCTTCAAAAGTGTGTTCAGCATAAATGACGCAAAAATTTTTGCCTCCAAAATATGTTCTACAAAAAATGATGCAAAACTTTATGCCTCAAATGACAATTCAATGTTAAAAAAATTGTCATCTAAAGGACATTGAGTAAAATTGTTATCCTCAGAGCATGCAAAGTGTCAATTCAAATCAGTAAATCCTCAAAACAAACTGATTGATAAACAAGGAAATTGATATGACAAATGAGCACTCAAAACTTGACTTGACTCGGACCATTCAAGAGCCAATTGTCATGAAATATTAAGTCAATATGTTTGGTACGTAAAGAGATTAAGGCGATTATTTGAATAAACACCATAAAGTGTGTCTATTGAATGTACAAAAGCACATAAAATTATCATTTAAGTACATGCCATTCATTAATTGAATAAATTAAAGCATAGATAATAATAGACGAAAATAATAAAGCACAAAAGAAGCTCTCATCGGATGAACTTGAAATTCTTAAATTGCAAATAAGTGTAAAGTGGGTAATAAGATGTTGATTTTATGAACCCATACCATAAATTATGAATTGTGCATTCATTCATTTTGTCAGCTTAATCTTTTTTTTTTGCTCTCTTGTGCAAACAATGCCACGAGAATACCTTCAATGCGTACATAAATTATCATTGTCGTACTTCCATTATTTTTGTCATTTCCATAATAATGGACATTAAATATTTATGTCAATTGATATTTACTAAATGTTTTTACAAAAAATATCTTTAATTGTTGTCAATGCACAAAGAAACTAAGGGGCCAAAAGATGACGGTTGCTACACAAGTCTAATAGATATAATAGTTTTGTTGACGACAGAGATTTTACCTTCCTACAAAATGAGCCAGTTAATTTGAAATAATGGAAGTGATGTGGAAATAGAATGGAATGTTTGAATGCTGTAAGGTTAAGGAACTAGAGAACATGAAGAAATTGCAAGCGTGCCTTAATACACAGTAGTTCAGAAGTAAACAAATTGATTCTCTCACGATTATCGATTATGTCTTAAATTACGCAGTAAGATGATACCAATAATCATCAAAATCAATCAATCATGTTGAGACAGCTACTCATTTCCTTCCAATAAATAATACTCGAGGGTCGTTGACAAATGATGCCTGATATATATGCTGAAGGGATCTTTAACTCTAATTTTGCAATAAGTGGTAGTTTGAAGATTCAATTTCATGTAAGGCATCACTTAAGACAGAATCCATAATCCGATTATTTTGCAAAATTGAGTTTGACGTACTCCTGAGTGACATCAATTTAGTCAACATGATCATGAAAAAGTACATTACCTGTGTAGTTAATTCAAGTGTCATCAATAATATTACTTTACTTTTACACGACATTGAGGATGGCATTGATCAATAATTACTGGTAATTTCGTTCTTTCACCATCCATCCATAAGTCGTAATTCACATTTTTCCTTTATTGACATAAAAAGGTTAATAAAGTAAACAGTCGTGAAAAAGAAGCAATTTTCTAATTACAAATTGATTGCTTATTGGCGTTGCCTGATTTTTTTTTAGTGTTTTGTTTCTGACTGACTTTAATGCCAAAACAATTTCTTTCAAGTCAATATTTTGTGGATTAAGAAATAATCGATTTTAATCCATTTTGAGGTAAAAAATCAATCTTTAATTTAGTTTAATTCCGTCTCATTTAAATCATGCAACTATGTTTATATGCATAATGGATATACTTTCATACCTAACAATCAACACGTATCTTTGGTTATTGCATTTATAAGTTTGTTTCATCAGACTTGTGCTTCGCATCATGATACGAACTTTTATGCACAAAATAAAAGTAAAGTAATATGAAGTAGTAATAATATATAGCAAGAAGAGAGATGAAAGTAATACGTCTGTTATTTTGCGTTTCATCTATTAAAGAAAACCAGAATGAATGATATAAAATGTGTGCGGAGAGCTTATTGAAATTGAATAGTGCACAAAATTATGTAATAGCGCGTTCTTCGCTTACATACCAATCAAGTAAGCAGATATCCAGTTTTATGTTATTAAAAAGATGTGCACTGTAACGTAAGCACGGACGTAAATTAAATTAATGCCAGCAAATTTATGGAAATTCCAATATTTTCAGCATTAAAAAAAGGAAATTTTGTAATTCAGTAAAATGCGTCGCACATTTAAATGAACTTTTCTTTCATGATAATAAAAAAACAGTAAGTAAGTTTATTTCTCTTCTACTCTATTTATCATTCGCATGACAAAAACTATCACAGCGTAACACCGCCAGCTGATTTTATAATACCTGCTTACTATAGCTAATAAAAAGAGTATAAAAATTGCAATTAAATCAATATCCATAATGTGAGATAACATGAATTTTTGTCGCAACAAAATCAAAGCATAAAGGCTACTGTTGTTACTGCACAGCATCTACTTTCTTTAAATATACCAATTATTCCCTTGAGCAATTTTATGATGATTCGATAATTTCATGTGGTCTTTTTCAGTAGCGTACAGGGTCTTCACATTCTATTTGATTAAAGTACAGCCACTGAAAAATATCCTTAGGCAACAATAAGCATAAGTAATATATTAAAATACATTTAACGGTGATTATGCTATTTTGCATCAATTTGCATTATAATTAATCATGATTGCGAAGTATCATAATTGGAAAATTATTGCAAATATGTGCCTATATGATGAACAATTATCGTGTGTCAATAAAGTTAAAAATAAAGCTTCATTTTAATACCTTCTTCCACTTATTCACAATTATTTTACAACCGTGAGCATATAAAAGTCGTGATTTAAATTAATAATATGGATTTAATCAACATGCTTTATGTCTCTATCATTCAATTGTAGTTATTCATTATGACAGCTTCTTCTCTTTTTTTGGACTTTATGGACCTTTACAATTTATTTGGCGAAACAATTAAGCTGAGTGGATCATGAAGAAACATTTCAAAGCATGCCGAAGGATTTACTTCGTGCACATTTTTCAGCTGTACTTTGCTGTGCTTTGATGTTTCACGATTCATGAAGATTTTAGATACAATCTCCTCAAATTTAATGTTTTATGGATATTTTTATCGTCTGATGTTACTTTTTATGAGTGTAAAATCTCTCGAGTGCTTTAAATAAATTCTTGACATCTAATTTAGTATGCAGAACATGTAATGAAGATGTCATTTTTGTCAATTTTGTGTACGAGCGGTGATTTCTTGTTTGTTCCAGTTTGTTCTGATTGAAGCAAATTATAATGTTTAACTATTTACTAAATTTTGATTCATTGGATCTTTGATCTTTTAAATTCAATTTAGTCAAATAATAATCACAGCACAAAAGAAACGATTATGTGCTAGAAAGCGACATCAAATTAGATTAGCCCAAAGTTTTCCATGCAAAACAATCATTAGTTCAACAGATAAATTTTATGATAATGAAAATGTGATGAACAAAAAGTCATCATAAAGGAAGCGTTAACAAAGTGTTGATTGTTATAAACTTTTATCCATTGCATCATAATCATAAAGTTTTAATACACAACGATTTAATTAACAAAAGAAAACACAATTAAAGATGTGATTGTTGATGCTGGTCAGTTCATCGCAAGGTTATATTTTTTTATGGTTGACAACTTCCCTGATTTATAGAGATAATTTTTGTAACATTCACTCTAAATACCTCTAGACAGCATAATAATAATGATGTTTACGTGTGTCCAGAAGAGAAAAAACAACAATCTAACATAATAAAATTAAAATATCTATTATGATCATGAGTATGGTCGTCTTAAATGAACAAAACAGGTTCATTATTGAGCAATACCGATTTTTATATTATTTTACATCGAGTTTACACCTTTCATTTGGCTGCATTTGAACAGTCATTTGCGGAAATAAAATATATTGCTGTTTACAAAATTAAATGTATGAAAAGGTATTTTTATAGACACAGAAATAGGCTAATAACAGCACGTTGTATTAGGGCAATTCTTTGGATGAGTGGAATTTGAAAAAAATGAGCTTTCATAATCCAATGTCAATGAGTTTTGTGCCAATAAAATGTTTTCTTTAATTTCATATTACTGTGAAGGAATAATAAGCCAGAACTTTCGTAGATCATTAAGCATAATTAATTATTTACAAGTGATCTATTGAAATGTTACAACTCACCCAAATTAAGTGAAAAATTGAAAAAATATGTTTGAAAATTTTGTATTTTTTCACGGATTAAGACAAAAAAAAGCTTCTTTATAACTCGATGACACAAGGAAATTTTTCAAAGAATTGAAATATTTCATTAATTACTGACTTAAAGCACACAGAAAAGCAACCTAATTAAAGATTTTTGTCTGTTCTATAACTCAGTAAAAGTTATTCAATGTGGATATCAATAGTTTTCTCTAATTTTTGATTCTTCGGATGATGAAAATTGAAAATTCCGATTTCTGTCATCGAGTTATTGACAAAAGAATCCAAATAACTTAATTAATACAGCGATTAGAAGTATATGATATCAAAAGGAGTGTACATTTTATATTTTTACATCGATAAGAATCATAAAATCAGTGCCTCTGATGGGAAAAATCAATAAAATTTCGATTTTTTGCTGAAAATTTTCCGAAAGTAATCCAAAGAATTGCCCATTAAACTAATTGTACATTTCTAGTGGATATCTTGTAAATGTCTCATTGTTAGGTAATAATTAATATTACAAGATTTATAGACCTTTATGCTGGATTTTATTACAAATGTTGTTTTTGTGAACTGTAAAATGATTTTTGGGTGGCTGGATAGACATTAGATACAGATTTCAAGTTCTAATTTTAATCCATAAATAAAAAGCCAAGACTGCATCTCAATTTTGTTTGAATACTCAAGAGCCATTAAATATTCATTTCCACGATATTGGCACTACTCAAGTTCAAGGAGATTTTAAGCATTCTTGAACAGCTCGTTAGAATAACAACCTCGGAAGCAATTGCGCTCTGATCAAAGCCTTATAATACCTTGTTGACTTGATCAATAAAATGGTTCAAAACAGCAATTCATGTGCCTTAATAAGCACAATAGATGTGCTAATATTTTCTTCTGAAAGCAAAATAATATTAAATTGAAATAAACATTGAACTTGCGTCATGCATTTAAGAAAATGTATGGAACAAGCATGAAAATAAATTTGTTTTATTAAATTTTTATTTGCATTTCAAGGACATCAAGGATTGCATTACCGCTATTAATAGTGCTACTGGCAACTGTAACAAATATTTTTGCACGTCCACACCACGCTCCACAGCCGTATGCTCATCCTGCTGTATTGGAGAACGAGGCAATCGAGTCACAATATCCAAGCTATTTTAAAAATCCATTCTATAAAACTCCAAGGTAAGCTTTAAAAATCAAACTCAATTATTTTCTTGAAAATAAATTAATAATAACAATCCCACCATTAATTTCAGAGTACGTACACATCTCGCAAGACATAGTTGGTTGGCGTATGGCGAGCAGCCTGTCGAAAATAGAATTGCTGATGCAGTCCCACGAAAAGAAATTTACAAATTGTTAACACATGCTGGTCTTGTTTCGCGGGATGAGTATCCATACGCGTAGTCATAATCATTGCTACCTATGCAATGCAACTTAATGTACCATAAAATTTACTATCTTGTATTTTGTAAATATTAAGCATAATTGTACACAATCCGAGCATTTTAGTCATAATTTGTGTGGATAATAAAACATTTTATTATTTCTCATATAAAAATCTGAGATGTTGCTTTAGGGGTCGTCCATAAATGACGTTTCTAAAATTGGGTCAATCCTGTTGAATTGCAGAATGTTACAGACCTCACACCCCACACCTTGATATTTAGACGTCATTTATGATCAATTCTTTGCCTTATCTAAACAAGTCCGAAGAATTACGAAGTTTTATTTACAGTAAAAGCACGTGGCATCAAAGACGAAAGCTTTCCAGCCCATCACTGCGCATGTGCACAATATTCGTCAAACATTCCAGAACATAAAATTTCATTCAGATTTTAAAGAAAAGTTTTCTTTAGTCAGCTCGAACGTTTCGCCAAGTCTAGACTGAAAGTTTCTCGAGTTGCTTCCTTATCGTGTTTTTTACTCATTTTTTATTGATGTAGAAATTTAATGCAGTGAAAAAGGGGAGAAGGAAAGCAAAACATATACAAAGTTCTTTGTCGATAAGTAAATTTACATAAAAACTAGTGATGTATAGCCGCTAAAAAGCTTTAGAAAAGTTTCATATGAGTGAATGTGGATCGATTTTACACAAAAAAAGTCTTGCTTACTCCTTTCTGAATGTGCAATTTTCGTGCTCATTATGTGAAGGAAATGAAAAATAAATAAAAAAATAACAATTTTAATTGAAAATTCAAGCACATATAGGACTCTGTATACTACCGCAGCATAAAAGAAAATTAATTCATACCATAATAGAGGTTTCAGTGCTCCTTAAAAATCAATGATTTTTCATAAATGACATAAATTTTAGTGCTTACGAAAGACATTTCAGTGTAAAGTCGTGTACAGCAACAAGAAGTGAATCAATTTATTGATAATTACTTAAAAGCTGATGAATGAAGCCATACGAAAAAGTTATGAAATGTGTAATCTAATCTAATCTATTCACAGCTAAAATTGCTCCAATTTCCGAAAAAAATATATATAAAGGCGCAATAAGGAGGAAACGTCTCTGATTGCCAATTTTCTCATAATAGTAAAGACAATACGGAGCAAATGAATTTTCTGTGTTTGGCTGGTGGCTACAGGGAATAAATAAGGATTTCACCCGTGGTGAAATAAATTGTAACCATTTGTGTAGCCTTAAGCTTTGATTTTTCCCCTGCGCGTAACTGTTCATTGCGTGCTGTGAAACAATAAACCAAAATAAGGAAAGAATTATTTATGTAAATTGGATTTTTTTCTGTGTTAAAAAAGGCTGTCTAGTGGTGAAAACCTTTATTTAGAAATGTAAGCATTCTAATCTCTAAATCTCATCTTCAACCATGCACGAGACAATAAATATTTCAATCGTTATAAATTTTCTCCTATTAAATCTTTTGTCATTTTATAAATGGATATAAATGGCATTATAGGCTGCTCTCAAACATACCAAATGGAACTTTTGGTCGATGGTGTTTCGGTCTTATCATATTAACACATTTAATCGCATATAATGAAACTAGAAGTCTGTTTATACTTGTTGCTGCGGGATTTGCAATGTTAAGTTCATTATTAATGGGTAGGTGTCATGATTAGTTATTTCGATAATTATAGTGTAATGTATTATAACTTGTTATTGCCTTGAATACTCTTATGTATTTGCTTTACAAGAGGTTGATAAAATATGATCAGGGATATACTCAGGACATTATTAAATTGTTGTTTTTAAACAGAAAAGTCGGCACTTACAATCAAAACGTATCTGTATAATCGCACGCTCATTTAAAGGCGATAACAAATGGCTGGATTGTGCTAAAGTGCTTACTTTCAATTTGTTTTATCTAAGAACCACTTGAGCATTGTTGAATGGCAATAAAGCTAATTCAGAATACCCGGAAGGTTGTTTGCCATAAACAAGAACTTAGACATGATGATTGTTGGCTATAAAATGTTTTGATAGAATTGTTCTATAAACATTCAACCTTCATAAATGTCAAAATTGAGGATCTAAAATATATTTTCATGCTAAGAATTTGATCCGGGTTCAAACAATCAAGAAGCAATTTAAACAGCAGGAAGTTGAGCTTACTCATAACCCTTTAAAGCCAGCATCAAAGCCCCAAGAATTTTGATAAATAAAGCATAAATATTTGTTTTACAATACTGAACTGTTTGTTTTGAGCATAAAGTTAAAGACTAAACAGTTTAAATTTCATCCTATCGGTTGCCATAGTAAATGAATGTCCCATGATTCTTAATGCTTAAAGCACAACAAATTGAAAATTTTAAGTATTTCTTAATTGAAAGAAATGTCCTTAATAAGGGTTCTCGCTCTTTTTCCCTCAATTAAATTGTGCTGTTTCATAGCAGCTATGAATAATTTAACATTTATTATCGTACAATAGAGAGCTTTCAAAAGAGCTTTTAAAGTGCTTCAAAAACATTTTATTTTCTCGGTTTTTGAAATGTAAATACCTTTTATTGTCAGAACCATATGTCTCATATTGCATAGTAACTAAGGAGATTTGCATATCATTTCCTATTATTTTACATGCATAGAAGATGTTCGTTTAGGAAACTGAATGTACTTACTCTTTGGGGTCCTCGATTCAGAAAGTTTTACTATTTCCTTTGTTTAAAGTTTATATCCAACTGTTAGATAGATCCTTTCAATAAAAACAATATCTACCTTAACCTCAAAATTTATTAAAATCAAGGACCTCCTAGGGACTGTTCACTTATTACGTAACGCGAAAAAATGACTTCTTAGACCCCCCCCCCCCCCCCCCTTCGTAACAACATTTGTATGAAAAAAAAAATTCCTTGTTTGAACCGTAACAAAATCTTAGACCCCCCCTCCCCCTAAAAGCGTTACGTAATAAGTGAATGGCCCCCTATACTAAAGACGAATATTTGTTTTGACTGTTTTTGCGTATATCTCAGTATATCTAAGATAAATCTCGATGCGATGTAAAGCAACATTTTTTTATTTCGTTCAACAAGTCAGTGATTGATATTTTGATTGATTGCATCAAATTGAGGTTAGCAGAGAGCAACAGAATAATAAAAAAAGGTTGTAATGTTGGGGTTTACATTGTTTTCATTCAATCGCACAAATTAAATGGGAAAATTGCTGAAAACCGAACAATCATTTTCAGCATGATATTTTTTATTCATCCGTTGAACCCTTATCAAGTGGATGAAGAAAAGGCTTCTTACAATTTTTCTCGTTCAATTACTTTTCATGCGTACCTATTTCATCATCCATCCAGTTTACAGCAAGCATGGACTAAATCAAATTCAAATTCCGTATTTAAGAGCAAGTCAACGGTTGGATTTCATATGTCTGTTTATGGCATTATGGATGGAACTTTTGGTTCTTGTTTCAACAGATGCGGCAATAATAAGAACAATATCATATTGTCTCGACGCGATGTCTGGAGGTTTAATAAGAATTTACATATTAGGTAAGTTTGACACGAGTCTTTACACGTCTTTATACTCTGTGATTGCATGCTGAAAATATTTTTTTTTCATTCTAAAACTTTGCCAAGGACGGGGTTCTAGCTTGAGTGAGCCATGGCCTGACGTTTGCGGAGTTGTTGTTGTCTTCATCGTTTCATTTATGTTTGTAAGATATACAAAACCTTGAAAACTTTTCTGATAAATTTATTAATGCTACCTCTAATGCCTTACTCATTTTTGGATAGATTATGGGATTAGAAAATTCTAAAATCTTTACAATTTTAATGATAACAGGCGTTCTAAGTATATCCGCATTAGTTGCTGTCATAACATACGTTCGAGGTAGTACAGACTCTTGGAATAATGAAGGATCCTTTTCACATGATATGTCTGGTGTAAGATTAATTAATTTATATTAATACCTAGCATTGCTAAAACGACTTTTAATGACCATTTCTCATTTCTATTCTCTCTTTTATTTCCATTTCTTGTTCCGTTTGTATATTTGCACATTCAGATTTTATCTGCTTCTGCGTTACTTATTATGTCATTTCCGAATAGCCTACCAACAGGCGAACGACATCCGAAAATTAAAGCTGCTTTATTATCCTTTGGCATTTTATTGTCCATTTTATTAATAGCTGGCTGCCTATCGACATTGATAACAATTAGGTGTGTAATTTCCAAATTTTTCAACCACTTTATAGCCCTTGTTTCCATGTCCAATTATGATTCATTTACATATTCTTTAGGGCTCGTTCACTTATTACGTAACGCAAAAAAACGAGTTTTTAGACCCCCCCTCCCCCCCCTGTAACAAAGCGTAACAAAATCTTAGACCCCCCCTCCCCCCCCCATAACGTAACAATAATTTTTTTCTTTTAAATTGTTTATCAAATGTTTATTATACTTCCTTTAAGTATGTAAAATAAACAGTTTTACTTATAACTAAAAAGCAGAGATCGAAGCCGATTTTTTCGGCTTAACTCAATTTTTGATTTTTTTGATAGTAAAAAGCCATTTAACACCCATTTCAAGTATTTAAATTGAACTTTATGTGCTTTACTATGATTCTGTGTAACATTTTGTCAGCATGTAGCTATAGGAAGCTCAGAATTTCAAGATAGCCGATTTTAAGCCGATCGGCCTTGTTTAAATAGAAGGTCAAATCTCAAAGCCCCACGCTTTTAGAGTCATTGTGTTCTTGGACTTAATCACAATTTTTTGAAAAAAACTTATGTTACATTTCTAGTTGTCACAAGAAAACTTTTAAAATCCTGATTTGCTAAAAGTGTGATCTTATTTTATTTTCAACCTTTTGGTTTTTAATCTTTTTGATAAAAGCGTGTTTTTTAAAAAGTTTTTTAACGTTTTTTTATTTGCTCCTGTTTTGGTCGCTTGGTTTTTAGTCTTAACAACAGATTTAACTTCAAGAAAAAATGTTATTTGTTTTTTAAGTCTTTGGGAAAAAGCGTGTTTTTTAAAAAGTTTTTTTAACATTTTTTTTATTTGCTACTTTTTAGTCTCAATCTTTCAATCGAATATCGACCACAGCAATTCAAATTCAACTCCACTTCGTTTTACTCCGTTTCGTTCAACTGTTTATAGATTACATTTTTTCATTCATTTGTTTTATAGAATTGACGTCATTTACTGATAAACCCCAAGCATGTTACATATCATTTTAAAGGAAATTAAAAGCTCTTTTTATTGTGATAAGAATTTTTTCCATATCTGAAAGATAAATATCAAATAAAGGTAAAATAGGTTCATAAGGGTTTTAATGTTTCAAGGTTTTATCATTTTTTGACAAAACTTATTCACAAATCCCACTAATTTTTAATGTTCATTAATTTATAGGAAAATTGGAAATTTTTAAGATATATATCGTTATTGTATCATATGTAGTTGCTGAGAAATAAGCTGTCAAAATTTCAACATAAATAGCTCATAAATGACGTCACAGGTCGACAATCAAAAATCTAGCTCCAACAAGTTGTGAGCATTTCTAAAGGCTACAAAATGAGCTAAAAAGCAAAGCCTTTGATTAAGTATTGAAAAAGATATTCAATTTCTTAGTTTTTCAACTTTGAACCGGTTTTTAAACCGTTTAAACCGATTGAACCGGTTCAAAAATAGCATAATTAATTAGCTCTTTGGATGTCAATTCCAACGATGTATAATATGTCTATGTTATCTTCTATAGTTTTAGAGTTATAACAAGTAAAAGAACAAAATGCAATTACGACATTTTTCCCCAGAATCATTCAATTTAAGTCATACCTGGAAACAGATGAAACTTCTTAAAAAATATCCTGAACTTCAATTATGTGCGCTTTCTGTGCTTTTAAAACATTCATTAGTAAAGGACATTAAAAATGAATCTTGGAGATTTTGTGTTTATATACAAATATACTTCAAGCCGTTAATAAATAGAAAAGTAAATTTAATTAAGTTGGTGAAGTTTTATAAATAATGTAATACATTAAAAACAGCATAAATATATGCTCAAACTATGTGTGCTAAATGCATATCTCATATTAATAGTTATTTTGCATTAATTCGTAACGGACTTGTGCTTAACGGTTTTTTTGAAAATTCAAATTTTCACTTACGAATATTTATGAAAAAATTACATGTCAATTTTTTTGTCTTACCGGAATATCTTTAGCTGCTCAAATTTATAGTGTAATTAATATTTAGTAATATTAATTAAACTATAATGAATCACATAAATGACTTTTGAGCATTTCAAATATAATATTTTAAACAAATCAAAATTTTATATCATTGACATTGGATTGTTTTCCCATATAAAAAAGTTTTACTTAAATTTTACTATAATTAAGCATTTTTGTGGTTTCAAAAAGTTAAAATATTGTATTGTCACCGGGAATACGTGTGAATAAAAAATTTGAGCTCGATTGGAGCAGCAGAAGTGGTCGAAAAATCGATTGCAAGTTTTGAACGTGACAAAGAAACCAACAGACAGAGCAACTCAATAAAAAGCATGTAATAATAATAAAAATTGAGTTAAGCCGAAAAAATCGGCTTCGATCTCTGCTAAAAAGTTCTTAAGTTAAAATTTAACGTTAAAAAAATTTAAAATTAATATAGAAAAAATTATAAAAAAATATATTTTTTGAAAAGTTACGTAACAAAATTTAGACCCCCCCCCTCCCCCTGTAACAAACCGTAACAAAATCTTAGACCCCCCCTCCCCCCCTAGTGCGTTACGTAATAAGTGAACGAACCCTTATGTGATGATGCAGATTGTTCATTGATCCTTGCGTCATCAAAAAGCTCCTACTTGCCCTAATAATACATTTTCTGTTCCTTTTAATAGCAAGTCGTCACATGATTACGAAACAGTGCCAATATTACGAATATTGGAAGTAAAAAACCTTCACAAATTGATTCCAGCGATAAGTTGTTTGTACATAATATCATGTTCGGGAATTCTCCTTGAATTATTTCCCGAAACATTTAATATTGTTGTACGGCTTGCAACATCTGAATGGAAAATTTTATTAAAACAAATTGGCTATGAGAATCGTGAAACTGGCAATCCATCGTTAGCTATTTTTGTGTCTGGCAGTTTAATTGCGATTTTAACATTCGCATGTCCTCTACAAAATTTAATTTTCATCATTGCCGGCGCTCAACTATGTCATGGAATCTTAGTTGCAATATTTTTCTTATATTCTCCACACCGACCAAAAGTTTCAGAGACAAAACGTGAGTTCCGTTCATGTCACATTTTCTATCCACAATAAAAACAAACATAAATTTTCGTTAAAATTCCCAGAAGACTCAACATTAGCATATAGTCGTCTTGACACCGGAACTTCGAAGACCACAAAGTCAACGGCACCGAAAAGATCTGCAACGTGGTTTCTTAATAAAGCTGTTCCGTCCCTTAGCAGTCAAAGCTTATCAAAGTCAATAAACAAGTTAAATAAGAAGCATTCAAAAAAGGAAGAACGTGAATGGCTTTTACTGGCAGAACCATCATCACCTGTTGTTAGAAATGCTCAATACGATGAAGAATGTAATGCAGAATCGTCAATTTTAAGTGATACGACAACCTCAGATATAGATTGTATTATGAAGGCTGAACAACAGTTAGATACGGAGACCTCTGAGGAAGAAGAGGATATTGATAGTATTGTAGAAGAATTTCAGCAAAAAATTAAGATATCTACAACAGGCTTAAAAGATACAGTGTTGAAACTACCAACAATAAATTCATGGAGATTAAGTATGTTGTGTATGGCCGTAATATTCATCACATGTGTCTGTGGGTGCTATGGAGCAAATAATGGAAATTTAATTTATATTATAATTTCTTCCATAGGTAAAATTTTTGAGAATCCATTAATTAAGCCATGATATTCTAATTCTACCTTTCTACTTCCAGTAATTTTAATCATAAGTTTCATAATGTTATGGATACCTAAATATATACCTTCGTATTCAACACCATCATCATTTACTTGCATAATTTTCATCTACGTCAGTTCTATTCTACTTTCTTCCATAATGTTTGATAGCTGGTTAGCTATTATATTTTGGTTTATATCTGGAATTATTCTTGTTCTACAGTCGCTAATAAAATGCGACATATTTTGCTGTTTATGCTTAGACTATCCACATAGTTCAGCACAAACAACAATTGTCATGGAAGAGCACATTATTCCAAATGGATCAAGTAATAGCTTAGCTGCAACATCAATTAGAATCAAAAACCCACCGAAAGGACTCTCGGTAGTTAATCACGTACAAAAGTATAGATGACATCATATCGATAGTGAATCAGATACAGATAGTGAGTACTACGAAGAAGACACGGTTGAGGAATGGACTGACTAAACTTTTTATTATAACATTGTGATGTAAAATCAATAATGCGTAAAGCTATAGTTTCACTCTTGGGTTTGTTCACTTATGATGTCGTCCAAGAATTACTTGGTTTGAGAGCTTTGCAATTGGTTTAAATAAAAACACTTTTGAGAGTAGAGGGGATTGAAAATTCAAGTTTTGAGGGACGTCATAGATAAACGAATCCATAAGAAGATGAACAATATTTTTGGAGAGGAAATTGGAACAGTATTAGATAGATAAAGATTTATGAAACGAAAATGTCTTATAACGAGAAAATCTCAATTATTTTTCAATACTTTATCGATTTTATTGTGACAGTATATACCATAATGTGGACATAATGGATACTCATGAGTGTTCTTGAAACGAAGTTGAAATTAATGTTAAACAATGTCAATTTTTTTTTCTAAATGTTATAAACATTTTACATTTAAGAAGCAATGAAATTCAATTTCTGTTCCTTTAAGCAATTCATGTAATGTAAAAAACTTTGAATAAAAACTTTTAATTCCAAAAAAACATATTTTAAGACATATATGATCGGAGATGTTTTTACTTTGCGAATGTTTGGATGATATGAAGTGACTTTCATTGAACATGATGAATGTTCAGTGTCTAAAAAGGTTACTTCAGTGTTGTAATAAAGAATTTGGAATATAAAGCCATTTATTAAGTCAATTTTGCAATCATTTTATAAAACATCAAAAAGGCTTTAAGATATGACATGTATTCCCAGCAGACATTCCCAAACTCATTCAAGCACTATTTAAAAGCCAACAACTTTCGTGTTTAAGTTAAAGGTAAATATCAAAACCTTTTTTCAACTACCATTGAACTTTAGAAATAGCCAACAAGCAAAACAGAACTAAAATTTAATGAACCAAAATAAAAGTCAATTGCCTCATTTAATTCATTCAAAATCTCAACAGAAAGTTATTTAATCTATGTAAATAAGAACTCGCAAGATTCTTGACGTAGCAACAAGCTTGTCGAAAATGATGAAATTAAAATTATTAAGCACGAATTTTTCGGAACTAGACTAGAATAAAGAAATAAATTTCCACGTCAAATTATTAAATCATCGCTCTGCTGTAGGCAAACATCTTAATTTCTTCATGAATCAATTAACTGTTGGTTCTTTATAGGCAGGTAAGAAAATTTTCCTCTCTGCTGCTTTTTGCTTATTGAAAGAGAGTAAAAGTTATAATAATTGATTTGCATATTTCAGCACCATTACAACGTGTAAATTAAAATACACAACACGTTTAGTATAAAAAATCATTGGACCTTAGGTAATGCTCGAGCATAAAAATAATAAAAGTACCACCTTATTAAAAAATTACTGATCTATAATTTATTAATTATTTGTGAGTTATCATTTGATATGAAGTAAGTGGTAAAGGGGTCGTTCACACACGACGTACAATATTACGGACGAGTAAGGAGGTTTACTATGCAAAAGGAAGGAGAGAGGTGTTTTAAAACCTTTAATTATTCACAGACGTAATTTATGAATAACTTCTTTAGGTACGGCAAGCAATTATGAATAAATTAGCTGTAAGAAGATTTTAATTTCAATTTTCATCCGAAGTGAGACCAGAAATTGTTTCATTTATGAATATTAAGGTATTGAGAGCAGTCACATGTTTAACTAATTAGCAATTTGTTGGAAATTTTCATTTCTAATCTTTGTATGCCTTAAATATTCATTCAGATATAAATTTAACTTTTTAATCTCATTAAGACCCACGATTATTCGATATTCCCTCAAATAAAGCGTGATAATTTCTAATCTACTGACTCTTCTCGTCAAATACGATTGCGAAAAGTGAAAGGCATGTGAGGAAATGTTTTACATGCAATTTTACAGGTGACAACAATCTATTCCTTTCAATGTGTTATCTTTTTTTTTATTATTGAAAAAATGAAATTATTCCAAATTTCATATGAAATGTATCTATGTCTAGATAATGCAGCCACTCTACTTTTAATTAGCAAATAAAATGGAAGTAAAGGGTATTAATACCTTTGATAAAAGCGCATTTTCAGTTTGAGATAAAATTAAAGATTGTTCAAGGTTCATCGAACAGAAATGCATGTTTAGCTTAAGATTGTGATCATTACCTTCAGCCAAACGTTTTTAAATGATCTACTTAATCTATTGAAAGAATGATCCTTGATCATTTACAAAGTTTCAAATTTGGATCTTTTATAGTCAAATTCATGAAAACTTAAGTTTTTGATTTTTCTTGCCAAATTATTAAAGCAAATCTCCAAAAAGCAATTTCAGATCTAGATTAATACCCAAACTGACTAAGATCCAAAACCAATCAACCCTTAAAGTCAGATAAATGTGTTAACAAATTGTGGAAACAGAAAAAGCAGTGAAAGAATGTCGTCGTAGAAATTTTTTCTTTCCTTCTACAAGAGCTTGCTTAATTCATAACATTTTCTCACTCAATTATCCCAGAAAGAAACTCTCGTATCGCTGTTAATTTAAAGTAAATTCATAGATAATAATGCTCAAACTTTTCTTTCAATTTCTTTCGGCTTTTTATCGAATAATTCTCACTTTTCATCGCTCAAGTTCGGGCATTAAGAGAATGCCATACATAATCTCATTTATGCAGATTGAAAAACGCAGAATATTGGAATCATTTATATTTTAGATTTTGACAAAGAAAGTACTTTAAGCTCATGAAATATTGAGAGAAGAAATTTCTTAAAGACTTGTTGTTAAGTGTCTAACCTCAGAGTTGTGGTTGTAAGTGATTTAGAGAATATTTAATTAAACTTTTACAAGTGCTTAAAATAATAAATTATTATTTATCAGTTTAACAGACGAATTATGTTGAAGACAGAACATTTTATAGCGATATTGGTTTTGTGTTTTGTGAGCTGCGGTGAGAGTTCAATATTCGATATTATTTTGTATTGATAAGAAAGTGTTTAAAATTATTTTTTTTTGTGTGTATATCTTTAGATACTCGCGAAATTAACTGCCCCGATTCCACGCGACCACATAAAACTGAATGCAATAAATATTTCAAGTGTATTAAACTTCCTTCCAACTCATTAACTTGGATAACTTTAACGTGCCAGGAAGGATTAATTTATGATAAAAATTTAAGATCATGTGCCATCCCACCTGAAAATTGGGACTGTAATTTGAGTAGTGAAGTGGATGATGACGGTACTCAAAGTGGTGATTCTCAAAAAACTGAAAATATTGGTTCTGTCCAAACTGAAGCAAATATTGACGAAGATAGTTATTTTTTGAGAAAAGAAAGTAATGAGTTCCTTGAAGTTATAGATGGTGATAAAGATTTCAGTAATATAGATGCAACATCAAGAAGTGAAGATGATGAAAATAGTAGTGAAGATACTTCAGAATTTAGTGGAGATGATGGATTATACAATTTTGTGACTCCAGCTTCCGCTAATATGATTACTACTCAAGTACAGAGATTATCACAGTTAGTTCAGAATATTCCAAAAACTAAAGGTGAAATTACGGCTGATGACATCAACTCATACTTAGACAAACAAAAAATTCAATCAAATATAGCAGACTACAGATTCAATTCTAATGGCAAAACAACAGTGCCTGCAGATGGAAAAGTGCATCCAGAAATTGAATCGGAAATAGTAAATTTTCAAAATACATTGAATGCAAGATTGACAACAGTTCCAATGGAATTTACGACTCCTCGAACAAAGCCAATTTTCTATATTAATAAGGAACCAATCACTGAAATTAAATTAAAGCAAGGACAAACTTTTGAAGGCATTGGAACTCATCAAATTGTTGTAAATCGTCCAGAAGGCTCAGTTATGTTTAATGTCCCAGCCACAAGTGATAATACTAACAAGCAAAATCAACCATATTTATCTCAAGACATCCTCAAAACTATTCTAGAACTATCGAAGCAAATGGTCCTACAGAAGACTTCAAGCAACCAAGAAAATCACCAACAGACACATCCAATCTACTATGCAGTTCCAGTCCCAATTGTTCCACCACAAAATAATGTCCAAAATTATTATGGGCAATTCCCAAATCAAACAGTTGCACATTATAATTCAGATGAAGAAAATAATAATGCAGATCACGAAACAGCAAACAATTTAGGTTCTTATCAAGCACCTCCATTAAGAAATAATCATAATCATCGTCACAATCACAAAAATAACCAACAAATTAATAATCAATACGGCGAGCAATCTTATAATGTAAAGAGTCAACAAGGAAATTACCAAAACTACGATTCACAACAATATCAACAGTCATACCCTTTAAATAATTATTCGCCTTACAACAGCAATTATCAACAATATTACAATCCGCAGTCCTACTATCAATATTCTGAAAACAATAGATACAATCCAAATCCACAAAATAACTTTAATCAATATTCAAATTATAATAATGGTGCATATTACGGAAATAGACCATTCGTGAGTGATTCATCAGCACCTTTTGTAGATCACACATACAATGTACAAAAGAATCCATACCAAAAAGAAAGTTTCTCATCGCCATCAGTGTCGTATGATAATGATGAATATGATGCATTTAACGAAGAAAGTGATGATCAGACCGAGAAACTTGATTACGACTTATTAGAGGATGAAAGTGAGGAAGAAAAGGAAAAGAGTCCAACGGATGGACTTATATGTACTTTTGCAGTTGCAAGACAAGTCAATAAAACGGATTGCTTTAGATATTATGTTTGTAATGCAAAAACTAAGGAAGTGCTTACCTATACATGCCCTGAATTTACAGCATTTAACGATCAAACTAAATACTGCGATTCAAGTATGTATAAGGAATGTAAAAAGTCGAAAGAACATTCATCGGGAAGTTTTAAAAATAAAAAGTATTACGCTGAAGCTCAGAAAGCATTACAACAAGCTAAACGAGAATCTGAAAAAGTTGAGCGTATAGCTAATATGGTTAAGAAGCAGTCACAGCAATTAATGTACAATAGAAGGAATCAAGTTCAAAATAATTATGATCGAGTAGAAAATTTACCAAACTATTATCAGCAGCCACAAATTCAACAAGCATCAATAATTCAGAGACCTCAACAAACTACGAGAACTCGTCCAAAAAGCACCAAAAGAGTATCTTTATCTAAATCTAGTAAGAGGAAAAGCCGTCCAAAGAAAGTGAAATGTATTAGCGATGGAAACATACCAGATCCTGAAGATGTTTTCTCATACTGGCACTGCTTCAAAAGCACCGATGGAAGGATGAAAAGAATTCATAAGAAATGCAGCTTTAATCTTAGATTTTGTTCCGATTCACGCTACTGCTCGCCATCATGCTGATAATTTATTGCAAACTATTTATCTATTTATTTATTTGTTCGAGTTATTGCATCAATAAACCAATTATCAAAGTATTACTTAGTGTCTTTACTTCCATTTCAGAACTTTTATTGCTACACGTGGTTGAATATTCGTTATTTTAAAACATATTTAAATTCCATCGACTTTTCAGACTTGAATTTCACACAATTTTCATCAGATTTCCAGAAAGTTTTTCTCGAAGTTTTCCTTAATTACAGCACACTAAAACAGTCAGCACAGCACATTCCATATTAATATTAACGGTTGAAATAATTTTAAAAGCTAGTTTGTTGACAAGACAAATAAAGATTGAAAACAAGAAATTGTATAAAACATGAAATAGTGCATTTAATTAATTAACCAGCCACAAATAAGCATAAAAATGTCATTATTAGGACTGCTACTTACATTAATTTACTATGGATTAGTGTGTTTTGTGTTAGTTTTAACTATAGTGAGTATTTTTCATAAATCAGTAGAAAATTTCCACGTAATTTTTCTTGAAATCTTCAAATCATTAATTAAACAACTATTTTAGCTGTGTATAGTACTGAAAATCTCATCAACGCCATTCCCAATCATTCACCGGCATAAAGAAGAAGAGTATTTCATAGATCCAAATGATTCAGATAAAAAGTGTCAATTTCCATCAATTAATGATGATCCAACAGTCGATCTTAGTGTGATAATTCCTGCATATGATGAGGAAAAACGATTACCAGTGATGTTAGAAGAATGTATGGAGTTCCTTGAAGAGAAACTTAAACAAGAGCCAAATTTCAAGTATGAAGTCATCGTTGTATCGGATGGCAGTAAAGATAAGACTGTTGCGTGTGCATTGAAGTATAGCAAAAAGTATACGTGTGAGAAATTTCGAGTATTGGAACTAGTTCAGAATCGTGGCAAAGGAGGAGCTGTAAGGTACGGAATGATGAGCAGTAGAGGCAAATATTTGCTCTTTGCTGATGCTGACGGTGCCACAAAGTTCCCAGACTATAATTTACTTGAAAAAAGTATTTATAAACTAGCAAACAGCTGGAAAGATGATGTTCTAGTCATCGGTTCTAGAGCACATCTTGAAGAAGAATCTATGGCTAAAAGGAGCATATTCCGTACTTTCTTAATGCATGGATTTCACTTTCTTGTGTGGATTTTTGCTGTTAAAGGAATCAAAGATACACAATGTGGCTTTAAATTATTAACAAGAAGTGCAGCACGTAGAATATTCAGTATAATGCATGTTGAAAGATGGGCTTTTGATGTCGAACTTCTTTTCATTGCACAATCCTATAAAATGCAAATCGACGAAATTGGAGTAAGATGGGAAGAAATTGATGGATCTAAAATCACTCCATTCTTCAGTTGGATTCAAATGGGTCGAGATCTCATTTTTATTTGGCTACGCTACCAAATTGGTGCTTGGAAGCTCAAGCCTGTTAAAGCTGACTAATTTTACTTGCTATAATTTTATGATCAACGTTTAACAGTCTTTTGTAATTCAAAGTTTTGTTTCACGTACACAAGTTACGTCGCATTTTTAAATCGATACAATAAAGTAATATTTTAGAAACTTTATTTGCTATAAAAATTTAACAGAGTTATGAAATTTGAAATCTTTGTAAAGTTTCAGGTTTTGAAAAAAATTCAGCTCTTCAGAAAAATTAATTTTATTAAGTGACTAAAGCTCAATAAATACTCGAGAGTTTATAAAGTTGTGACGTGCCTGTGGAACCATCAACCGAGAAAAACATTACTTATAAATAGCTGTCCGGAACGCGGTTGAAGTGAAAAAGTTTTGTCTCATCTTCTTTTTTGAATTAGAGTTAATTCACGTTTCATATCGATCACTCGTGCTGAATAATTACTAGTGAACAATGGCTTTATTTAGAGTAACTTCGTCGAAATACATAACCGAAGCACATCAGGTAAAAAAATGCATCTTATTACATCAATCAAGCATTTTCTCCTTAGATTTTTTTCTTGCATAAATTTAATCAAATCCAGTCAATGTTACACGCATTCAGTTTTTTGGGACATAAGTTTTAAATTATCATCACAAAATTGTGTGTGTGCTCTGTGAATTATATATTATTTTAAATCATGCTGAAAAAAATGTGAAAATCGACTTTCCATAGCTCCCGACTTCTTACATAATATATCACATCCATAAACTACAACTACTCGCGAAATTTTCGATAAAAATGATCTCTCGCCTTACCGATGGTTGATGATCTAACAATGAAAAGAACCAAGATATACACAAAGTATTCAATGTCAAAATCATTTTGATAAAAACAAAATTCCTTGCCAATTATTATCCACTTTCCTCAAAATGTAATACTGACGTACGTACGATACCTTGATATTTATAAATATTCATCGAAAAGGAAGTCAAATGTTAATAACATAGGCCAATTAAAATAATATATAACTGTAAGTGCAATAAAACTAATTCTCAGAAACTTATCAACTCGTGATGATGTTATATCGATATGACTAATTAAATTCCTCATTTATTGGCTAATGTGCCAATTTTTTGCCCTTTTATTGGATATTTGTTTTCCGTAGTTTTCCCAAATATTTTCCTGTTGATAATAATCAGTCAGTGAAAAACAATTTATCTCAAAAGGCTCGTGTCGATGTCAATTAGCAAATCTAGTAGACAGGCCAGTATAATAACTGTATTCATGATAACATTGTAATACTGCTCAGTTCTTTTTCTGCTCTCTCTCTCTTGTTGCGTCACTCATCTTACAATGCGGTATATTAACGATTTTCAAGCATGTTCCAAAACCAGTTTGTGGGCTTTTTGAATGAGTCGATCGGGGAAAAGAAGCCGTAAAGAGGTCTAGATCAATGTTACAAACTGATTTTCAAGGTCAGACCATCGTAATTATTATAATGATTGCGATTACGTAACATAAATTATCGAACAGAACTGAGTAAAAATAGCTCTTTGAACTTGTATTGATGCAGTTTATATACATTTGTAGGACAATTTATGCAAGAAGGCTTTATATCCGAGAAGATATTATGAGAAAATATTTGAGTTTATTATTTTTTTTTTGTGTTTTTCTCTCGACATTTGTAAATAAATCTTTAAATATATCTTTTTCATTAATTCCGTCGTCGAAAAACAGAGATTGCTGCCAGCTATCGTAACATGCGTACGAAACATTTCAGCCGATAGCACCGACTTGAGAGGCATTCTTGCAGACAAAGTTCCAAAAGAGCAAGAACGTGTCAAGAATTTCCGTAAAGCTCATGGAGCCACAAAAGTTGGTGAAGTTAATGTCGATATGGTGAGTAAACCCATTCAATGCTATACATATTCCAGGTCCTATCAATCTCATGATCACAGCTGTCATCCGAGCGAGAAAAAAGTGCATTTTTCTTTATTAAAGTGAATGTAGTGATTTAATCAGCAAAACGGAACGACAATTTGCAAAAGTAGACATCATGTGACTGTCCAGAGACGCAATCAATTATTATTTTAGATTGTTCAGATCATAAAAATTTCCTCAAATTAAAACAATAAATTCTCCAGCATGTGCACTATATTCATTTACGCGATTCATAAAATGAAATTTAAAAAAACTATTACGGAGATTACATATGTTCCTAATTTGCTTCTGTAAACATGAACGCTTTATCTCTATTTTTCATTATAAACACACAAAAAAAAAATGAAATGACAAGTAAACGGACCAAGTTTCAACTTACTGATTACCGATATTGAGATTAAATTTTATTTTTATAGCAAGATAATAAGTCCCTTTTAATTCCTGTAGATGTATGGTGGTATGCGTGGCATCAAAGGTCTCGTATGTGAAACCTCCGTATTAGATGCTGATGAAGGTATTCGTTTCCGTGGACTTTCAATCCCAGAATGTCAACAAGTCTTGCCAAAAGCCCCAGGCGGTAACGAACCATTGCCTGAAGGTCTTTTCTGGCTCTTGATTACCGGCGATGTTCCAACTCAAGCTCAAGTTGATGCTCTTTCAAAGGAATGGGCTAATCGTGCTGATTTGCCAGGACATGTTGTCACCATGCTCAACAACTTCCCATCAACACTTCATCCAATGTCACAGCTCTCAGCTGCTATTACAGCATTGAATCACGAAAGCAAATATGCTAAAGCCTATTCAGAGGTAATTTACAGTTTTTTTTGTGCATTTAAAATGTACTGGTGCAATTTAATTGTATATACTTATTGTATGACTATTGAACTTTTTTTACAGGGTGTCCATAAATCTAAATACTGGGAATATGTGTATGAGGACAGCATGGATTTGATCGCCAAATTGCCAGTTGTTGCTGCCACCATTTATCGTAATACCTACGGTGATGGCAAAGGAATTGGAGCAATTGACCCAAAACTTGATTGGTCAGCAAACTTTTGCCGTATGTTAGGATATGACAACAAAGAATTCATTGAATTGATGAGATTGTACTTGACAATTCACAGGTAAATATCGTCAAAACAAACTGATTTATTATTAATTAAAATGGATTTTGACTCAATTTGAGGCAACTTAATTCTCGGATTACCTTAAATCCTTGTTTTGGTTCGGATTTATTTCACTTTAATCTGTCAAATTTACTTTAATCCATCGGATTTATTATTAAATCTTTGGTTTCTCAATCTCTCAACTTACTTACGCTACTAAGTAATAATGAAAGAGAAATTAATTGATAATGAGTCATAAATCATGACACTTAGTGATAGCAATAATATTAATAAATTGTAATCTTTTTATTTTTTTTGTACACATTTTAGTGATCACGAGGGTGGCAATGTCAGTGCACATACAGTTCATCTTGTTGGATCAGCTCTTAGCGATCCATACTTGTCATTTGCTGCCGGTATGAATGGTTTGGCTGGACCACTTCACGGATTAGCTAATCAAGAAGTATTGGTATGGCTCCAAAAATTACGCGCAGAACTTGGTGATAATGCTAATGAGGATAAGGTCAAGGACTTCATTTGGAAGACACTTAAATCAGGACAAGTCGTTCCTGGCTATGGACATGCCGTTTTAAGAAAGACAGATCCTCGTTATACATGCCAACGTGAATTTGCTCTTAAACATTTACCTGACGATCCATTATTCAAACTTGTCAGCAATATCTACAAGGTCGTTCCTCCAATCCTTACTGAATTAGGCAAGGTTAAGAACCCATGGCCAAATGTTGATGCTCACTCTGGTGTCTTATTGCAATATTATGGATTGAAGGAAATGAACTACTACACTGTCTTATTCGGTGTTTCACGAGCTCTTGGTGTTCTCGCTTCACTTGTGTGGGATCGTGCTCTTGGTTTGCCAATCGAACGTCCAAAATCTTTGTCTACAGACGGATTAATGAAGGCTGTCGGATACAAACCTTAAATTTATTTCATAACGTAACACAAAAAAAAATCAAAATAAAGCATTATTTTGAGTTCAATGAACTCAATGTTAACATTATAAATCAGCTAGAATAATGACCTTCAGCTGCAATAGAATGAAATAACGAAATGCAAAGTTACTTTACCAAAAAATAATTCCTCAAGCAAGCAGCAGCAAACGCTAAATTTACATTTATTCAACTATTTATTTGTTCATGTATTTCAATTTTACCTATCACTACACTAATATGTATTGATTCAAGAATCCGAATGATACGATAAAATTGCAAATATCTTAAAATAGAAGTAAAACTTGATTAGTATCATTCGTTCCTGCCTTTTTATTATTATTTGTTCTTATTTTGATGTTGATTATAAAATCATCGAATTGGAGACTTAAGTGGGCATTGACCTTAAAGCATTGATACACAAAACATTAATAAATATTAAATCTTGTCTGCTAAAACCAAAAAAGAATGGATTGGCTTATGATTATTGTTATTATTATTTCCTACCTCAGTGAATCATTATGGTTTTTTTTTTGATTAGAAATTGGGTAATTAAAATTTGTTAATTTATTCTTTAATTGTTAAAAAAGAAGAAGAAGAAAATGAGAGAAACTGCCTGTGGAAATATATTAGAAATGGTCTTCGTAGGAACTTAATGGCAAGAGTTTAATTAATAATAGTGTATAGATACTAGCAACCAAAAAACACACATAACAATAATAAACGTAGAAGCGAAAACGGACACAACTTACTCGTGAATATTTAAAAATAGTGATTAATTCGTGGTAAAGGCAAAGAAGATAATAATTTAAAAATTGTAAAATTCACTTTTGGCGAAATACACGTTTTGATTTTCAAATTTTCAATAAAACGTATTAAACGAAGAGAGTCTTGTTACTTAAATTTATCTGCACCATTAATCCTTCATCAATTCTTATATTTCACAATGTTTAAAATTTATTTGTTGACTGTAAACAATAACGAATTTTTAAGATTTAAAAACCTTATTGAGTATAACGGCAATGAAAAATTTAAAATCATTAAAACCGTACAAATGTTTTGAAAGCATGGTTGGCAGTAGCGATATGACTGTATTTGGATCATTCATTGACTCGTTCCAAGAAGTCTTTAGTTTTGAAGCCCAATATACATGTTAACAAGCTGAAATGCCTTATTTGCATCTGCTATTTCTGCATGTTACCTAGTCTTATCGATTATAGATTTAAAATAAAAACCTCGACACTAGATTACCAACTTTGGATCGAAAACCGTACACAAAAAACAATAAAAAAAAAGATATTGAAAAAAAAAGAATAATTTGACAAGAAAATCGAAGAGCATAATCTGCACATATAAATCATCGGAGATGTAAACTACTGGAATAAATAATCAGGTAAGAGTGCAGTGAGACTGAAGATATCAAGAATTAGATCAATTTAGATAAAATGTTTAAGTTATTGCGAAAAGTTTACGATCGAAGAGAAAATTTTGTGTAATTTCCATTTAATTTTCATTAATAATGTGGAAATATTCGTATGATTGAGGTGTATTGTGTGTTTCAAAGCTATATTCTACATCCAGTGAACTTGTCGTGTCCGAAAAATGATAATTTGTCATTGAGAAAATTAGTGGAGAATTTTACAGTTTCTCGTACCTTTTAATCACATTTATTAAGACTGTTTGCCTTCTTTCTTCTGTTGTGTACAGCTTCAACATTAAAGATTTTTAAGCCTCCTCAAAATAAAAAAAAAATGTATATTTAAAGGAAATGACAGAAGTCACGTCGCGCAAATTTTTTGTTAATAATACTACATTTTGCAAGTTCTGTGTAATTTTGTGAAATTTCAAGATACAAGGACAATAAAGTCTCGTTAAACATAATCTTTTGAATCTCTATTTATAGAGATAATGTTACAATTTACTCAACAAACTGTTTATTGCCCAAATCATCGCTCTCTGATGAGCTGTCTGTGCTGTGTACATCCAATTTAAATAATGCACAATAAAACTTTATTTTTATCCCACTTTCATCCATCCAATACACATATGTGTGTGCCGTTTCATGAACAACATACAACAAAGTGCAAATATTAATATTATTAAATGTTATCACTTATATTTGTAAACATTACAGAACCAGTACTTGCTGTTTCTTCTTTTTGTTTTTGCACGACTGACTATGTGGGAGTCTGGTTGGTTATTTGTTGCGATAATGATAAGGAATTTCATTTCATAAAGAACAATAATAGCATTACGTAAAGGCATTATGTTTATGCACTGAGTAAATCAAATGTTATCTTAACAATCGGGGGGAGAGCACAAAATTTTAAGATAAGATTAGTTATTAGCAGGGTGGGTGATTTAAATCAAAAATCAAAATCAAAATCTTTTTGCAATGATTTTAAAAAGGGATTTTGATTTAAATCATTTTACCCAAGTGATTTTTTTCTCGATTTTGATTTAAATCATTTTTGCAAAGGGATTTTTTTTGGGATTTTGATTTAAATCATTTTTGCACAGGGATTTTTTTTGGGATTTTGATTTAAATCATTTTTCAAAGGGAGTTTTTTTTGGGATTTTGATTTAAATCTTTTGTATGAAAGATTTTTTTTGGAATTTTAAAATCCCTCCATACAAAATTTTTGTATGCAATTTCTCAAATTATTTTTCAAATCAACAGTTTTCAGTTGCAGTTCCTCATAAGTAAGAATGCAGCTGATCCTTTTTCGGACAGAATCTTCCAACTGGATCTTTTAGATCCAATCATTTCTTTAATAAAGGTTACAGCAACCAATGGTTCCATGCTGTTTGACTTATACGAAATCGAATTCGTGATTTTTAATCCTCTGTGCCTTGCTGCTTGGATGTAAATAACTTGACTTTATCAAGCATGCATGGATCTTACTCCATATGAGGAACTACCTGCTTTCAATGCTTCCAAAATCTTAAATGTCTTTTATTACAGTACCAAAGTAGTCTACGTTTGTTTAATGAGTCATAAGCAAGAATAAGCACTTGAACTGCTTAGTTCCTTTACATCCACAAAAATTTTTTTTGTTGCTTTTTCATCAAGGAATCACCTCTTGAAGTCAAAAATTTTTTGCGGAACCAATCGGTTCCTTTCGGACCTGATGACTGCAAAGTATGTTTATCTAATCATATAAGTATAAAGCATGATTTTCAGTCATATTTGATCATCAGGTACGAAAGGAACCGATTAGTTCCGCAAAAAAATTTTGACTTCAAGAGGTGATTCCTTGATGAAAAAGCAACAAAAAAAATTTTTGTGGATGTAAAGGAACTAAGCAGTTCAAGTGCTTATTCTTGCTTATGACTCATTAAACAAACTTAGACTACTTTGGTACTGTAATAAAAGACATTTAAGATTTTGCAAGCATTGAAAGCAGGTAGTTCCTCATATGGAGTAAGATCCATGCATGCTTGATAAAGTCAAGTTATTTACATCCAAGCAGCAAGGCACAGAGGATTAAAAATCACGAATTCGATTTCGTATAAGTCAAACAGCATGGAACCATTGGTTGCTGTAACCTTTATTAAAGAAATGAATGGATCTAAAAGATCCAGTTGCAAGATTCTGTCCGAAAAAGGATCAACTGCATTCTTACTTATGAGGAACTGCAACTGAAAACTGTTGATTTGAAAAATAATTTGAGAAATTGCATACAAAAATTTTGTATGGAGGGATTTTAAAATCCCAAAAAAAATCTTTCATACAAAAGATTTAAATCAAAATCCCAAAAAAAACTCCCTTTGAAAAATGATTTAAATCAAAATCCCAAAAAAAATCCCTGTGCAAAAATGATTTAAATCAAAATCCCAAAAAAAATCCCTTTGCAAAAATGATTTAAATCAAAATCGAGAAAAAAATCACTTGGGTAAAATGATTTAAATCAAAATCCCTTTTTAAAATCATTTTTCATTGAGATTTAAATCAAAATCAAAAATAAATTCTGCGATTTTGATTTAAATCGCAAAAAATCTCCCCACCCTGGTTATTAGTATCTGAGAGCTGACATAAGAATTATCAGTGATATGAGTGTTTTTAATTATATACACAGTTTGATAGCACAACCTCCTATATGCTCTAAAAATTATTTTTTTCAGTCGTGTGGGAAATTTCGGTTAGCTTGTTTTATTCCCGTTGTCGATTCTTTCATTATTTTATAACATTTTTTTTTTGACCATGTGACTTGAAGTATTTGTGAAAACATGCATTAAAAATCAATTCATGGGCATCGAATGAAGTTGTTTACTGTAGATTACATTATCTTTGAGCATAAACTATTGTTTTGCTTATTTTTTATTAATTGAATAATAACAATTGTTATTAAGTAATAAGTGACAAATAAGTGCTTTGTTTTAAAAGATACTCCTTAGCAGTAAACACTGGTAAACACCTTTTCGAGCAGCAGTTTTCTTCAAGACACGAGACACAACGGATCAGTTAAACCGTTACACTTAATTTTAAAATTTGTGCTCAAAAACCGTTCAGTAAGTTCGGTATTCATTCCAATTCAGTTCATTTGAAATTTTTAAAACCGTTATAATTTAAAACCCAGATAACTGTTGAACAATTTTTTTTTTGGCAAGTTCAAGGTTCTTAAAAATGCGCCTCAATCATTCATGAATCGTTGTCCATGGAAAATGTTCATGCATAATACCCACATTGTATTAATTATAGTAACTTATGAGCTCTTCTATCCATTTTTTCATTACAGTGAATATAATGGCATCAATGAAATTGAATGTGAGCCGGAAAGTTCTTAGAAAAAAGTGAATAAAGAAAAAAATCAAATTACGATCAAATTATTGGGAAAATTTTACAGTGCTCGAGTAATAAAATTAAAGTTAAAAAAATTAATTCGAAGAAATAAAAAAAAAGTTAAGTGTATTTTTTTGTGTGTTCTAACAAGTGAAAAACAACAACAACAAAAATTTCTAGTCAATCGGAATAAAAGCTGAAAATATAAAGCACTTGCCTGGGAAGATTGCCAATAAATCTCAGCTCATTACTTGATAACTAATACAATATTAAGGTCGTGTCGGTATAAGATTTGAGGAATAAGAAGAAAAGTTTATCTTCAGTTACTCTCTATGACGTAGACATTAGAACTGTCTTATTTAAATTATAGAAAGTGAATTTTAAGAATAAATAAAAATAGGATCAAAAAGGAAATTTCGAAAATCGACGATGCCTGGCGGTAATGCAATTCAATCGGACATGCTGAGCGGAATCGAAGAAGAAAGTGATATGTATGAAGGCTTTGCGCCGCATGTAGACTACGCAAACATTCCCATTTCTAACGAAAGCTCTCCAGGTAAGTTGTTATACGTCCTACATGTTCTGAATAATTAAGTCTAAAACCAGACACGAATAAGACTGAAGAAGAAGTTAAATTTGTTTACAGTCGCAATGTTTGAATATTCTGTAATTTCTCAAGTATATCTACAGTATAATTGACGCTTTATAATACATAAAAATATCATCAAACAATTAGAGTCTCGTGTAGATCATTAATTGTTGCCTCCTGCTTGCTTCTACACGATATTATTCCCTTCAATATATCAATGACTTGAAAAAGTTTAAAGTCAGTTTTTAGTTGTGTCTGCGCACTTATTAATTTTCATTTACCGTGTTCTGTCATGAATAGATTAGTATCGATTGATTTATTTCAAGTTGGTCTAATTTATTTGCTATCTAAAACTCAACTTCCAGATTGCCATTATTTTCAAATAACAATTCAATTGAATATATTCTAAAGAGGAATTATGCTAATCATGAATTATATTTGGTTTAACGTTTACCATTTGAATAAGAATTTAATTTACAATCCATATCAATTCTCAATTGATGCACGGTTGCTACACGTGAAATTTAATTTAATAATAAAATTTTGACTCTCTTATTTCCTTGATAAGAAATCAATTATGTATGTCTAGTAATTCATAATCTAATCTGGGACGTAGTATTTTTGGCTAAATCGCAAGCTTAAAGATGTACTACTTTTAGTTTATGAAAGACTTGCTAAATCACTGATTAATTTCCTAAGAATCATCTGAGAATTAGCAAATTTTTGATGAATGAAGGAATTTGAGATAAACTTGATAATTTTTATTGTGAAAAATCTAATTTCCATAAAATAACAGTTTCAACTTGGTTTGAGTTTTAACGTTTATTTTAAATTCAAACTATATTATTTCGAATTATTATTTAACGAAAATAAAAATTTGAATTCAAAAAGTCCGTTAAAAACTTCAAAATATTCATGTTAAAAAAAATTAAGCATTCAGATAGAAGATGAATGACTTGACAAAGCGTAACATCGTTTCCTTTATAAATATTTGCGAGAAAGACCCGGTAAAGAAATCAAATAAATAAAAATACTAAAATAAAATATGAAAAATCACACATTCGTCTATGTATAGCAATGAATCTGAACTATGATAGTAAGTGAGCGAAGAAACACATTGTTACTCAGAAGTCTACTTGTAGATTGCTCGAAAAAAAAACAAATAATAAAATACACAGTAAAGAAATTTACAGTGCTACACATATAGTAATAAAAGAATTGACAATTAAGTTTGGGCTGCAATTCAATTGTAATGAAAATTTTATCAATTAAATAGCGGTTTTATCAGCAACAGATTGATTATGTAATAATGCTATTTTTATCAGTTTAATGCGATTAATGAGCGACTACATCAAGTTTATTTTGTAACGTTGACTTATAATTATTATGATAATTAATTGAACTGAATTAATTAATATATATAAAATATCTTCATAAGTTTATGATATAAAGACACAACGATGAGAGCCTCTTGTCTGTGTGTACAAAAATATTTTTACGATTGTACATAAGTGTGCAATACATTTTGTGTCAACAAAAACAGAGAAAAATGACTGAGCGGGAGAGAAATCAGTAGGCAAATCAAGTCAAGTAGAATAAATCGCTCAGTTAAGTGAAGCTAGTGAAACTATTAAGTTCAACCTGAAAATTAATTAATTTTTTTTTATACAAAAAAGGAATTAAGTTCGGAAGTTGCAAACGCTCATATTAAAAAAGTCGGATATAAATAAATTAAAGATTTTTAAGATTTCAAATTCTCAGATTCTTTAATAAGGAAATTGAAGCTTGATTCTCGTGCATAAGAAATTGAAAAGTAGAAGTAATTCACTTGTAACGGTTTCTCCGATCATCCTTGAACAGCCATTATATCAAGGTCGATAATCACTGATAGTGTGAATGTGCAATTTTACATCTACAAGTGTCTTTAATTATTTAAATAGAAAAAGAGTTAAATCGCCTAAAGTGAGTGACTATAGTAAATCGTTGAAGAAATTGATCAGTTACTTTGCGCGTGAATGTTTGTTTATTTAATTGAAAAGGAATTGTTTATGAATATAAGAATGTTGCGGTGGATGTCATTTATGACCAACTCCTTAAAATGACAATAGATGTTTATAATGTATCAGGTTCCGTCAAACGTAGTGCAGTTCAGTAGAAAAACGTTGTAGCAGTAATTTGAGTCTTAAGATGGAATTTTAGCCTTGAAAAGGGTTGAATCATTCATTTAAAGACAAAAAATTATGAATATTTGAAACTTAAGGCAATTTTCAAACATAGAAATTTAATTCCGAGTATTTCCGTTACCGCTCATTTAATATGTATTATGGAAGAAGATGTTGCGGATGTGGAGATGAGGTAGAAGTGCTTTAATGTGGTATGGAAAAGAATTTGCTTCATGGAATGCTTTGAGTCATTAGTGCTACAATTTAACTCAAATTAAAGATCAGAAATTCGTGGAGGTTGAAGCTTATTGCTGCTTATTCTGTTTCCAAAAAAGAATACTTAAGGATAATAAGCTGCTTAGCGAGGATCGCAGTATTCAAGTCGTTACTTATTATTAATTTCATAAAATCCTGAATATAATTGAAAAATTGAACCTTTGCCTTCAAATTTACAGCATAAGATTCATCCTCGAGCCTACACAACTAGCAGAAGCTTATTTATCCGCGATGATCGATTTATTGAAGCTTGAAAATAATTAAAGAGCCTTTAAAGTTGCCGTCCCTTGAGAAAGAAAACATTTTCGGCAAATCTTCACTCTGACGCCAATCCTATTGTCAATTGTTGTTTACACCCCAAAAAAGCTTTATTCATAAAGTCAACATCAGACAAGATGTTTTTTCTTTACATTTTCTTTTGTTCTGTTGGGGGCTGTTCACTTATTACGTAACACGAAAAAATGACTTCTTAGACCCCCCCTCGTAACAAAATTTGTATGAAAAAAAAATTTCCTTGTTTGAATCGTAACAAAATCTTAGACCCCCCTCCCCCTAAAAGCGTTACGTAATAAGTGAATGGCCCCTTGGCTATGAATTTGTATCTGAGACAGTTTTAAACAATAAATCTTAATAAATAAGAATTAATAGCTTGAACGCCAATTTCAAATTGAGCAACTTCTACAATAGAAAGTTTTTGAGATTATAAGCCTGATGAACATATTTTAAGGAAGGTGCTGAGTTTTGTGAATCAATCATCCCTTGCAATTGTACTAAGCTATCAAAGATTATTCATTCTCTTGTCTATTATTAAACAAATTTCCACGAATTTTCTTCAATGCAATTTCACTGATCCCTTATACTCTACGTAAGAAAAATAAATAAATTTATAGTTTGCATTACTTGGAGTGATTCCAATAAAATTGACTGTTTTGAAAAAATATTTTACACTCCACACTTACTTTATAAGGCTTTATGACAACCCTTTCCCATCTATCTAATTTGCTCAATCTTCGCCATAATTTATAAAACTTCTTAGCTTCAATCTTAAATGACTAAGATAAGTGACTATTAGCAAGGATCAATAATTGCATTAGTGAAATATTTTCGTAATATATTGCAATTATCCTTGCATTCCATTGCAATAAGTCATTTTATAAGAGCTTATAAAAATTGTGGAATTCATGTATCTGTTCAAGTTTGACAAAGAATATTCAACTGATTTTTATTCCTCAGACATAAGTGCACGTCCTACTCTCAAATTTTCCACAATAAATAGCTCGAGTCTAAATATTTGGTCTTTATTATTTTAAACTTTTTGGCAAAAACAACGCCTTTTAAGTGCTATTTTCAATGAGTCGGAGAAAGTTCTCACAAATTCTATCTTCTAAAATAAACAAACAGACACAGCGCATCCACAAAGTAACTGATAATTCCTTTAATAATGTGCAAAAGTTATTAAACATGATGCATATTTAATATAGGTAGAGTCAATAAAGTCACGAGGATTTAAAGTATATTGAAAGAGAAATTCAAGATTAAAGTTGATCCATCCAGTTGGGAAATCTACACACGCTAAACAAATGACAATCGATTTGTAAACATTGTTATCATCTGTGTAACTTAGTGTACTTTACTGATTATTATTTACATTAAATACGAATACACACAGCAAGCAAGCAACCAGAAGCAATAAAGTAGAATGAAAACATGATTGTGACTTGACACTCTCTCGAAAGTCCAAGTAAACAATCAAGGAGCATCATTTATCGACTCATAGTCGAAAAAAATTAATAACTTATTATTATTATTTATTGACACTGATAAACGGAATTGATTGATTCGCTTAAAAATGGTCGCTAGAAAATTATCATCATTTGATGTTGGAATGTCTTCCGATTTGTGTAAACGTCCGAGTGTCTATATCGATCCTGATAGCGATATATTTGAAGGCTTACAATATTTACAACAAAAAAATAAAGAAAATTGTGTAAATTGTATACATCTATGGAAGTCATCATCAATGACGGAAGGTAACGAATCTCGATATAAAGTTTATATTTTATGAGCCTAGATGTCAAATTAGCAATTTTAATTTGTGCATATACATGAAAATTTTCCGCTTTAAATTATGAAGATTCTTTTTATAATTAACCGTACATTGTTGACTCATCATGTCAAGTTGAAAAACTGAATTTATCAGCCAATAATAAATTATACAAACATATTTTTAATCTTTTTTTTTGAAAAAAATATTTGTTTGTTGAAAATTTTCGCATAAATTAGCATAAATACGTTGCAGTCACCTGACAGAACTCGTGCTTTTTAAGTATTTTTATTCAACTCGAGTTGTGACAAAATGCGAAAATTACTTGTTGAATGATAATTAAATCGCTATTTTCTCTTTTTACTTATTACAAGCAATTTTAGCTTTATAGTTTCTGGTTTGTAACTGGATCTACTCATTTAAGAAACTTTTATAATATTCTTCTTCATTAAATATTTCACCTTTCTCCTTATACTTAAACTATCAATTCTATTCCATTAATTCTCTGACTTTTAAATAGCCTTATACTAGCTAATACAAGCAATAATGCAAAAAAACTTAAAAATACAAAAAATACTTACTTTTTGAACATTGTCGCTGTTTGACTAACTTTATTGATGATTTATTACCATCCTTGACTGGTTACTGATGTCTCCTTTCTATAATTCTGATGCAAGCTGAGAAAATTTTGTAGATCATTACATGTTTTTCTTAATTTTGAATAATTCAGCGACTTTTTGAGTTTACTTCATGCTGTCGGTGTTTGACTAGCTTTGTTGATGACTTTAAAAGCATAACACTGACAACTAGTGTCTTCTATTCAGAAAAAAACTTAAAATTTTACAAAAGTAATTTTTAAACTTTTTTGTCTACATTTTTGCATCAAAAAAATTCAAAGATTGCACAATGATTCAGAATCCGAAAAAATTGTCCAAAAATTCAAAAATAACATATCAATTAAACTTTATCTTTTAAATGCCAGATTAAAGATCTTAACTTAAGGCATATTCAGTGAAAATATCTCGTTTTAATTTGATGTCTAACTCCAGAAATCTTTAATTTATTTTCAACAAAAATTTGTTTACATTTTGTATATGAAAAAAAAAACTTTGATTTTCTCTACTTTAAGTTGTTATTTCCTTATCTTGCTAGCTGTTGTTAACTAAGTTAAGCTTAGATTTGCATATTAAAACTACCAAATCAAAAGAAAACTGCTTATTAAGTCTTAAAAATGCAATTGAAATCTGAGTATTTTTACAAAACTTAAACTATTCATAAGTTAAAAAGTCTTCCAAAGACCTCTCTGAAACCGATATAAATCAATTAATTAAGCTTAAATCTATCTCTCATATAACTGGAGACATGCCGTTTGATCCCGTTTTCGAGATATTTGCGATCAAAGCTTACATCAATTTTCATACAAATTTTGATCATGCACATATATCATATGGAGCATATTAAGGACTGATTTTTTGAGCAATGAACAAAAACATTATGTAGAAGATGTTAAAAGAATCAAATTAAGAGAAATTACCAAATTTTCTAATCTGCAGGAAAAATATTGTGCACAAGGAATTTTTGAACACTTTTTTCAAATCTGAATCATTGTGGATTGTTGCCACGTGTCTTTTCTAAATGTGAAAAAGCCGTTGATAATCTTAATAATCTTTATCATCCGATAATTGATAGGTGTGAGGTTCGATTCCCGCTCAAGCCCATAATGGCACATAACTTGTTAAACTTTACATTTAATTTATTCATTAGAATCTTCACAATTCCATTTCAATTTTTTACGTTCCAAAAATAGTCAATTAGTGTCATTAAAAATCAAAAAGCAAGTATTAGCACAATTAACAAATTTCAGATCAATTTGGAGGATATTTTTGGTTGTCTTATTCAATTGACTATATAATTAAGTTTAAAAATCTTTCATGTGCTAATCTCTTCATGTGACACAAATTAAAACTTAGCTATCGGGATTCATTGAATGCTAATAATATTTATGAGACATGTTTTAAAGTGTAAATTGACTTACTAATTCCGACCGCAAATAGCTTTATTTAATGAAATGCGTTGTTATATTATTATTTTGAGAGATCAGTGAGAATATTCAGACATAAATCAATTTGAATCGATTGTTATAATTGAAATGTAACGAAATTTATTTCTCATTTTGTCTAATAATAGCCAAAAAGCAACAATTGAAATCATTCAATGACATAAAAGGTCTGATTCAGCAAGGGAAAAAACGTGAAGTCAAACTCATCATTCGTGAAAATGCATGGCCCGTAAATGCTACAATCAGAAGTCAATTATGGCCGGCATTGTGTGCGCAACATCAGCACAGTAAAAGTACATTGGATGGCTACTATTGGGATATGGTCAATCAGGTAATCATCAATAAATAATGAAGTCAATTCATTCAAATAACTTTTGACTTTTTATTCTATTTACCAAAGGTATTCGGAACAACAGAGCTACCTGAAAAGCCAATCATGCTTCCTCCATTCGTCGACTCATCTCATTGCTTACCATATCATCTTACGAAAAAAGGTAGAGCTGTGGCTGACCGAGTTGTCAGTGTATTAGGATTCAACAGTCCTGATATCACCTACAGTCCATCTCTCTATCCAATAGCGTCTGTTCTTCTGCACTATATGTCAGGTGAGCTTTATTTTCCATTTATATTATTTGGAATCGTATTTTGCTGTTGATAATTAATCGGAATTCAATGTTATTAAAAGTGTCATATTGTGTCACATTAGAAAAATTCTTGATGTCATTCAGTGGTGACGTCCAATACTCTAGGTCTAGAAACATTTAACATGTTGAATATTTTAATTTTATACAGCCATCATATTTGGATACTCCCCAAATTGTAGTCGAATTAGGTGCAAATTTAAGCGCACATTTTTATTTAACTTAGCGTCAACAACGAATTTTTTGTGCGATCTATAAATATGCTGCGGCAAATAATACAAAAATATATTCCTGACATCAGCAAATACTTTAAAAGCTCTGAAAACTCGACGGAAATTCCATTTCTTTCTCATTTTGCGTGAACATTACTTCCGATTTGGATTGTTTGAGAATTTTCTATGCTGATTAGAAGGTATTCACGCAGAATATTCAACAAGGCTTATAGCACTCGACAGTACTCGCAAAGTTCTCTTATTAACTCTATTGAGTTTCCTTCGGGTTGCTTGTGGCAATTAAATATTTGTGGGCTGTTTTATCGATTTTTCTTTTCCTTTTTTCCATTGAAACTTTTCAGCAACAATCTAGTTTATAATTAAAAATAGAAAAGAGGCAAAAATGGAAATTTAATCGTTCGAGCATATATTTGATATGAGATGTCTATCAAGTTTGACTAGATTTTCTGTGGTTTTATCAATATAGAGACTGACATTTATTGCTCTTTTACAACTGGCTTCTTGATGAATTTATTCTGGTTTCCTTAATAATATACAAGTACAATCAATCCTTAACAACCATGAACCACATATTCTCGTTGCCATGGACTATTTTGTGCAATTAATTATGTACCGCGATATGAAAATGTTCAACAATGTGCTGTATGAAGCTCCTAATAGCTCTCATTATGGAATGGGAAGCATTATCAGATTTATCGCGATTATGAAGTCGTATAAATTTCAGTTTGTTATTTGGATGTTTAACATAATCCACAGTAAGCACGTAAAAAGACCTTTCTGAAGCCTTAATCATTATTATCAAGACAACAGCCAAATAATCGTCGAGAGATGAACATAATTTAGAATGTAGACATGCTGTAAAGCCATATATTTTTAGAATCGAATCACCCAGATGTCCAAATTAACACCTTCAATTAACACCAAAGAACATTTTTGTTAAATAATTTGAGCAAATTAAATTTTCTAGTTATTTGTGCCTACGTGACACTATCATGAGATTAAACCAGTTGATATAGTTTAAAAAAAGACATCAAGCTTGGATCATTTAGTGCCTGATTAATTGATTGCGTATTTTCCCCTCAATTTTGCTATAACAATTTTGTTTGCTTTCCAACTTAACATAAGCAAATTGAAAGGAAAACAAAAGAATTAAGGTTTATCGATTTATTTTCGTCCGTTCTTCTTAACATCCAGTCACTTATCAACAATTCTCTAATATGCTTCAGCCAATTAACATCTCTCTCGACTTCAGTTTAACAATTTATAGTTCAGACTCAATGCGAATACAATCTTATTTAAATAAATATTCTGTTTGTATGCAAATGATATCGGCAATTGTGTAATAATTAAATTATAGCTGCGTTAAGCATTTCAAGGGAATGAAATTTCATCTCAGATTGTTATCGTTGCTTTTAAGAAGAAAATCAGCACAGTAAGGCACTGTGATTTTCATGCTTGAATTCCGAGATGCTTAGTTTTCGACTTGATTAATCGACAACAAGACAAAGTGATTACACGAGTGCAAGTTACGGTGCCAAAAATATTAAACTATCTTCTTTCACATATGAAGCTATCAAATGTCAAAATTAATTGATATTTTATTACATAAAAAGCTATGACGTAAAAATATTGATGGAATAAAGGCAGAAGTAGATGAAAAACGTGTCGATAGTCGAGTAATTAATCATTTTACGAACACAATAAAAAGTGTTCGTACTTAAAATCCCTTAACTTGTTCATAGCTTATTTTTAGAAAACTTTTAACAAGATAAAGCTGACTTTTTGCTAATTATTTACGTGACAGGATCTGAGTTAGATTTACGGTCTATAATAAAGATGTAAATAAAAATTATTAATTTGGTTTCCTGAGAGTTATTGTTATAGGCAACGGATGAAATTAATGTACGATTAAAAGGTCTCACGCGATTTATCATTATAGCGCAATATTTATTGTCTATTGCACTTACGTATCAATAAAATTTGATTAAGATCACTAATCGATTAGCTTGACATTTTTAACGACTTTTTAAGATTTAAAACTTTAATGAACCATTCAGTAGTTATTATGTTCATTTCTTTTTGGTTTATTTACAATTGAAATCATTAATTTCTTATCAAAAACGAGTTTAATTGACCTGTAATTAAGTTTCTGGGTTATGACTGATAAGGTTGATTGTCCAGTAAAAGTGATTTTGGCTTTTTTAAGGAAGAAATTGGAATTTTTTAACGAAACTTTTTTATGACGTATCCAAAAATGTTCAAATTCTGAAAATCCGTTGAAATTTAAAATTCCAAAAATTTGTTAAATTTTTACGATACCAACAAATTAGTCAGCAAGCTATAATGACAAAATATGACAGCACAGCATTTTCATTTTATGAATAACTTGCATTTAAATTAATGTTTCTTTAATAATCAGTTACAAATCAATACACATATTATTAAAAAGCTATTTTTTTGCAAATCAATAATTGTTATGAAGTAATAAGTAATATTTTTCCATAACAATGCGATGTGCAAATATTCATTTATTTATATATTTTTGTGTTGTATAGATAAGGGGCCGTTCACTTATTACGTTACGCAAAAAAACTTTTTTCACCCCACTCCCCCCCCCCCCCTTTTTACAATGTGTTACAACTCAATACCCCCCCACCCCCCCCTGAGCGTTCATAATTTATTTTATTTTGATAATTTTTTTTAAGAACATTTAAATTTTATTCATAATTCATCAAAGTTTTTCTTTATTCATATTTCCCAAATTTGTTTTAAGTGATTATCAATTTATAGAAATCTAAAAAGACGGTTAAATTTCTTTTGTATTTTTTTTTCTTAAACATCAAAATACTGTACAGCCAAATAAGTCATGTTTTGATTGATACTATTAGTATTCTCATGAATTATTGGATTGAAATATAAAGCAAAAATTTGTTTTTTTTTGAAGAAAATTCAAAAATGTCATGAAAAATATTATGCCCGATCGAATTTTGGAAAATTCAATCAACTTTGAATTGCTTTGAATGTAAATATCAAAATGATGGGATCATATTAATCATCATATGAATGACAGATTTAGAGAGATTTACTTTTAAACTTATGATTGATATTTAAAGAGTTTTAAAGTCTTGTAAACCAGTTTTCTATTGATTTGTTCATTTATATAACAAAAACTATGTATTGCTTAGCTACCAAAAGTGATCTGGACATTCATAAATCATTAAAAGGGTGGAAGATTTGAAAAAATGTTTTTGGTGTGAATTTGTAAACATTTCGTGACCCCCCCCCCCCCCCCTATGTTACATTTTGTTACAATTTTTCAACCCCCCCCCCCTAAAATGCTAATTTTTGTAATTTTTTTTGTGCGTTTGTGTCTATTTACAGAGGAGGAATGCTTTCATTGTATGACCAGTTTGGTAGCAGCAAAAGACAAAGTGTTCATAACACAAACTAAGTTATTGTATGAAGTCACATGGAAGACTGTGATGCAAATTGCAAAGAAATATGCGAAAAATTCTGTATTATATCTTCAGCGATTGTGTCAGGGTCAAAAAGCTGAGAGATTATTTACAGACTGGTGCTGGTGGATACTCGGTGGACTGCCATTTCCGCACTTGGGTATGAGATGAGCAATTAAAAGTTTAATTAACTTAAATAATGGCAATAATATTATTTATCTTATTTATTTACATTCATTTCCTCCTGTTGACTGATTGGCTGCTGTTTTTTTATTACGACATCAAGTTCGTGTGATGGATTGCTATTTTCATGAAGGAATTAAAGTATTATATCGTGTGGCATTAGCAATATTGATTCTATTTCATAAACATACACAAAATTCATCTGAATGGGATTCAGATTCACTAAAAAATGACATCGACAATGCAATTCCAAAGTTTTGCAAACAAATACCCGTAACTCCATTAAAATTAATGCGAACTGCATTCAGTATTCGTGCATTGAGGTAATTAAATTTTTATTTATTATCATTATTGTATTCAATTAAAATTAAACTTTTATCGCATTTTTCCGGACTTGTCGCGATTATTCACATTGTGAGCTTCTGTCTTGTTTATCTAACCAACTATCGCTATAAAGTAGCTTTAAACAGGAGAAAAATAAGTGCATTGACTTGATTTATAATTTTATTAGCACAGATATGTGTCAGACTTTGCCGCTTCTTCTTGAAAATTACTGTTTTTAACTCAATTTATTTATATTTATTGTGCTGGTGTGCTGGAGATGATTGAAGGATAATCAACTTTCCTTGTAGGTTGTTGATGCATTTATGGCTTTAGTAACATGATTCTTCTGAGTTTTGTTTACAAAGTAGCAATCTATCATTTACTTATCAAGCCTTTTGTTAGCTTAGAGTCTATTTGGATTGAGATTATATTCATTTTTATCGACAGATTAATTTAAATCTTAGGATTAAAATAAATCCAAGGGTTTGATTCAAAATTTTTACGTGAATGACACGTTTTATGAAGCCAAAAGCAATAAAAATGAATCTCATTCATGACTGAGAATACCTAAAAAATTTATGCTCTCAGCTTATAAATTTTCAATTGCGAATTTCCTCGAAAAATGTCATTTACAGCTTCCTTTTGATGATAAAAAGCTTTTGTAAACTCTGAACTCATAACTCAATTTTCTTTTCCTTTCAAATGCGAAATAAAAAGTTCATCATACATAACACGAGTATTCATAAAGACTGAGATGCTAATAAAGAGTATGTCAGTACGTAGTGGAAACACGCAACTGATAAGATCACGATCAACGGACAATCTACCAACAAGTCAGTCGCAAATTAACATTCAAATGATGTCACACACGCTGACAATAAGAGAAGTAAGTGTTTATTAATCCTGTTGCTGGCTCCTTTAAAATTTCATCATTTTATTTTCATTTTTGACAATCGACTCGATATTAGTTTAGTCTTATTTTTAACACCATTTTATTTTCTTTTTTATTTCTTGACCCTTTTTATTCACAAATAAAAATATGAATTAGAATCCACCACCAAAATTACCAACCCTTGATATTGGCTCATGCCGTCAAATGGTAAAGTCTTTTCATGCCATTTGTAATTTGATGTACTTTTTTTATGTTTAATTCGTTTGTTCACTTACTGACTTCCGTTTTGTAGTTAAACACCTAATTAATGAAAAATTTAACATGACTTTTTCTATTTTTTCTCTCTTCTAATGCTGCTTGCCATTTTCTGTGTCTAAATTAATATCTTAAATTTTTTTTAAATTAAATACTAATCTTAAGGGAGCTCGCTCGCCCGATGTTCGTGGCGTTTCGACGGGCGTTTTCCCAATTCAAGCAATAAAAAGTAAAGTTTTAGAGAATGATGATGTAAGTTTTTGGATGTATAACAAAAAAAAAAATAATCTTTTTCATTACATTAAGTATGTCTGTTGTTTGCTATTGTTAAAAGTTTGTGCCTTAAATGATTTATAATAAAAGTAATGTCTAAATATGTATATGAATAAATATTTTAGCTTTTCACATTGTGGTCATGGCTGCCTGTAAGAATAACGATGTATCAACCTGTATTACTGTACACAACGGAAGAGCATGGATGTTCCTTGACAACATTCTATATAAGAACTGAACAATATGAACCGACATTACTCATGATAAAGACGTGTAATAATGAAGTAAGTGAACTTTAACGGACTAAGTTGCTTCTGTCAGGATGTGGAAATAAATTTAATTTTTTTGTGTTTAGGTATTTGGAGCTTATTGCTCATCACGGTGGTATGAACGGAACTTGAGAGATGACAAAGGAAACAGACAAGGTAAGGTTGAATTTATTGCCGATAAAAATTGTTGTTTATCGTGAGAAGCTTAAGCATTGAATTCGATGCTTTTGACCTGAATTTTCCCGCATAAACACTTGACTCAAAATTCAACGTGAATCTCATTTTTGTTTATAAACAACAATAAACAATTGAAACATCACGAGAATGCTTGTCTTTAAGTTATTTTCTCATTTTATGCCAATTAATTTTGGCACAAAATCTTTCTTCCTTTTGTTTTGCAACTGAGGATGTGATATCCTAATTAATTTGAAGGCCTCAGTGCTTCAGATTTTCATAAAATTCTCTAGAAAATTGAATAATGAATTAATAGTCTGGAAATCATAGATAATGTTCAATTAAAAAATTAACGGTTTTCAAAAATTTTGAATGAACTGGATGCAAATGAACCTGGATTACTAAACGACTTAATTTTGAATTTTTAACGGTTTTTAATGTTAATCCGATTGATTTATAGCAGAGTTGCGAAACAGGTCACCTGTGACAGGTGAGAACCTTTCAATTCCTTGATAATTTGTATGGTTTTGTTAGAAAAACCTTATAAATTATCAAGGAATTGTAGGGTTTTCACCTGTCACAGGTGCCTGTTTCGCAGCTCTGATTTATAGTTTAATCGATGGATTAATATTAAACAAGTATTCAAAAGATTCACAACTCAACTAATATTAAAGAATGAAATTCCCTTATGCTTTATCAAGATTAAAAACACCACAAAATCATTTATCCAAGACTAAATATCGTCAAACGTCACGACAAATAAACAAATGCTTCAAGTGATCCCAAAAGTTTTCTGTTACGCTCGTGTATTTACCAGCAATTTGAGTTTTAATTACTCCAAGTCTCGTCTCGTGTCGTTACATCTAATAAATGACATTTGGCAAGTTTCAGCAACAAGATTAATATTTTTTTTTCTCTCTTCCTTCCACACAGCATATTTCGGAACTGGTGAAAGTTTTCTGTTTTCATTATATCCAGAACGTGCTAAATATCCTTGGGTGGGAATAGATAGTGACAAAAATGTTGACCATTCCGCAGAACTTTTCATGGCTGCTGACAATAAAATGTTGACAATCGGTGGAGGGTGAGTTAACCTGAATGCCTTGCAGCCAGTTTCAATTTAATACTCACTTTATTTATGCTTTACAGTGATGGACAAGCTATTTGGATGGACGAAAACATAAGATTCGGCAAGAGTGATAAATGCAAAACATTCGAAAATCCACCACTGTGTCCGTCAGGTGACTTTGAGATTAGAGTGCTAGAGGTCTATGGTTTCGTTGGCGTTTAAAGCTTAAGACATGGAATATCTTTAGAATAACTACATTAAATATTATTCAGTTGTCGTCATTGCATTATACTGTGTAATTGGATTCATGTTCTTCACACAACAAACATTACATTTATTCGTGAGCTTTTTAATAACGAAAGGAACCGCTTTTTCTGTCCGGAATTCTTTATGTCTATGTTCAGCAGCACACAGCAAACGAACGAGATGAAGGAAATTGACAAAAACATGCTTATGTCCGTAAGAAAAATCCTACAATTTGGATTCTTTCGTACAAATTATTATACGAAGTTATCGAGACGTTATCAAAAATTCAACGAATTCAACGAATTTTTTGAGGGAGAAAGTTTAATTTTGTTAATTTTGTGTTATCGCATTCCTGAAAAAAATGCATTGCAATAGACTACGTATATATGTAACAATTATTTTTGAGAGGTTGACAAAAAAAATGATGTTTTGTAAAAATTTATGTTTTTGAGAGAAAATGAGTAAAACTGTTGGAAATTATTTAATTTAACAATGATGGAACTTACACAAACGAGAGAGAGAAAATATATATTTATTATTATTGATGAAAAGGATTAAGTTTTGGTTGACAATTATCTCATAGTTTATTTTCATTCCATTCTTGAAGCTAACTGGCTCTTTAGTGAATTTTCGGAAGTAATTTGAGATACATTTCGATCAATATATTGATTTTTTTGCGCTTATCATTCCAATGAACTCTAAATTTCTATGTATTCTTGGATTATTGGGGGCTGTTGAGATTAATATAGTGCGATGGACTAAAATTCAACGGATTTCAATACTTCAAAAAATAACGGTTCTGAAAAATTTAAATGAACTGAACGAAAATGAATTTGGATTACTGAACAACTGAGAATTTGAATTTCTAACGGTTTAATTAAAACTCAATGAAAAATGAAACTTTTCAGGTTTCTTAATTAAACTGAGTTTATTGGAGATTAAATCCAATCTTGGAAAGAGAAAATCCGCACAATTTTGACCTCAGCAAGCCTCAATGTCTCTTTGACTTTTTGCTATATCATAAGATGCTTAAAATTGAAATTATAGTCATTTGCATTAATTGAAAGCAAAGATAAAGAAATCTGTACACCTATATTATGTTTTGAGAATGTAAAATGATATAAGAAAAAAAAATTGATACCAAAAATGTAGATTTAATTAATTAATTTGTGTTTTAAGAATTCATTCTCATCAAATATATAGAGCAATATAAGTGTAAAGGAAGGCTTAGAGATTTCATTCGACATTGTTCGTTCATAAGTTGACTTGAGAAGCTAGAAAAGTAGAAAAGTTCCAATGTATTTAACATTTTTTGAATGCTTTATATTTAAACATAAATGCGTATTGACGTGAGATTCAATTTCTAAGAAGTTAAAGCTAGTAGAAAACAAAATAGTTCATAATTCATAACAAGTCAGATAATAAATGCTATACAAGTACATGATTTAAACATTTACAACACGAATCAATGAAAATACTACGTAATTAACCATGAGGAACCAATACGAACAATACTAAACCTATTATAAAATAAACTTGCTGAAACAAATGATCAAAAAATGATTGAAATAAAATTTAAAGTCCTCAGGATCGAATCATTTAAAAATAAAGAAAATATCAGACAATGAAGAAATTAAAATAATTAAATATTTTATCTGCTTTCGCTCATAATTGAAAGAAATTGTTAATTATTTTAAGTTTAAACAAAGGAATGAATTCCCTATTGTGATTATTTGTTAAGTTATTATTGATTGATGTCAAAAAAAAAATGGAGAAAAGAAAAGATTTTTCTTTCATTAATTTAATTTCAAAATTGCTAGCTTGCAATTGATCTAAGAAATATTTAAAAATAATAAATATGACATTTAAAAGTGATGAAATTGAAATCAATCATGTCTAAATCTATTTGATAGCTTTTTTGCAGGCTCAATTCAATTGAAGTTTATGCCAAAATGGAAATTTATAAACAAATCGATTTTACTGCTACTGATCTGCGGCTAGAAAAGTTCAAGGAAATACAGAACAGGCGATTTTTATTTGAAAAGTGTGACAAGCTGTAAATTATTCCATAAAAATTCAAACTAGAAAAAATATGCAATCACACTTTTAAATATTCTGAACGTAATTAAAAATCTGGTCATTCATGCAATCATTTTGAAAAATTTCCATCGTTCGATCGATTCTTTAAATTGACTTTTTGTGCTTTTATATTTTATTGGATTATAAATTAGGGGCCGTTCAATTATGACGTCCAAAATTAACGGTCATTTTTCAAAAACGAACAATGGATTTTTTTCTGTCTGACCCCCCCCCCCCCCCCCTCCCCCCTGGACGTCATAAGTGAACGGCCCCTTAGTGGATTAAAGGTTTTATTCGTTCACTTAATGACTAGAATAGTGCATCACCGACTGTTAACTTGAAGCTCGTGCATGCTCAGTTTTTTGATGCTTTCGCGCCAACTTTTGCACCATTTAACGTTTTTTTTTTGAAGTTTTCATCATTTAACGGCTTTTTTAATATATTTGCATCATTTATCGTTTTTTATGAAGTTTTGCATCGTTTAACGGTTATTTTAATATTTTTGCATCATTGCTTTGCATCAATTCGACCCGTCTTCATCATTTAACGGCTATTTTAATATTTTTGCATCATTGCTTTGCATCAATTCGACCCTTCTGCATTATTTACACTTGTTTTTGCATCTCATTCTGCATCAGTTTAAACGACGTCCCTTCCAGATCATTTGACGTCATGTTATTGCGCAATTAAATTTAAATTAGGTTAACAAGCTTGACAGTTGATAAATTACGATAATTTAGTCTTTAAAATAATAATTATGAAAATTTCTATAAATGAATTCAAGCATATAAATCACTGTGAAATGATTGTTGACGTGCTTATAGACAAACACAATACATTGTTGCAAGCAATTCAAATTTTGCGATAATGATTGATTTTCTACGTAAAAAGTCGCATCTCTGACGAAAATGCTCTGTCAATTGTCGATTCCAGTGGATTACGTTTACTTATTGGATAATCACAATTGAATGTTAATATCGACGTGAGGTTCTAAAACGTGTAGCACATCCTCATCTGATGTAAATTATTTTATTGCTGAAAAATTTATCTTTATCTCTTCGAATATATCACAACACAGGCTTTAAATCTCATTTGTCTAAATTTATATAAATTTACTTCTTATCACAATAAGGCTTTATGCCTTGTTTTTTTTTACAAAACAATAAATCAACTAGGCCATCTACCTCTGCATACCCGTAATAAATGTCACACAAAAAAATTCCAAAAATATCAATCATTCATTCTTAAAGTTCCAAGGTATGCAAACTGTTCCGTCCGATAAAATGGAATAGTAATTAGTTACATTAATATTCAAATTATTGACTTTTAGTTTCGAGTTGCCAATTTTAAGAAGACGCTGCATGCAGTCAATCATCATATCTGGTGAGATGCTGTCATCTTTTATTAACGTGTTGAGTCTCAAGTTCTCAATGCAGGCTTTGTGGAGGTCTTTTTCGATATATTTATTTCTAAAATTAGAGTTAATTTATTTTTCTTGTATTTTTAAGTATGAGATGGATATGAATTACTTATCATATGCCACTTTCTTTATTGTTGCTTCCTCCATATTCCTTGTTATGAAGTCAACGAGCAAGAATCCAGGACATGTTGAAGGAGTAATTAGCTGACCTATTGAGGAAAGAAAGGAAAATTAATTGACATGCTCTTGATGCAGTACAGATGGAGGATATTGGAGATAAGTTAATAATCTATAAAGGGACTTTTGTGTCTTGGCGTGAGTTCTATCTCTATAATCCCTATCTAATCACGATAGCTGATCCAATTTTGTCTTATTAATACACAGCTGTGAAGCTTTATGCAGCTGTCTAGCCAAAAACTCTCAAGAACTAGTGTATCGGGTAGAAACCCAATACGGATATATTCACACCGTACCATGGATACTTATGGATAGACCAAAATTTGCTCAGCATAAGTTTGAAGGGTGGGCGTGAAGTACGGCCGAGACCCATATCGACACAGTTCAAAAGATATACCTAATTTGTGAATGATTCACTAGGGGCGACCCTAGTCAAAATCAATTTTGTCACTTTTTTCTTCGAGGATAAATCCAAATACAGTAAAATTTTGTATGAGCATTCTAATCTTCAGGTCACACATTTCTGAATTAATAAAAATCATTTTTTGGACAAAATTTTAAGTCACGTTGTTTTTGAATGTACAACCAAATTTATAAAATTTGGGTCTGACGACATATAGAATACATTTCTTGCTTTAGATATTTAAAACTGTTTTGTATAAATATTAGTTTACTCACACAAAGTTTCACTGTAATTGGATAAACCTCCGAAGAAAAAAGTGAAAAACTAGATTTTGACTAGACCTGTCCCAAGTTCATAATTGAAAATGTATTTCCTACTTGGTTCTTTGCTCAAAAAAATCTTAGGATGTTTTATTTGTATTTGTTTTAAGCATTAAAATATTTATGCAAAGTTTCAATCTATTTGGATAAACCCTCAAAGAAAAAAGTGACAAAATTGATTTTGACTAGGGTCGCCCCTAGTCCAAAATTGAAAATGTATTTCCTTCTTGGTTCTTTGCTCAAAAAACTTTTAGGATGTTTTATTTGTATTTGTTTTAAGCACTAAAATATTTATGCAAAGTTTCAATCTATTTGGATAAACCCTCAAAGAAAAAAGTGACAAAATTGATTTTGACTAGGGTCGCCCCTAGTCCAAAATTGAAAATGTATTTCCTTCTTGGTTCTTTGCTCAAAAAACTTTTAGGATGTTTTATTTGTATTTGTTTTAAGCACTAAAATATTTATGCAAAGTTTCAATCCATTTGGATAAACCCTCGAAGAAAAAAATGACAAAATTGATTTTGACTAGGGTCGCCCCTAGTAAAGGAAAGTTTTTTGTTTTTTCTGAAGCAACGGCTGTTCCTACCTTGCCCAAAAACAATACTTCTATAGAGCAGCACGGATCAAATGTAAAAAACTAGAAGTCTCTACAATGTCTCGTTATTGAGATTTCTTGCTGATTAACTTGCTTGCTTGTTTGCTTACAGAAAGCGTATTTTGCGATTTTCTCAGCAATGCCACAACCAATTTGAAATCTGTTTTTTTGAAAATGATATATAATTTCAGGCACAAACTTTTCTTCTGTGACCTTTTATAACCAATTTTGCTTAGTTTTCTCACAAAATGCGAAAAACTGATTTTTCAATCTGAACAAAACCAATAGATTCACGTGAAAACGGTGTGAATATAAAAATAATAAAATTCTCACCTGTTGGACTAATCATCAAAGGTCCACTCTCGCTTTCAACAACCTAAAAATAACATCACACTTAAGATTATTACCGAAAAGTTTCGATAATCTCTCTCCGTCACATACGCTTGAGATTCGAGGATCAATGTCCGATTTTCTTACCAATTCATAATCAGCTAGTGATTCAGGCCATGTTTCAGGATATCGATTCTTACTCAAATAGTCCAAAACATTCGTGATCACTCGACTGAGATGACTAGAGTAATTTTTAGCCAATGTACTTGGCATGAACTTCCTACGTGCAATTTTGATGTTCAACAACACTTGTGATAATGTATTTTCGTACATTGGAATTGTTGAGAGATAAACTTCCTGTCTCGGTATGTGTTTAATAAGCTAAAATAAAAGACATAGAAGTAAGATTCACTGGATATCATGCAACTCACATCAAGCCAGTTATTCTGGACATCTCCTGTATATAAATGAATCTGCCCATCGATTCCGACACCAGTAAATTGTGAAAAGATGACAGTCTTGTTGTGTAAGTACGTCATATCATCACCATACAAGTCATAAAGCTTCTCTAAGCTCTTCAGGCATCCTCGAAAATGTTCATAGTTCCATCCACAATCATAAAGTATTTGCTGTAGTCCTAACTTATTCTCAAGTTTAATTCTCAATTTTTCCACTTCCTCACGTAAATCATCTAATGCTTTTGTCCGGATATGTGCTAGGTCCATATTTTTTCTTACAAAAACCTCTAGATTCTCATTCTCTTTCGCTTTTCGTACTCGAATTTGAAAAATATCATATTCCTCACTGAATTGTCCTTCATTATTGTCGACTGTATATTTAACTCCGTTATTATGTTGTTGCCTATAGTCCGAGTAAGTTGAGCGTTTTGGAGATTTTAGTTCTGAGTTGATTTTTTCAACATATGTTGTCTCAAGGTCACATGTCTGTAAAATCTGTGTGACAAAGGATTTCGTCGTTTTCTCATTATGTAATGGCACTTTAACTAGTCTAAATGGATTGGATGTATCCTTGCTACGTAAATAAAATGGAAGTGATGGTGGACTAGCTTGTGGATAATATTGTCTCTGAAGAGCTTCGAGATGTGCTGATAAGACTTTTAAGGAGTTCTCATTAATCGCACGTTGCTCAGGAAACTTGCCAAATAGATCAGGATGACATAGGAAGAAGAATGGACGTAATGCAGTCTGTAATTGTGATGAAGTGAAGCTCCTATGGATTATAAGACGTCCAAAATTTCCGCGGTTCTCATGAAGACTACAAAGTGGGATTTTTGGTTTGAATTAATGGAATCTAGAACAAATTAACTACTTGCCATGATTTCAAACAGTATTGCATTGTTCCTTACTATATTAATATATAAAAATAAAGGATTTAATGTGATTATAAATAATATTGCGACGAATACATTTGTAAAAGAAATTTTTATGTAAACACTACTGCTGTGGCAACACTCGTCTCATAGTCTCTTCTCTTATACATTGCTTATAAAGCTTTTAGTCACGTACACATCTATATTAATCATATGGTCGGCAAATTTTGTTTTGTTTTGTGTAAACAAAATTTTTTTCGTTGCTTTTTTTATGAATGAAATTTTGATTATTGAAATTTTTGGGTAAAGTTTGAAGATTTGATTGAGATGATGAGGATTTATTTATATGAGAACGGAATTGTCAGGTTTTTGCTTGTTGATTTCTGATTCATAATAGATCATAAGGGGCCGTTCACTTATTACGTTACGCAAAAAAAACTTTTTTTCACCCCCCCTTGTTACAACATGTTACAACTCACCCCCCCCCCCCCCCTGAACGTTCATAATTTATTTTATTTTGATAATTTTTTAATTTGTAATCAAATTTTTTTCGTGAACTTTTTTTTAAAAGACAGACGACAGTTAGAACGTTACATACTTCTTGCCACCCCCCACCCTATGTTACATTTTGTAACTGGATCTGTTATAACTGACTTAAAGTTGGAATCAGAGCTAACTTGATCAGTGGTTCTTAGATCTAAAGAGTTTTTAATCATGGACTGAAATTAAGTTAAGATTAAGATTTAGATTGAATTTAACAAAACTTTGATCGAACAAAATATTTCTATTGATTTCTATCGGAAGTCTTAATTTCTTAATTATCAGATAGAGTGTTGTTGATATGAATAGTATCATAAGAAACCTAGTTTAGCATATGTTATGTTAGAGTCAATTCTCTAAACTCTTATAAATGCTTTTAATTTGACTGTAAATCGAATGAGGAAGATGATAAAGGTCAATATCCTGAAAAGTCTGAAAATAAGTGTGTTAAAAAAACATCAAACCTTGTTCGTATCATTAATAATTTTTATTCGTAAAAAAATATTAGTTACTACTACTTGCAAATATAATTTTTTTTTCTTCTTTTCAATTTCTCATTTCCATGGTACAATCGCAAAATTCTTAAGTAAAAATTTTCTTTCACTGTTCAACATTATTATTAATATTTTCTTTTTTTTTAATGGGTTTTTTTCATTTCTATTCAATCAACTCATAGATAAAGTAAAGTAGATATAATATTAATTAATTCGATAAAGTAATTAAGCAAAAAAGTAGAGAAAACTGGTACAATTTAGCACATTCTTGTGCATTTCCTTAATATGTAATTAATGTAATTAATCGATTAAAATCGAAGAAGAATAAACTTTTTAACATCTAAAAAAATTGTTGGTTTTTTTTCTTATTTCTCTTCTTTTTGATTTTTAATTAAAATTAAACAAATTCGATTTATCACTTTTTTTTCTTTCTTTTCTTAGCAAATGAATCTTTAAAGTTATTTTACTGAACATAAATTGAGGGTGGATAGAGGAAATAAAATGATGAAGATGGGGTAGGGGTGTGTGTGTGTGTGATTGGGTGTCAGATCAAATTTGAGATTCACAAAAAAATTACACATATCAGGAAAATTTTCATTAACTTAAAAAAAATCTATAACAACAAAAAATATATTCATATATAAAAAATTATTTAAAAAACTATTGGTAAAATTTTTCCATTTTGGTGTTACTTGATTCCTTAATAAAATTTCATTTTTCACTTTTTTTGCATCTTTTTGATTTTCAACAAACTTTTGAGATTTGAATTGATCTCAATTTTAACGAATTTTTGGAGTTTCGCGAGACAAAAAATTCAAATCTCAAAAATTCGTTATTTTTTAAAGATTTTATTTTTTTCTACAAAGCAAATCTAGCATCAAAAAATATTTAATTTCCTTCATTTCTCTTCGTCATCATGCACAATATAAATCTTTTCTTTATCAAATATTAAAATATGAATAATTCTTCTCCATTCTTACACGTTTCCTTACTTTCTTCCACACAACTTTCTATTTCTTGAAAACTTTCTTATTTACATAATAAAAAAAAAAAGTTCAGAGATTTTACATCTCCTGCTAATAATTTTTCATTCTCGTTCATATACCTACATATAAATTTATTGATCACTCAATAAGGATCATTGGGAACTTAATAGTATTACTTGTCACATGTCAATCTATAGTTACTTTATAAAAACATGTGTCAAAGTCAGCTAAAATAGTAAATTATCATCATTTTCATCTCTTCTTATTATTTTTTTTTGTTCATTTTTAAGGCAATCGTGCGTCGTGTATTTAAAAAAGCAGAAATATTTTATTATTATTTTTGTGTTGCTGGCGCATCGGGGGATAATATTTATTAATTGTTACAATCTTCTTTGAGATTCTCTAAGTAGAAACTTTTAATTGATTAATGCTTTTCATTCTGTTTCTTAAAATTACTACAAAATATTTTTTTTCTTTTGCAAATTTCTAAAAAATTCTACAAATTTTACAAATTAAATTGCGACAGCAAAACTTCTTATCTAAATTTGCTTTAATGCTTTAATTAATTCTTTTTCTTTCGTATAAAGTTAAAATATTTTATTTTTTAGCGAATCACATTTTGAAATTCTTGTTTTTTATATCTTCTTCATTAGGATTTGATATTCTACTTTCTAGGCGGGAGGAATGAAGTTTGTTCTAGCTGTATTTCATTTTCTGGAGTCCTGTTGCTCGGTATGACTCAAAAGTGATGATCTACTAGAGTCTAGTTCATTACTTGAGCAACCTTAGTCATAGTCAAAGTTATATCACTAAGGTTACTCTAGTTTATGGACTAGCTTAGTAGTAATGCATGCGAGGCAACTATAATTCATGTTATTAAAGCTTTGTTTTATTACAGATTCTGGAGATATCAATGATTTGCAATATTTTGATGGATATTCCCAGAATTTTGAAATTTCCAAAATGTAAACACAATGACAATGGACATTTAAAAGCCTTGGGATATTCCCAAGTAGATAACAAATATATTCAGTAGTGAAAATACATCCATAACCAGCTCCAATCCTCCTAATAATGCTGATCTCATTGAACAATAATGATAAAGAACTCAGAAATTGGTTGGAAATTTCCAAAGAATATGAAAAGTTTTGAGTATTAAAAAATTAAATGATTAAAAATTAAGTTTTGTGGGTGAAATGGTGAGAAATTCTAATCATAAATCTTACAAGCAAATCGTATATTGGTGGTGGACGTGCATTTAAAAGTAATTAAAACTTTGTAAACATTATTAAAAGTAAATTCTAAAAAACATGCTTATCAATTAATAGCTGAAGAACTTAACATTCTTTTAAATTTAAAAACTAATGTCGATAGAGAAGCCCTGTCATTTCGTACTGGTACACGGTCAAATTATAAAAACAATTTTCTCATAAAGATTTAAAATATAAAAAGTAAACTAATTAAAATTAAAATATACATATTCATTATACATAAAAATTATGTTCGAATTAATCTCAATATTTTTCTGGTTCCTCATATTTAAAATAAAAGAAGCTAAAACTTAAGTATTTCGTAGGCATTGAGAATTTTTTTTTTCTTAATTTGTTCAGATCCGATATTTATTGTTCGTGTGAGATTCTCATGGGATATACTTTTAACAGTCGGAATGAGTGATTCCTCTTCTTTATCATGTCTTTCGACTCTTTTGTCTTTGAAGATTGAATTTTTTGAGTATCTTGTGGCTTAATGTGTCAACTGGGTTAATAGTCAAAGTGACTTTTTATAGTTTTAGGATTTTTGACTGTTCTTGACTACTTTTTGATCTGACCTTCGATTTCTTAAGCTATTGTGTAGCTTATTGTTTGGTTTGATCTATGCTTGATCACAAGATCACTAAGATTTAAGTCTGAGCTAGGATAATGTCTAACTTAGTCCTTAGGAACCGGAAAAGTAAAAAGATAGTTTTAAGAAAGCTTGAAGCAATGTTGCTAATTATAAAGACTAGCTTAAAGTTTGCTTAAAACTATATTTCAACGATTCTGGTTCCAACGGAGCCTAACTTCAACCAGAAGCTCAGATATTCATCATTTAAAGAATCTATTTTACTCGGTAGTCTAGTGGTGAGTATCACATCTTATAACTTCCTATTCAGATCCATAATTTTATCATTTAATAGGAGATAGCTTCAGACATGAAAAAGAGGAAGAACTCCACACCCCAAACTTTTTGTTCCTAAGCTCAATTCAAAATCTCAAAAAATAAATTTCATTCCTTATTGTTAAAAATAAAATTATAGGACGCAAAAATTAACGAAACTTAAAAAAAACTTGGTGCACAATACTGACGGTAATGACATTTTTTTCGCAAAGGATACAAATAAAGAACTTGTAACTTTCTTTAAAATTCAATCAAAAAATAATATAAAATTAAATTGTTCTAAGTATTTATAGCTGCATTATTCGAATTTACAAATGTTTTACATAATATTAAGTAGTAAAGAATCTAATATAATTATAATAATAATGAAGATGGTGAATATAAATTAAGAGTAGATGATAAGAGTGAATTGATGAGTTCAGTAATTGCATGTTATCGGAAGTGCTTAATCACATTACACGAGAATAACGATACACGCACTTTTCAGAAACTGACTAGAACTGAAAGTAATACAGAATAATTATATTTATATTTAAAAAAATCAGGACGGCAATATTTTTTAATTAATTAAGTACTGATACTTCTTCATGTATACTTGAAAATGTTATTCATATCTTTTTTTTATATTTAATGCCCGGTTTGTGAGATTTTCGATTTTTACATGTATAAATGAACATCATTCATCCTCGTGTAATTTATTAAGCCTTTCCTCATGCAATAAACATTTTTTTATTCTTCGTCTGTAGAGAGCAGTAATGCTTACTGAGAAAGTTCTCGTTATTATAATTTTTTTTTCTGTATCACAAATATTTTATCATCTCTAGTATTTATTAATTGTTTGTTTAAGTAGATGCAAATAGGCAAGAGATATCCATGTCTCAAAAAACTTTATACAAAATACGCGATAACTAATTATTAATATCTTACGTGCTTACACATAATAAGTAATATAAAATATGAATTAAGAGTAAAAAATGTAGGGAGAAAAAACGTGTGACTTAACAACTAAGTTCCTTCATTAAAAGCCAAAAATTAAAAATTTCACCGCAACTTCCTCGCACCTTATTTTTCATTCTTAACAAAAAAAAAATTAAAAACAAAAATTCGAAAATCAAGAAGATAAAATGAGTTCAGTGCGGCTTCTTTTGTCTCTTAAAATTCTACGAGTTAACGTTCCTTTTGCTCAAATGTGAATTGAAATTCGAAAACACTTAAAATATTGCTTTTCGAGTTTCTTAATACTTCAATGTTAAAGTTTATATTTTTTTTTCATACGTGTATGAGTTGTGAATTTTGCAGGCCCCAATATTGTCATTCAATTTTTGTTTTATTTTTATTTCTTATTGATCGATGGTTCCGCTGCTTAAAAAATAGGTTTATGAATCACCAAGTTGTGTTGCCACGAGATTTAAAGGCAAATTACATGAGTCAAGGTCATTCTCTGCCTCGCTTTCATCACCCGAACCTGCCACGTCCTCGTTATTACCTCCATCATTCTGTACTGGCATGTGTGTACGTAGGAATTGCTGATAGTGATGCTAATTGGATACGAGAGAAATACTTTTAGTTTCAGAAGTAAAGTTTCATAATAATTAAATACTTACAGGCATTGCAAATGGACTTCCACCTGTCGCATTGCCGTGTTGTGCTAATGCAATTAATAAATTATGATTTTGGATAGCTGTTAAATCTGATTTTGCACCACCATTTGCTTCTTGTTCTGGAACCTCTTGATTTTTTGATTCTGTAAAATAAAGAAAAATTAAAAGTATTAATCAGCATGCTGCACGCAGTCGTATTAATTAAATTATCTCACTTCTTCTGTTTGATTTGTCACCTTTTGGACGTCGTCGACGTGTATGAATTGTATCACGACGCATCGTGTGTGGACGATTCACGCCATGTAATTTAAAGTACAAGCCGCACGCATTACAGACCATTTCACCACGTAAGTTACGGCGCCAAATTGTTGTTGTTGTCGTTCCACAATTGGTACATGATAAATCTTTCTGTTGTTGATTAGCTTGATTATTATTGGCATTTTTCGGACTGTTATTATTATTATTGACCTTTGCAATTTCATCACTTCCTGTCCAAATATTATTTACAGATGATTCTGCCATATCTCCTGATGTTGCTGCACCTAATGAAGGAGACGAACTTCCAAGGTTTATCTTCTTGATTACTGGCTCTGTGAGACCTGAACGACTTGGACATGATTGTTTTCGTCTGCCTGCTTGCTTTTGTGCATTCTGATCAGATTAAAAAGGAACAAAGGAATGAGTGTAAGTTGATTTTCTTAGAATGTCTTCTTATTTGCTATATATATTTACCTTTAACAATGCCATTGGCTGTTCCATCGACATATGATGTAATTGTGGAGAAAAGGGAATCCCTAGTGACCGGCAGTTTATCATTTTTCGGAGAAGTTGTGTTGCTTCATTTCCACCATTTACTGTAAAAAGTAGACATTTATAATTAATGTTAATGGAAAAGGAATTAATTAAGACTTACATTGAGTATGTTGAGCTAATGCTTGTAAGAATTGATCGGCTTGATCGAAAGCATGTTCGTCGGAGAAATTGCTTTCAGGCGTATCGCGTCCAATAGGCTTTAATGTCGGAAGATTTCTATACTCTTCGGTATCCTCTTGCGATGAAATGTCCATTTGAAGACGTCCAGAATCTGAGCTATCGTCTGACTTCTCACTCATGTGATCATTATCTGTCACATCCATAATCTCTTTCTTTATAATATCTGATTTCAATAATTGTGGCATCATGTTGTTCACGATAGATATTGGTGACATGGTAACTCTTTGATTTCCACTATTCCTTAGAGATTCTAGAGCTCTCATACGTTTCAAACTCAAATCCATTTCTTCTTCACAACTTGGTGTTCTCTTTAAATTATTAATTGAGTAATCTTGAGCCTGAGTCATGATAGAAAAAAAACGATTTGGTTATCTAAAATATTGTGAAACTGAATTGAATGTATTACTTACTTTTATCACAGTTGATGACGATGTAATACTTTTATGATTATTCTTATTGTTGCTATTGCTATTATTATTTTGTTCGTTTAAATTTGGTGATTGTGGTTTAGATGAAGGCGGTGAAATAATGACCTTTTTGCCCATATCCATCAGCACAGCGGCTGTTTCGAGATGCTGTTGCAATTGACTGAGATTCTTAACACTTATTTGAGGCGGTGCTAATGATGGTGATGTGCGAGATGAAGATGATGATTGCTGTTGTTTTACGACTGTTGTATCTAATGGAATCACAGATACGGAATTGGCTTCCAAATTTTGTAAATGAAATTTACTGATAAGAGAGGTAACTGATGATTTTGTGACAGGTGGCGACGATGTCTCGCTATTTCTACTACTGTTATTATTACAATTGCTAATTTGTTGATGATGATGAAAATTCATATGATGATTATTATTGCGCAATGCGGTTAATGCTGCAATTGCTGTCTCTTCGTCTGACAATTTATCTTCATTCAATGATGGTGACAACAGGTCATCTAATTTTGCCGACGATTGTCGCATAATTTCCTGCAAGGAAATAAGATAAAAATTAAAATTAGTAACAAATTATTCATTGTCTATTTTGTATGTTAAGCATGTTTTTTTGGGTGGGGAAGTAAGAGGGGGACGAGATTAATATTTCATGGCGTCGACTTTTGCTTTCTACTCATGACAAAGGAATTTTTTATATTGATTCGCTACGTCACAACTTTATTGATTAGAAACTTGATTTATAAAAATAGCCAGAATATAATTTATTCAGCCTTATTGCTTCTTATTTTAGACCCGCACTAGAAAATTCACAATATCATCATCATGAATGAGTGAATGAAAAAAGGATTATTTACACGTTTATCCTTTTATGAAATACGAACATGATATTGCGTGCCTGATATTGCCCTTTTCAGATACTTTCGATTTCTTGTTCCATTCTCAACAGTTCTCAGTTCTCTTCTTAACATGTCTGAATCGGAGAATTTTATGGATACAAGAAAGGTTCGAAAATGCTTATAAATTTATCGATTTCAAGACGCCAATGTGTGCAAAATTACTTTTCCAATGGATATACGATGAGGTACGATAATATAATAATAAAAAATGAAGGAAGTTTATTGGCAGTCAGAACTTGTATCTCATTTCGTGAAGTTATAATATATCCGATTTATGGATTTATCATTGTAAAATATGATGAGTTTCCTTGTAGGTATTAAAACTTATTTTTGCATCCTTATAATCCCACACGAGTATCTTATTTGCGGGATTATTGAAATATTAACGATTTCCAATATTTTAAAATTATTTTTAAGTACAACAAAACTTGTTTATGAATGATTAAATTCACTGTTTATGGCTTTCTAAAGGCTGATTTGAAGATAGATTTGATTGATTTATACCTTAAATGATGTATACAGTCAGTTTTATTTGTAATTTATTGAGCCTTAAACTATTTTAAATTGAACATTTTTCACTTTTAGTCAATTTTTTCCGTTAAAAATTTCACAATTTGTATTTTGTCAGTTAATTTATTTCCGAATTCATTGAATAATTTTAATTTTAATTGTTCACAATTTACACTCGAAGATTTCTTTCCCACAAATGTTTCACATTAGGCTATTACAGCAATGAACATGACGAGTTAAGCACACGAAGTGATTGCTTATCGATGACTTCCATATGATGAATATTTTTCATCATTAGTCATCATAAAATGTTTATTTTAATTTTAAGATATTGCTTCGAACGATTTATTATTTTGCCGACATTAATTTTTCGTCGAAATTTGAGGAGAGGGAGATGAAAAAAAAAACTGTTTATGTAAGTGATTGTAACAATGCCAGCATTCATTTGAAATCATGATTGAAAGTATAATAATGCTTATAATAATGTGATCTCATTTGTGTGATATACATATACGAAATGCTCCATTGTGATTGTTCTGAGAATTATTCGCGGGAGGGAGAGAGAGAGAGAGAGAGAGAGCCTTCCACTTGATATTGTAAGCACTTTTTTTCTTCTTCTTTATTCATCTTTCATTGGAAGTAACTAATAGTGCATATTTTAAGTGCATAAAATTGAGATATTTTTCTCGAGAAATTTTCATTTCTTTATGATTATAAACAGTCACTCGGAATCGATTTACAATTTATGCAATTGAATTGCTTAGATAAATGTTAAATTAGCATTAAATAGCAATGACATCAGTTGTCGTAATGATATCAGAGTAATCCGCTTCCACAAATCACTCTACATTCATATCCAATAAAAATAAATTTCATATTTTGGCATTTTAGTGTTACATGAGTAGCTCAAACATATGTTACTTACAATGCTCTTTGTACATTGTTTATGATTGAAGTTGTATAAATACGGAATTGATCCAGGGATTGCTGATGGGTTGGAAATTTATTTTTTCTGATTTCTAAACCCATTTTTAATGCAAATTTTTTTCGCATCTTTTTTACTAAACGCACTAAAGATGCAAAAATTTTGCATCTTTTTTTTTCTGAACGCACTTCGGATGCAAAAAGACTTGCATTCATTTTCTAAACAAAATGTTTACACTTAAGATCTTTACAACATGAAATATCAAAATAAGGTCAGTTCCAGAACAACATCATCAAAATAATATCCAATCGAGCACCCTGACATTAAACATGTTGGTTTATGGAAGTAAAAAAAATAAAGTATATAAATAGATAGAGATACATTGATACAAATCCAACATACAGCAATAAAGAAATAAGAGAAACGATTTTGAAGCCAGCAAAAAAAATCGTAGTAAATCCATTTAGTTGAAGAATGGATCACGAAATTTTAATTTTTCATTATATCATTTTTTAACCATTGGCAGATATGGATTAATGTATTAATGTATTGCCCCGTACATACAACATAATAGGAACGAAACGAGATTTATCTAAATTTCAACCTCCTAACTACGTACATGCCATAAAGTCATAACTGTTATTTTTTTTCAACTGCCGCAATGATTGTACGATACATAATGCAATTAACTTTCAATTTTCATTGAAAAATTCAAATATGATAGCTATTTTTTTGTGCCTTTCGCACATAACACACGAGAAGCATTAAGTTTTAAATAGACTAAGATTGGCAGTGAGCAACGAACACACAAAAAGCCATATTATGAAAGGCCAAAAATCAGTGTAGTCAATTTTTTTTCTTTATCCAATATTACACTCAATTGGAGCTTGTCAGGCGCTTTTCTTCTTTGCCATTTATTTTATAATTAACAAAATGCATGAAGATGATGAGGAACTTTCTAAAATAAAATGTATTATCAGTTTAGATCGAAACAAGATGATCGTGATTGTAACTGCGTTCCATTTTTCTCTTTGATGAGATGTGCTTTTGGGCAAAATGTTAAAGCTACTAGTGATTTGTTGAGTTGTACATTTTGAGATTCGAAATCATAACTTTTGATGGAAAGTAAACATTTGAAGAATAATTCTTCGTTCCAAGTTTGCAATTTGCTAATATTAAGCATGTGGTTTTTTATACTATCAAACATGACCGCCTCCCTCCATGTACTATAAACCTAACCATCAAATGCGCGTAATCCATCCCAAAAATCATGACTATTTCCATAATCGATGTCTAGATTTTTAGTTCAAGGCATTTGCGTCGTTTTAGAAGAGAAATATATTCACAAAAATTGAAAATTTTGTGTGAATATGAAAAAAAAAACATTTTTGGAATTAATTATTATTTTATGAAGACCGTGTGCTGTAGCAATTTAAAACCATTACCATATGGCCCACAAGAGTAATGAAGCTCCCGATTTGATCTTCATTTTTCTTCCTCCATCGCTATGACTTTTTGGAAATGTTCGCTTGTGCTTCTTCGGAGTATTGTTCGAAAGATCATAAATCTAAGCGTGTCAAAGAAGCATAGCACATTAACATGTCATAGTCTTTTGAAAACTCCATAAATTTTATGTCACTATGTACTCTATTACTATTGCTCTCCATTGCCTCCGCCTTTGTTGTGTCTTTTCAAAATATTTCTGAGATTCTAATGAATTTAAAGAGACATTAGCTAATGTCAGGAATTTATGCATATCTTAAAAAATCTTTTAAGCGCTACTTTTGTTTTGGTTTTGAAATTTCCATATAATGATCCGTTCATAATTGGACAACAACATATTTTGCAACCTACCATGAAATTTCATGTTCATTCAAATTAATTTCAAATCTCGATTGCGAGAGAAACAAAAAAAAATATTAAAAGAAGAAGAAGAAAATTATGGAAACAAATGGACACACGAGCACTTTTCCAAAAGCTGTAATTAACAAAGAGAGCTGAGATGAGGAAAAGAAAAATGTGAATATAGAAGAAAATGAGTAGCATGAAGATGAATCACTAATGAGATGACATGCAAAAAAAAAGTGAAACATTTCATAATCACTACAGTAATGAAAGTGGTTTTTCATAATGAAAGCAAAAAGAGGCATGAGGTAATTGACAGTAATTGATTAGATGCCATGGAAGAGATTTGGATTCCATATGTTTCACTTAGATTTCAATTAAATATTACTTTGGAAATTAGAGCATAAATTAATTAAATTAAGTTTATTTTCATTGTTGGAATTTTGGGTTACGGTGCTGTTGTGGAAATATTTTGAGTGCTTAAGATTGAAAGTTTCCATTGTCCTTCACTGGATCATCTTAATTGATAAGTTCAAGTAAAAAAACAAACAATCCTTTCCCCTAATCAACGTAAAAATAAAAGATCTAGCAAGTAAAAATCCATAAACCAACAATGTAAAGCTTCATAATTAGTCCATATCCAGCCCACTGCAGTAAAAATCCTTTAACAATATCAACACGACAAGGAACTACAGTAAATTCATAATAATTAGCAATTCCAATGTAAAACTAGCATCATCAACAGCTACTTTTTTTTCAATTGCTACTTAAGTTGTTGATAAAAAAGCACTGGCACAATAACAAAGCCATTGAAAAATATATTCCGTTAAGATTAATTAATTCTGCTTTGAATATGAATATCATATTTGCATATTCACCTTGCTCACATTGTGCGGCGATAATATAATGACACAAAAAAAGTAAAGCAAATAAATTCACACTGAGCAAGTCAAACAAAAAAACACACATAAGAAAAATGAAGACAAAAAATTTTCCCACGCGCCACTCTTCGTGTTATTTCTTCTTTAAAAAGCAATAATAATAATAAAAAAAAATCTTTTCATGTCTCATATCATAATCAAATATAGAGAAGAAGTAAAAAATTGAATTTTTTTTGGTATGTTTGAATAATGATAAGATTGTTCCGAATTTGTATGCATGAAGCAAATACACGCATCTATTCATAAGAAATCCCTTTAAATTATATTTGTTTTTGCTGTATAAAAAGATAAATATTGAAAAGGCATAAAAGAAAATAATTGACATACACAAATAATGAGACGTGTGAAGTGCTTTTAGCCAGCTGGCTAGCTCTTCTTTGCGTTACTTTTATTTTATTTGTTATTACACGTACAATCATCAGCTGTCCTTGGACTGCATTTAGCGAGTCAGAATGGAACAGAGAGAAGAACTTATCGACAGGGGCAGGTGGCTTAGGCTTTATAATACCATTAATCAGATTAGAGTAATTATTTATGATCTAAAACAATTTAACGGTTATTTTAAGTTTGAATTTTTCAAAAAAAAAAAATATTTGTCCACCTCGAAAAGTTTTTCTCAACTTTTCAGCATTAAATCAACAAATTTCAATGATGTGTGTATGCACATTTGATCTTCAAGATGGCAAGAGTAATTTTCCATCCATTAAAAGTGTTGAGGAGTTGTGAATTATTCATAAATTAACAAAACATCGAGCAAGCCAAGCAACCATGAAAAGTGAATGCTCAAAAGCATTTGTTTTGCACACAATTATGTTAAAAATGTCTTCCAGTTGTCTTCCTTTATCAATATG